TTATTCCTTGACCTAATATGTATATATCTAAATATAATTAAATGCTTTTAAAAACCTGAAACCAACACAATTTGCATTTTATTAGTAAAGTGAGACCACCACAAGACCAGTTCACCTCTGTTGGGTCCATATGGTTGTAAAGTTGCAAAAAAGAACAAGAGGCTCCCATGAGCCTGAATCTCTAAACTGGTAAAAATATGCCATTTTGATATTTATTTTCACATTTATTTTCACATTCATTGCCAGCAGATAACATTTTTGAAGATCTTATATTGATGATAATTTTCACTGCATGCATGTTTACAGTTTATACCCATCTATTAAATATTTCAAGATGATCAGTAAAATTACCAAAAATTGTAAAATATTGTCATTTAAGGGCAATAAATCCTATAAGGAGTCTGAAGATTTCAGCCATGTTGACATACTTGTAGTTGTAGATCTTATTTTGCTGATTTATGTTTCTCTCTATCTGCTATAGTTTTTAACAAAAATGCAAAAAAATGGATACAAATCATTATACAGGGACTATGTATTTATCCTATCAGGAGTTGCCTGACTTTTCGGCCATGTTGACTTATTAGTAGATCTTATTTCGAGGAAGATTTCTACTATTTTCTGCTATCTGTTTCTTTTATTGTTTTGGCAAAAAAGGCATAACTGAATTAGGATAGTAAAGCTTACAAACAAGACGAAAAGAAGCTTGACTCATCATGTGTTACAAAGTAACAAACGACCTTGTAGCCATAGACAAGAATAAATATCTACAAAAACCAACAAGGAGCTCAAACCGGACAGGACAACATACTTACCTATTACAGCCAGCCACCAAAGACTGTAGGAAATGGTCCTTCTTCATAAACTCCGTCAAGGATTGGAACAAACTGCCACCAGATACCGCCACAACAAAGTCTCTTGAGATATTCAAGTCTGAGGTGACCAAAACCACAACTAAATCAACAGAACAATTTGTTTTTATCCTATTTATAACCTGTTTTTAATCATGCGCAACTTGCCAGAATATTCATCGTGTTGAATGTGGGCCGTATTTGGAAGAAGAGGCAAAAAAGGGTAAAAATCTTTCAAGGGCAATAATTCTCTTAGAAATCAATTGATAGTTATTGTTCTTTATTGACTTTATTTGTAGATCTTTTTTAATGAACTTTTTTCTATTCATTATAACGTTTCTGTCTTTCTTTTATAGTTTTGGAAAAAAACCACAAAAATTAGTAAAAACCAGGCCCATAACTGCTACAATGTGTAAGGGGTCAATTAAGATTTTGGCCTTGTTGATTTCTTTTGTAGATCTTATTTTTCTGACCTTTTTTACTACTGCAAAAAACTGTCAGGTCAAAATCTAAACTTTATGTTTAACTCATGAATAGTAATAATTTATTATAACAGTCAAAATATTGTATAATTATCAAATAAAATTTCAGAAATTCTAATTATTTGGTTTCAATAAAGATTCAGAAATAAAAATGACATTGGCTTTGGTGGGTGAATTATACATCAGAAAATGTATGGCAAATCCAGGAAACTAGACAATTTCCTTTGGAAAATACTGATATTCATCAAATTCAAATATTACTGTCTGTATGAGATTCAAATTATTGTTGAATGGTAGATGCATTTTTCCTTTGAGGTTGCATGCGGAGCTTAGCTGATGTCACTAATGTACAACAACCGAATGTGTCTCCAGTTATTGTACAGAGAGAACAATAACAGATTCAAGACTGAAAAAAAGAATTTACAGCAATGATGTACCTTTCTGATTGACTTTCTGAAAAATAATTTATTTTTAAAATGAATTAATAAATTAAGTCTTAAGTAAAGATCTCTAAATAAAATTGTTTTAATTCGTCTCTTGATAAACAAGTATTCTGAGAGTATTGCATGGAAATTTTCTAAGTACGAGACCCATAACTCTGCAAAAAACTCATCCGAACCAAACAAAGTTCGAACCGTTAATCTGTCACTTGTCATGGTTAAACTATATATATTAAACAAATATCAAATCAATATCTTCAAGCAAGACGAAAAAAAGTGTGGAAAACTGATTAATTGTGTGTATATTCTAAGTCCATGGACCATTACACTGCAAAAAAAACCATCTGAACGGAACAAAATTCGAATTTGATCTATAAGTTGTCTTGGTTAAACTATATAACAAATATCAAATCAAAAAGATCCACCAAAATAGTGGAAAACTGATTATTTGCATGAATTTTCTAAGTCCAAGAACCATAACTCTGTACATATTCATTGGACAGGAAAAAAATTCAAAACTGATCTGAAACTGGTAATGATAAAACTATATACCAAATATAAAAGCAATATCTTCAAACATGAAGAAAAAAAGTGTGGAAAACTGATTTGGACTAACAGACAGACAGACAGACAGGGGGATGAAAAGACGTATGGAAGGACGGTCAACGTACAAACCTGGGGTCAATTACATGCCAAAGTAATTAATAACATTTCAATTACATTGATTTTTAAATGTAATTAATTACATCACAATTACATTGATTTTCAAATGTAATTAATTACATTACAATTACATTGCCAATGTAATTAATTACATGTCAATTACTTTTGTCTAAAGACTTGTAAGAGCTATATCATTTAAATAGAATAAAATAATAATTTAAATGACAACAGGCTAGAATAAAATGGAACTTTTGTATATACATGCACCTTATAACAGTCAAAACATTTTTTTCAAGATTTGTTTTTAAATTTATAATGTCATTGTTACATTTAATCACCATTAGATTTTAAATGCTGATTATTTTATTGCATTTCTTATTTTTGTGGGGGAAAAATTCATAGATAAATATATATTTTTTTTTTCTTTAATATTTTCCTAAAAAATTACGAATTTCTACCAAAAATGTTAATTTATTTCAACAGGTTTCTTATGTACCTCATGTGAAATTTGAAGTAACTTTAAACATGTTAAAACTTCCATTTATCACAGAAGAGTAATGGTAGCATTTTCCAGACTTATCTTTTGGCAAGTCAAAATTGTCAAGTACATTGGACTCCATTCTTGTACCTTTTGACTCTACTTAAAATTTGTAAAAAGTATTGAAATAATATCCATCTGAACAGATTTTAACATATAAATATGAAAGTTTAAAATAAAAATTGCCTTTGGCATTTTATTCAAGGGACATACTTGTACTTCATAATTAAGTGAAAGGAATAACCTGAGGCTAAGATTATTGGTTAATTGTTAGAAAAACATATTTACAAATTGTATGTAAATAAATTGGTATTGTTTTTAATTTTTAGATTTGTTATGTAAACATGTGAAAAAGTAAATGAATTTAATACAAATAAAGAGTATTATACATGCTATAATTATTAATGAAATATCAAGGAATGTTATATTGCTTTCATCATGAAAAATGTTTAAAAAGTACTTAAAATATCAAAGTACCAAGTGCATAATAAATGTAGAAAAAAAAAAAAATTTACAAGTCAGAAAAGACAAAAATGTTTAAAATTTCCCAGGAAATATTACAATGTAATTCAAAGTAATTGAAAAGTAATTCATAATTACATGGCAAACAGGCAATGTAATGCATTACATTCAATTACATGTAATTGAAAATATGCTCAATTACACATTACATTGTTCGGCCTTATGTGCATCAAAGCACAAAGAGGATTAAGTAAGTAAGTACACATTACATTGAATAACTTTCAAAATTGTAATTTATTACAGCTAATTACAATTACATTTTGAATTACCCCAGGTCTGCAAGGGTAACACTTAATGCCCCAGTTGCCTATGGTAGGGGCATAAAAAAAATTGGCACAAACCATTCACTAACAGCTAAAGCTTGAAAACCATTTGAACTTGGGCTAGGTTTCTGGGTATAGTTTGCAATGTCTTATGGCTTTGATATTCTGTTCAACTAAATTTACATCAAAAATATAAAAAAAAATAATAATACACAGCAGTTCAAGCTTGGATTTTTTAAATCACTTAAAGCTTTTAAAAAAGGGTCCTGTCATCTTTTCAAGGTATTGGCCCCTCTTTTATAATTGGTTGATCAACCCTGCATGCATAGCCCTCATTGACATATTGCATGGTAAAATGTAGAATCCCAATTCTTTTAGAAGTGATAAAGATTTTCACTGTCACTCTGTTATACATGCACAGAAGACAGTAATGAAGGCAACAATTACATGACCTTTTCTATCATTAAACTGATGATTCTAAAATGCTTTACTGTAACAGGGAAATGTAAAACTACAATAAGTGGCCAGGTCATAATTCAAGTGCCACCCCTAATATTATCAAAACGAAAAGATACTAGGGTAGGGGTTTAAGTAATGCTAGCAATGATTTCAATAAAGCAATCTTTTAAATATAGATATAGATGATCATAGATTTAAAACCAATACAAATATGGACCTATTCAAGTACACCTTTAAGCGTGCGCTCAACTTAAATAACTAAGCATGAGTTTTTTATTATATAAAGTTGTTTAGCAATTTTCATGAACAATAAATTGGAAGCAAAACATGGACAATCAATTCAACTGAGTAATCTTCATTTAAATCTTATAGAGCAAAATCTCTTAAATACAGTTTGGGGATTTTCTGCAAAAATCTTGGCTGGACTTGCAACAAAATTCACATTTTCCATATTAAATGTAATGAGAAAAATATAATTTCTGTGAATGATGTTGGCTATTTAGTAATAAAAATCCATTTTCTTACTCTTATACTTAATAAAAAAATACATATGTTTCCTCAAACACTATCCTAATTGCTAGTGCCTACCTACCCTTCAGATTTGTTTTATCATTTATGTATAAAAAGCGTGTATAAACCAGTCAAAGACATGTTTAAAAGTAAATTTATTTGCCTTTCTACGGTACCTTCCTTGTTTGTTTCAAATTTCGTAACTATTAAACTAACGCACAAGCATTGAAAACGAGATCCATTCCCTAAAGTTAGCCTTTTCCGTGTTTTCTTACCCGTTATGTAAAACAGCTCACTATTTGTCTTTTATGAATCCTCAATTGCTAACTTCTCCAGTCGGTAAAAATCGTGCATATTTTTTTCTTACATAAACAGTGCAGTTACCTCCCTTATTACACGCTGCTAACACTACCAACTAACCACAACTAGTTTTTTCTTTTTCTAAAAACATGAGCTCTTTGTGATATAAAGAACTGTCTACTCAAATTTCTTATATGAAATTGAGTTTAATCTAATTAACTGAAATTCCAAATTGTTTAACAACGCCAATTTATACTAAACAGCAAAACAGATAAACGAGCACCTGCTACAAGGGAAATAATCTTGACATTTTTCGAATATTTCTTTCCTGTAGATGGACAATGAATTTCAGAGACAGAACTCAAGGTGATTTGATATAAAATGATAAGTGTCATATCACCAAGAATTGCTTTGCCCTCCAAGGTGGTTTATTTACCTGATTCTAGTTTAAACGTGCAATTTCAATCTCTTTTTAGAGTAATAATCAACTTGGTTTTACTTCTAAATATATGTAATTAGCCTCTATAGATTACATAAGTTCTGCTTTGTGTTTAAAATCGGAATACTCTTCAAGGGCTTAAAATTAAATTTAAACAGTTACCAGAATTTGCCTTGCCATTTCAGATTCACATTTATAAATTGAACTGTTAACACATTGGCGTCGGCATGGCCATCAATTAACCTACACTACCATGGTTTGTAATTTAAAACAAAATGTAATCGTTAAACTCACAACTAAAGTTAACAAATAAAAAAAATAAAAACAAACGCTATTAAGTATTTATAATAAAGTAAAATTATGTTAATATAGGGCGCAATTTCCCACCGAAAAGCCGCCATCAAATCACCTACAGCCCTGGCCCTATCAAGTCCAAGACATATGTTATATCCAACCAAACATCTTTTCAATGATTTTGAGAGTGAAATTATTTTTCATAATGCTGAAAATTAAACAATGTATCTTTTAAAGATAAATGCAAACAGAGACTAAATTATTACCGGCCTGGTCTGTTCGAATTTTTCAAAATGATTTCAATGTTAAGCAAATCAATTTATTATCATTAGAAAATTGAAAATGCTGCAAGTTGTCACTAGACAGCTTAAAACAGGTCAAGTTCAAATTATGACATTTTTCCATTTGATATTCAAGATGGCCCTTATAAATGATGTAAAATGTAAAAAAAAAAATTCTGTTTCCAATAGATAACTTGAGTATACATGTACATGTACTACACTAGAATATTTAACACAGTGCTAGGAACCAGTGAGAGAGAGTAAACACAGGTCCTATCTTCTAATTTGAAATGTTTCATTTGTTATTTCAGAGTTATGTCCCCTTGATAGTGTGAGTAGTCAAACATCAGATTTCCAATTATTAAAAAAATTTTTTTGCTTCCACATAATTTTATCTTTTAATTTTTAACACTTTGCGAGGAACCATAATTTTTGCTGCAGACATTTTATTCCTTGTATTATTCAAATTTCCAATATTGAGGTTTTTGCTCAACAACTGGAGTATGATTCAATTTTATTTATTTATAGAATATTGCACAGTGGTGAGAACCACTAAACACTAGTCCAATTGCCATTTCTATGCCAAAATTTGATAAAGTGGATAAAGTGGAAATAAACAAAAAAGTCGGTTCTACTAAAAAATAGAAGAATGCTTCAACAAAATAATTTAAATTTTCCCCTACTTAATAGAATATTTACACTTTTTAATTTTGTCGTTCCTTAGCTAGGCCCTTATCAAAGGCAGAATGTAAGCTGGTTAGGGTGAATTCTAAAAAGATTTAGTTTCCATGAAAAAAAATCGTGTGAGATTTTAGCAAAATGCTAAATACCTGAGTATATGAACAAAAAAAAATGTCAAGTTCAATTTTCTCACATTTCTGTTGTCACCAATTTATGCACCTTACTGATGTGGAAAGAAGACAAGTTTATGGTTTCAATTCTATAAATAGTGTATATAAACATCTATAAAATCAAAGCATGAACTATATATGAAAATTTTAAAACACCAATAAATACAAATAAAGGAGGGACCAGGCAGCTTTATGGCTGATAATTTGAAGGATTTTTATACGCCCGTTTACAGGACGTTTTATGGTATACTGTTGTTTGTCCGTCGTCGTCAACATGTCGGACAATAACTCAATAAGGCTTTAACCAATTTTCAAGGAACTTTGGTGAATTGCTAATATCTATAAGTATTGACATAAGCTCCCTTCCGATTTATATAAATTTTAGATTTTACGTTTCTGAGTTATGGGAATATATTCATAAAAAGGGGGGATTTTCCAGTTTTCAGACAATAACTCAAAAATGCTTTGAACAGTTTTTATGTAACTTTGGTGACTGGTATATCTATTAGAATAAGCTTCCTTTAGTTTTTTTTATAAATTTCTGATATGACATTGAGAAGTTATGGAACTTTATTCATTGAAAAAGCGACAGGCATACCATGCGCTCATGGCGCAGCTCTTTATATTTTCATACATTTTTCTGATTACAGTACATCTATCTTTTAAAATAATTTCTAAATATTGTGTATTTGTTTTCTATTTACCTGGCTGGAACACACAACTCAAAATACATATTATATTTCTATATTTCACTTGCCAATATTTTATCAGACAACAGTAGAGCAGGGTTTGAAAAAAGAGAGAAGAGACGACAGATCAGGAAACTTCAAGATGCAATCACTGCAAAGGACGTTTCAACTGTGAAAGAAATTTTAGAAGATGATTTTGATGTTGACTTTCAGTATCGTGGACAAACAGCATTACAGCAAGCAGTCAAGGAAGGCCAAGAAGAAATCTGTAAACTGTTAATTGACAAAGGAGCTGATATCGGTGCATGTGATGCAGAACTGAACAGCTTACTTCATATAGCATGTAAATCAGGCTATGAGGATATCGCTAAATTGTTGATAAAAAACAATGCTGGTATTAATGCCTTGAATGACTCTAATACCACACCTATCAGTGTCTGTGCATTAACTGGGGATAAATCTATAGCCAATCTTCTTATCAGAGAAAATTGTGATTTGAATTACAAAAACCTGAAAGGTGAAACACCCTTGGTAGTAGCAACACAGCAGAGACATGCTGAAATGGTTGAATTCTTGATACAATCTAATTGTCAAATGGACTTAGGAGATGAAAATAATAGTAACTCAATGATTTATGCCGCAAAACTTGGATTTACAGAAATACTTCAGATTTTAATCAAACATGGTAAATAAAACTAGAAACAATGAACAAATTTATCTTGCTGTCTTGGAATCTGAAGAGAGATAGCCTGATGCAATAAGAAAAAGTAGATCAAAATCTTTTAACTAAAAGGGTTTATTGGTGTTAAATTTGTTAAATTATGGATTTATATTTTCCAAAAAACATTAAATATGTAACTTGTGATTCATTGATAACTTGAATTTAAAAATTATCCGGAAGTAGCAATTGAATGATTGATTGATTGATTGATTTTTGCTTACCTAATGTCCAGTGGAGAAAGTAAGATAAGATACTGCTTATAGTCCTGAACTCTAAATGGGAAAATTTTATTTATATTGGATAAATAATTACTTTGTCCATGATCGATATGAACATGTCAACAGATGTCGAAGATGAAATCCATTCATCATGTTCATAACTAAATCGTTATTATTAGTCTCATTAGGGCACTTTCCTTAGTTAATTGAATTATTGTATTGTATTGTATTATATATTGTATAGTCAAACATATTTACAAATGAGTAAGAGAATTATGAAATCTGATTTAGTAGAACTTCCTTCATGGTAATCAAAGGTACATTGTACAATTCTAAAAACTGATATTGTAAACATGGTCAATTCAGAAATTGTTGCATGCATTTATTATTCTGAATTTTAAAGAATGGACAAAAATGCAAGATAAGTTATTGCCATCTCAGGAAAATCTTCATACATGATATATGTATAAGATATCAGAATGCGAGTTCTTATTATTGTGATACTCACTGAACCAGCCGCATTATTCGCATTAATAAAAACCTCGCAATAATTTCTGAATATACAGTAATCTTTTGTAGGTGCACAATTAAATCATAAAGACCGACAAGGCTGCACTCCATTATACCATGCAGTAAAGGAACATCAGATAGACATCATCAAGGAAATTATTAAGTACCATTCCACGTAAGTTCAAAAGGAGTTATGCTACAAAAGGACTGAATTATTACATTTGTATACCAAGTTTGTTGAATAAGGTAGATCCCTCATCCAAGAACTAGAAAAATTAATGCAGTTACTAATTGAATATTAATAAACAAAATGAATACATCAGCGAGACCCCAATCAAATGAAACCAAAACTCAAAAGACAATAGACATTGGAGCTTACCTTTCCAAAGGCCCTCATTATAGAAAATCATAGACATTGTTGAAAAGAAAAAAGTACAAACATGTACATGGCAAACATTAAGCAAAAAAAAATGTGAGTTTACTGTACCCCAACAAACCCTAATTTTTGAGAGCTGACCATAACTTAAGTATTCCATGCTTGATTTTTAAAAATACAATTTTGAACGATCTTTTAAATGAACAAAAATCTTCTGTTGATTTGATATACTGTAAATTCAGAAATTATTGGCAGGTTTGATTAATGCAATTAATGCGACTGAGTGAGTATCTCAATAGTAAGATCTCACATTCTGAATTTGTTACAAATATGTGTATGAGGATTTTCCTTAAATCGCAATAATTAATCTCACATTTCTATCTATATTTTCAAATATTGCAATAATAAATGCACACAATAATTTCTGAATTTATAGTAATAGAAATAGCATTTTTCTTTACAGGATGACATCTTATTTAAGATTAAGTTGCTATAATGATATAAGAATGTAAAGCAGTTAAATTAAAGGATGTTTTGAGAAAAAAATGTGTTGATTAAGAAACAATATTTAATGGTCTTGATAATCTTCCTGTGCAGACATCTAGATCATTTAATAACCTGTTAAAATATTATGCACCAGCCCCTCCTTATAATTATACTTATAATGAAAAATAAGATAGTATTATTTACCATAATTATTTATCATAATTATTTACTGTCTTTATAGAGCTGAGCTGCATAAGAGGATCCAGCTAGATACCCCATCTACAAAGGGAATGACACCACTACTAGGTATGATTATATCAGTAGATATTAACATAGAAGCTGAAGTAGTTAAATCTATTTACAAAATTTCCAGTTAATGATAGATTAATCTGTTCAAGTATAGGTTGGTAGAAAAATTATCCTTCATGCATTTAAGTCGTGAACAATTCAGTATAACTTAAGATCAAATTCAGTTGTATGATATTTTGTGAAAAATTCTAAAGGTTCCTTGAATCCAACAGTTTCACTTGGCGGAGTTTCAGTTTAGATAATTAAGAGTAAAAAAAATGTCTTCTGTAACAAATTATTTACAAGAAAATTTGGTTCACAAATAAGTAGCTTCTGCTAAATACCCGGTATTAAAGACATAATTGGCCAGGCATATGATGCATGTATATCAGGAGATGTACCTGGTCTTGCTCCATTTTCAGTTTATGCAAATTTCTCATTATTTTACTTTAGTTTGTATATTCAAAATGAATTTTACAAGTTATGAACATCATTAAACTAATGTTGCCTCTTATTAACATATGTAAATCCTTTTTCCTTCTTTATTTTATTCAGTTGCAATCACCAATAACTATCCTGATATTGCCAATATGTTATTAGATGCTGGCTGTGATGTTGATAAGAGAGATAGGTTACAGAATTCTCCAATACATGTAGCAGTCAGACAAGGTACAACTCATAGTTGTCTTATTTTATGCCCTGCAAAAATAGTAAAGGGGCATTATGTTTTCAAGTTTGTGCATCTATCTGTTAAAATGTCTGTTAGACTTTACATGATGTATCAGGTTAAAGTTTTAGTTTAGTTGAGTTTTAGGTCACATAAACTTGAAACACATGTTCATTATGAATTGATTTGCCAAATTAGGGGTTTAACCCAGATTTCATGTTTCATCGAAAAGGAAACTTGAAACTTAGTATACTTGTTCACTATTAAGTGAACTGTTTAAAATATATGGCAAATAAGGGTTTTGACAAAGATTTTACATTTCATGGAGTATGGAAATATGATCAGATGATAGTGTGTGTGAGTGGGGTATTGTGCCCTATTGACACATATTCTTGTTAAGTCAAAACAATTGCGACATCATCAAATTTGTACTTATTATTAGCAACATGAAGGATGCCACCTGTGGAGCAGAATCTGCTTACATTCTGTAGATAATCCCTATTTTTTGTGGTGTTTGTGTTCCTCAGTTTTTATGTAGTGTTATGTTGACAGTTTGTCCTTTTTGTTGTTTTTGTTTTTTGCCATGGCGTTGTTGGTTTCCCTTCAACTTATGCATTTTGAATGTCCATGTTGTATCTTTCTCCTCTTTTAAGAACATGAAGTATGAACTTTTCTGATTATTTGGCATCTTTCGTCCCTCCATCATCTGCCATTCTAAATAAACTTAGGTGCTGGCTGTGATGTTGATAAGAGAGATAGGTTACAGAATTCTCCAATACATTGAGCAGTCTTAAAAGTTACAAACACATCATGTACATAGTTGTCTTTAATTTTTTAGCCAACAGGGAAAATGTGAGTTGTTCTGATCATTTGCATTTAGCTTCCTTCATCCATCCAATATCCAGCATCCAGCATAAACCTTTAGAGAAATCTAATACTCTGATGTCAAACTTGGCCATTATTGTCTTTAGGATGCTTACCAGTTCCAAACAAAATATCCTATGTTCCTGTTAATTAAACATTACTGTGACTATTACAAGGAATAGACAATAAATTCAATAAAAATAAAACTGTTAAAAAATCTTCAAAATTTTTACCAGCTGCTATATTTTGTAAAACATTAACATTGGTTATGAATGAATGGAGATATGTGGTATAAGTTAATGAAACAGCAACCCAATGAAAAATAACCAAGACATATACAGACTTAGGTTCAATTTCTTTTAAAATCACCAGAAACCCCACTTTCTACCATTTTTTATTCTTCACTCTACTTCTAGTACGACTGGGGTCAATTTTGAGAACATTCTACCAGATGATTGCTAGTTAGTAATATAGTCTCTTAATAGCCTGAAATTCATTTAAACTTGTATGTTGATAGTTTCATTAGTATTTGGACAAGAAGAAGAGGCCATGTCTGTTGTGAAGAAAATTGTACAGTTAGGCTGTGACATTAATGTTGGGGATATGGAAGGAAAAACTCCACTTATTCTCAGTGCTTTTGCTGGGAATAAAGGTAGGTTACTCTGGTAATACCACTTTCCCCAACCGATCAAACAAATCAGGAAAAACTCCACTTATACTCAGTGCTTTTGCTGGGAAAAAAGGTAGGTTACTCTGGTAATACCACTTCCCCCAACCGATCAAACAAACCAGGATAAACTCCACTTTAACATTGCTTTTGCTGGGAATAAAAGAGATAACTCTGGTAATATGACTTCCCCACTGATCAAACAAACCAGGAAAAACTCCACTTATACTCAGTGCTTTTGCTGGGAATAAAGGTAGATAACTAGGGTAATATGACTTCCCCTGATCAAACAAACCAGGAAAAACTCCACTTATACTCAGTGCTTTTGATGGGAATAAAGGTAGATAACTCTGGTAATATGACTTCCCCTGATCAAACAAACCAGGAAAAACTCCACTTCTACTCATTGCTTTTGCTGGGAATAAAGGTAGATAACTCTGGTCATATGACTTCCCCTGATCAAACAACCAGGAAAAACTCCACTTATACTCAGTGCTTTTGCTGGGAATAAAGGTAGATAACTCTGGTAATATGACTTCCCCACTGATCAAACAAACCAGGAAAAACTCCACTAATACTCAGTGCTTTTGCTGGGAATAAAGGTAGATAACTCTGGTAATATGACTTCCCCACTGATCAAACAAACCAGGAAAAACTCCACTTATACTCAGTGCTTTTGCTGGGAATAAAGGTAGATAGCTCTGGTAATATGACTTCCCCACTGATCATAATATGACTTCCCCACTGATCAAACAAACCAGGAAAAACTCCACTTATACTCAGTGCTTTTGCTGGGAATAAAGGTAGATAACTCTGGTAATATGACTTCCCCACTGATCAAACAACCAGGAAAACATGTTCTCATGGATTATTTATTATACAGTTTTATACAACTATTTCTTTAAATAAATCTTGGCTATTTTGGAAATGACAGTTTCTTTAAATTCATTTGTATGCAAGGAGAATGAGCCAACAGTTCTGTCAGAAGAAAATAATGTCATCATCAATTAAACTTTTCATTACAGTTCCAACTTGAAATAACAATTGAAGAAATGATTTCAATTCACCTGATCACAACTTCAGAATCTCAATCTCATGATTTATTATCATTTATTTATAAACTTATTATCCCATTTACTATTTTATAGAACTAACAGAGTTGTTCCTTCAGAAGAATGCTGATGTTACCAAATGGACAACAACAGGTGACACAGCTTTACATGCAGCCTGTAGTTCAATCAAAAGTCAGCCAGAAATTGTTGAAATGCTGGTCAAAGCAGGTAGTACAATAATATAAAGTCAGTAATGTGATGTTTTTAAAAAAGATCTATATTTTAAGTTGTTACAAGCTAAACCTTAAGTAGGTTAAACTTCAAGTATAATGTTTGCATTTATATTGTTTGCTTCATCTTGTATAATAATAAAATTTACTGTAATATAATAAACTGAACAAGATGGAGATGTACCTGGGGCAGATTAGAAATTAATATATGGTTTAGACTGTATGTATTACTGAATACCATGTGTTGACCTCAAAATGTCTTGATTTTTTTGTATTGTTGGGTTGTTGTCTCAATGACATGAATCTCACTGCTTTTTATTAAGATGGAAAGTAAAAAATTACCTAGAAGCAATAAAACATTAAATTGAAGAGATACTAAAAATACCATGGCAAACTATATATCAACAAAGATGGAGCAACACAATCACTACCAAAATGCTGTTAGGAATTCTGGTAAACTGGAAGGTCAACAGTCCTTGTTTCACTTGTGACACCTGCCATGTTGATGGTCACATGTAAAATTCATCTGATATGTCATACTTAAAAGTCGGGAGTGAAGAAAGAGAGACAGGATTTAGACTCTGATCATCGTAATATGTTACTCAAATGTTTATTTACAATCTGTGAAGTTGAAGATATATTATAAGATGGGTATTTACACAATTTATATATAACTGATGATATTTTACATTACAATACTGTAAATCTAGAAATTATTGCAAGGTTTTTATAAATGCAATTAATGCGACTTGGGGATTATTGCAGTAATAAGAACTGGTATTCTGATATCTGATACATATATCTGTGTGCAGATGTTCCTGAAATCGCAATAGTTTATGTCATATTTTTGTCTATTCTTCACAAATCGCAATAATAAATGTACACAATAATTTCTGAATTTACAGTACTATGGGAGGTCATCATTGGAATCAATAGTTGGACATACAACATGTTTTTGCATCTTTTTGTTGAAATTCCTAATGTTTTTTTGTGGTGAGAAGGTCTTTTGCATAGGAACAAATCGTTGATTGTTGATCTGTTTAATTTTATAGGTTGCAGAATAAATGATCCAAACAACAACGGTGAAATTCCACTATTTTCAGCACTTTTTAACAGAGCAGATATTAGGGTAGGTAATAATAGTACAAATGCACTGCTATGAACTATGAATTATTTCTCCACAGTTTAGACGTCAATTGTCGAGGTTAGCTTGAAATAATCCCACTAGCAAATTTAAAAAAGTGAATAGATACCACATTTTTTCTGCAGTGTCATCAAACAAAGTACACTGATTGGCCATGGCTTAGTTGTATATCCGGTTTGTTTTTATGTCAAATTATTATGATCTAAGTGTATGTTTTAGTCTCACCTTGACTGAGTAAAAAAGCGAGACATAGGTATGCTGTTTCTGGCGTCTGCGGTGGCGGCGTTGTCAACAATGTATTAGTTTGTGATTAGGTCTAGTTTATGGTGAACCACTAGTGGTAGGTCAACGATATTTGGTATGCAGTTGTATTAGCATTGGCAAATCTCATTACCATGGAGATTATTTGGCCCTGCCCCCTCAGTCATGGTCTATTGACTTTTAAACTTTTCTTAGTTTACATGTATTAGCTTGTAATTAGGTCAGTTTATGGGGAACCACTAGTTGTAGGTCAATGATATTTGGTATGCAGTTGTTTAAGCATTGGCATATCTCATTTCCATAGAGATCATGTGGCCCCGCCCCCTCAGTCATGGTCTATTGACTTTGAAACTTTTGCTTAGTTTACATGTATTAGTTTGTGATTAGGTCAGTTTAAGATGAACCACAAATGTTAAGTCAATGATATTTGGTATGCAAATGTATTGGCATTTGCAAGTTTCTTTTCCATGGAGATTATATAACCCCACACCCTCATTATGGTTCATTGACTTTGAAACTTTTACATAGTTTACAATTAATGTTGGTGTTTGTTTAAAGGGAACCACTTATGAGATTTCAGTGGTATTTGGTATACAGTTGTATTAGTATTGGCACATCTCATTTCCATGGAGATTGTTTAGCCCTGTACCTTCAGTCATGGTTCATTGACTTTGAATATTTGCATAACTTACATATTAATAAAGTATTGCTATTTTAATTTCAACATTTGCATTACTGTGGATTCATTTATTTTCGTGAGTATCAATTTTCGTGGATAGAGAAAAAAAGACGTTTCGTGGTATACGTAAATTCGTGGATAGCTGATTACAAAAAAAAAAAAAAAAATCAGATACGTAATTCATGGATTTCTTTTTCATTTAGGAGATCATATAACCTCCTTGGTTTGATCAATAGCAAAACAAACAAAAAAGAAGGAATTCATTGAAAAAGTTTTGAATTGTCAAAATCCTCGCTTGGTCATTCTAGGTTAAAGTGTTCATTGAAAACTTCTATTACAATAATGGTCAGAGACAGCTAATTATTTGTTTGTTTTACAATTTATAAATCTTGTCAGAATTATATAACGCATTCAAAACTTTTATGATTGAAAGCTCATTTCCCTAATCACGATATAATAAACAGTCATAAAAGTAAAAGGTGTGAAAATAAATGTTCCTGTCATAAACAATATTACCTACGGGCAATATCCCCATTCTTAATCCTATTGGTTTTTAATCACCAGTAAACCAAACTATGACACGGTAATTAACAACTTGCAGTTATTTTCCATGAACAGTTTTAATCATTTTAAAAAGTAAATTATCACTGATATTCGATATTTTTATTATTGATTTAATCAAAATGCTTGTATCTTCTTTCAATAAAAACACGTGTTATGTTACAATATTATCGCTAGTCAACACTATACTAGAACTTCATAACATAACCGGAAATAAACATCCGAATCCATACACATTTCTCGGGATTATTCTTCGTTGAATTCTTAAATTCGTGGTTCGCTGTGACCCACGAAACCCACGAAAATTTGTATACCAGGAATAAAAAAGAATCCACAGTATCAAAATAACAAATAGGCGAGACATATCTCTGTGTTAACAGTTTATTTTTATTTGTTGGTGTTAAACACCACTTTCAGTGGCCTTGTCCATATCATGGCGGCCAGCTTTTAAAGTTGAAGGAAGCCTGAGAATCTGGAGTGAACAACAACCTTCCAAAGGAAAACTGGCAATCCGTGTCAGATAAGAAAGGAATCAAACCCAACTCTACAAGTGCAGGGTTTTGATCCTCAGTGTTGAGAGACTAGTGATCACTGTGCACAGACTACTTAGAAGGCTTGGCAGCCAAGGTCCCCAATCTTTTAGTCTGAAAAAAGTGTATAGATAAGATAGAATTTAAGTTATGAATCCAATCTTATTGTTGTTCCTAATGTGGTGCCTTTTTTATGCCCTCATTGTAGTAGTAGGGGCTTAATATTTTCTGGCCTATGCTTGGTCAGTCTGACCTATATCTTGTTAAAGTTTCGGTTAAGGTAGTTCACAATAAAGTTGTGGTCACATCAACTAGAAACTTAGTATATACATGTTCATTATGATATCAACTTTAAAAAATCATATGCCAAATTACCCCCAATTTCATGGTTCACTGAACATAGATATGTGTTAGTGTGAAATTAGTACATTCTCTGGTTACAATGAAATTGTGATCCTATTAACTCAAAACTTAACACACATATTCATTGTGAGTTGAACTTTCAAAATTCTATGCCAAATTGGGATTTCATCCCCTCGACACTGATTTCACTGTTCACTGAACATGGACTTATGATAGTACGAGCAGGGCATGGTTTTCTATGGACGTATATTCTTGTTTTATTATTTGTGTAAGCTTATTAGACTCTTGAAAAAAACCACAATTCTAATGCACCTCATATTTGATTCTTTATTGTCGAGACTGTGACTTTTGTCGCAGAAAACTCGACATAGGGATAGTGATTCGGCGGCGGCAGCGTTAACTTACTTCTTAAAAGCTTAATATTTCAGAAGGTAGAAGACCTGGATGCTTCATACTTTGTATATAGATGCCTTATGATATGAAGTTTCCGTCTGTCATATGTCCATTGTCCTTGACCTCATTTTCATGGTTCAGTGACTACTTGAAAAAAAAGTTCAGATTTTTTGTAATGTTAATTTCTCTCTTATTATGAGTAATAGGATAACTATATTTGGTATGTGCCTACCTTGCAAGGTCCTCAAGCCTGTCAGACAGTTTTCACTTGACCTCGACCTCATTTCATGGATCAGTGAACAAGGTTAAGTTTTCGTGGTCAAGTCCATATCTGAGATACTATAAGCAATAGGTCTACTATATTTGGTGTATGTAATGATTGTAAGGTGTACATGTCCAACTGGCAGGTGTCATCTGACCTTGACCTCATTTTCATGGTTCAGTGGTCATAGTTTAGTTTTTGTGTTTTGGTCTGTTTTTCTAATACTGTATGCAATAGGTCAACTGTATTTGGTGTATGGAAATATTTTACGATGTTCATGTCAGTCTGGCAGGTTTTATTTGACCTTGACCTCATTTTCACGGTTCATTGCTCAATGTTAAGTTTTTGTGTTTTGGTCTGTTTTTCTAACACTGTATGCAGTTGGTCAACTATGTTTGGTGTATTGAAATATTTTACGATGTACATGTCAATCTGGCATGTTTCATTTGACCTTGACCTCATTTTCACGGTTCATTGCTAAATGTTAAGTTTTTGTGTGTTGGTCTGTTTTTCTAATACTGTATGCAGTAGGTCAACTATATTTGGTGTATGGAAATATTTAATGATGTACATATCAGTCTGGCAGGTTTTATTTGACCTTGACCTCATTTTCATGGTTCATTGCTTATGTTAAGTTTTTGTGTTTTGGTCTGTTTTTCTTAAACTTTAAGCAATAGGTCAACTATATTTGGTGTATGTCTGTCTGGCAGGTATCATTTTCATGGTTGATTGGTCAATGTTCAGTTTTCCTGGTTAACTTTTTTTCTTAGATACCTTAAGCCATAGGTCAACTATATTTGATGCATGGAATGATTTTAAGGTGTACATGTCTGTCTGGCAGGGTTCAAATGACCTTGACTTCATTTTCATGGTTCATTGGTCAGTATAGAATTTCCATGGTTTGGTCTGTTTCTTTTATACTATAAGCAATAGTCATCTATATTCTGTGTATGGAGGGATTGTATTAAAGGTGTACATGTATTTCCGGCTTGGTTTATCTGACCTTGACCTCATTTTCTTGGATCATAAATGTTAATGTGATACTTGTAGTAAAACTTTATATGTAGGACTATCAACATAAAATCAATGGTCAGTATAGTAGGCCAGACATTTCAGCCTGTAAACACTTGTCTTTATAATTCAAAGCTTGAAGAAGATGAGGTAACTTAAATTGGTGAGTTTTGTTAAAAGTATGTTTTATTTTTATATAAATTTTCTATACATTACTTGAATAGATCATAAGAGGACTTGTAAAGAATGGCAGTGACCTGAATTACAGAGAGAAAACTAACCAACTTTCACCACTACATGAAGCTATTATCCAAAATCTTACAGAGGCAGCTATATTCTTGATAGAATCTGGTATGATACCTTTGTTCCATGAATTAAAAAGAAAATGATTTGAAAATAGAATTTTGTTTCCCATACAGTTTTCTGGCTGTAACTTTTTTCTCCTTTGACATAGACAAGATATGATATTTGCTACGCTGGTATGTCACAATGAGATAATAAGTTAGTCATTTGTATGTCCCTGCAACTACTGTAAATTCACAAATATTTGCCATGTTTTTTTATTTTTTATGGAAAATTGCTATAGACTATGTATTGCAAAAATAAAAACTCAGCTAGTGGCTATAGCATAAAATGTTACCCATGCATAAAATTGAGAATGGAAATGGGGAATGTGTCAAAGAGACAACAACCTGACAAAAGAGCAGAAAACAGCCGAAGGCCACCAATGGGTCTTCAACACAGCAAGAAAATCCCCCACATGGAGGCTGGCTTCAGTTGGCCCCTAAACAAAAATGTGTACTAGTTCAATGTTCAGTTTTAGAATTATGGCCCTTGGGAGAATTTTTTGGGGAGTACATTTGCATGTAATCATAAATTATTGATCAAGCTTCTGTGTTGTACCAGTTGACTTACTTTTGGCAGAATTACAGATGATTTTTTTGTGCCAACAAATCTAGTTACTTATTCCATTCATTGATATTTTGAATATTTATCTCCTTTCAACATGAGATTTTAACTTCAGAATTTTTAAATTGCCTTATAGTTTTTTTCCTATTTTATTCTTATATATCTCATTAAATGATGCAAAAAATGTTCCGAAATGACTTGTGTATTGCTTGATTTTCTACGTTGTGATTTCAGGTTGTGATATCAACAAACCAAACAAGCACCTGCAGCAGCCTCTGTATACAGCCTGTGAGAAGGGTAACGAGAAAATTGTTCAGTATTTACTAAGTACAGGCAAATGTCAGATTAATGGTCTTGTTTCCACAGCTATACCATTACATGTAGCTATGCTGAATAATCATGGGAGAATTGTGGAGATTCTTGCCAAAGCTGGGTGTAATCTTAATAAGGTATGTATCACTATATTTGTATCAAATTAAAATCTCAAACCAAAGATCTTATCAGAATAAGGCATTTTATCAGAGTAGAATTTCAACCATTTATCTTTTAAGGATAACTGCATTTTATTGAACCAAAGATCTTTTTAGGTTAACTGCATTCAGTCAAACCATACATTTATTTAGGTTGGTTTATCTTACTAGATTTGTTTGTCCAATCTTATATTCATTCAATTTAATCAAGGTAAACATACTTTTTAATGTGTTGGTCACCAATGCATATAGTTTTACTCTTTATCTCCCTTATTTAATTCCATAATGATTGATCTATTTTGGCAGAATTATGTCCCTTGGACTTAAATATAAAAGAAAATTGTACTTGTCAACACCTTTTTCTCCCGTCTGGAGTGTCTGCTGATATTGATCTGATTAGATGAATAATTGCATGATAATGTCAGAGAAACAGATCTTTTTTATAACTTTATTATTGGTATTATGGCCTATAAATTCATAATACCGGTATGCATCATTATGATGCTTTTGTGCATCTGTTTCCTTCTGATACATTTATATTGTCTAAAGTCGACTCATTCTTTATTTTTATGCTTTTGGTTTGAATGCACATTAAAATGATTGTAAACCAAGGAAAGTACAGGGAAAAGATTAGAAATAATTGAAAATAAATCCTGAGGTTAAATTGAAAGATGCTTTTACAAATAAAAACTTGTGTGAACATAGGGTTGGATGTTTTACACACAGTATGTACGGGACTCAAAATGTCCCTCTTACATGTATTTTGTTTATTTTACAATTTCTATTTAAAATCCTCTAAAATTCCATTGTTTTGTAGATCAACCATAAGTGCTTGTCACCAATTATGTTTGCTGCAGAACAGAATGAATTGGCTATGGCAAAGCTACTACTGAAATATGGATGTGACCTTAATGCTCAAGCCAAGGTCAAAGGAATGATGAAGTGTTGTCTCATGTATCCAGTAGATAAACATCCACATTTTGAACTGGAACCATTATTTTTTGCTGTCACACATAAGAACCGAGATATGATTGATTTATTTCTTCATTGCTATAATGACAATCCTCCCTATTGGGTGATACAGCTTCTAATCAAATTTCTGAAAGAAATTACACAATTAAATGCACAAATGACACCAGATCAAAAGAAAGAATTGATTGTCTTGTTTTTAAAGTCATGTAAATTACCCAGAAGTTTACAACAGATCTGTAGAGGAACAATACGAGAGACTCTTGGTACACTTCCTCAGGAGAAAGTTAAAAAACTTCCATTAGCAGAAAAATTGAAGGATTACATTTTAATGAAGGAGATATTTACAGAAGAAGAAACAAAAGAAGAAGAACTCTCCAACGAAGAAAGAGACTTGGGAAGATTTAATTAGGAAGTGAAAGAAGTTAGACAAAATAATTACCTATTAGTATTAAGTATGAGGAATTAAATTGCTAGTATTGTCCTGTGGACAAGTAACCTTAACTGTCCCTGATTTTCCTACAAAGTTTAAAACATGGGACTTGAAACAGTACATGTGAATTCCTCAGCAAGCCTCATTAATCTTCTTGTTACTCATTATTTTTATACAGAAAACCATCCATATTACAAGACATTATACAGCTATTGTCTGTTTGGAATTTTTTTTTTACATATCTTCTATGGAAAAAAATTATTGATGGTCAATACTAAATAGTTACACTATAACAATAAGTGTAAATGGCAATTAGCATTAATCAAACATTGAACCATTTTCCTTAAAAAAAAACTCAAGATCATAAAAATTACATAATTTAGCTAGCTAGTCCTTGATATGTTTTCAATATATTACCAACTATAGTGCAATTTATCTTAAGTGGGCATTATAAACAGTTTAAGTGTTGTACAAAACTTAGTAAAATCCTTTTACCTTGGCACAAGTGTATCCTGTTTAACAGTAATGGTGTTCCAAAAATATGGGTATTATACTATACCGATATTGACTATGTTCCTAGACTATAGCAGCAGATGTTTGAGTATGTGGTAATATAGTATTATACTATACCGATATTGACTATGTTCCTAGACTATAGCAGCAGATGTTTGAGTATGTGGTAATATAGTATTATACTATACCGATATTGACTATGTTCCTAGACTATAGCAGCAGATGTTTGAGAACACAGCCAAATTCAAGCAGGTGCAGGTCAACAGATGTGATTCTACCTGTCATTCAAATGTAAGCAAGGAGTGAATAGATTGATAATGAGCCTATGGTCCCACAACTGTTTCCATCAAAACAATCAAAAAAAATAAATTTAGAAATAATTTTTACAGTACATACATGTATATTTACTATTTTATATAAACCATTTATATAATAGAAAAAAATAGAACAATATATAATGTTGCACATAGTTGTGGCAGATAATATCACTTATGATGTAATACAATATATTTAGTCTTTTTTTTTTGTGACCCATGACAAATAATTTGGTTATAATGTTTTAACCCAGTCTTTCTGTGCCTCTGTCTGTCCAGGTATCCATCAGTCCTTCTGTTGAAGAGTTTTTGTATTTTGCTCATATCCTACAGTAGTTTTTAGCAAAAGTTTTTGAATTTGCAAACTATTTATGCATAAACTGAAGATGTGCCTACTATCAGGGTAATAAAGTGTTCATGGTTTATTTTCAGAATGATGGGTAGTTGAACTAGTCATGGTTTTTTTTCTTCTCAATTTTATATGTAATATATATGGAGCATTTTATTATTTAGTGGAATATTTATGTACATTCAAAAGGTATGCCTATTATCAGGATAATGATGTTATATCAGTTATCAAAGTAGACCTGAACTTTTCAGGAATCAATTGTTTTGTCTAAAATATCATTAAAACAGTGGAGTCATTATATTTGTTTTACAGATACATGAAACTGCAATGCAAACAACAAAATACTCTTCATTTATCTAATGTCAATGTGTAAAGGCTTTACACGGGCAAACTTTTGTCTAGTTTTTGTCGAGCCTGCGACTTTTGTCGCAGAAAGCTCGACATAGGGATAGTGATCCGGCAGCGGCGTTAGCTAACTTCTTAAAAGCTTTATATTTTAGAAGGTTGAAGACCTGGATGCTTCATACTTTGTATATGGATGCCTCATGTTACGAAGTTTCCGTCAGTCACATGTCCAATGTCCTTGACCTCATTTTCATGGTTCAGTGACTACTTGAAAAAAAAGTTAACATTTTTTGTAATGTTAAATTCTCTCTTATTATAAGTAGTAGGATAACTATATTTGGTATGTGCGTACCTTGCAAGGTCCTCATGCCCGTCAGACAGTTTTCCCTTGACCTCGACCTCATTTCATGGATCAGTGAACAAGGTTAAGTTTTGGTGGTCAAGTCCATATCTGAGATACTATAAGCAATAGGTCTAGTATATTCGGTGTATGGAAGGACTGTAAGGTGTACATGTCCAACTGGCAGGTGTCATCTGACCTTGACCTCATTTTCATGGTTCAGTGGTTATAGTTAAGTTTTTGTGTTTTGGTCTGTTTTTCTAATACTGTATGCAATAGGTCTACTATATTTGGTGTATGGAATGATTGTAAGGTGTACATGTCTTGCTGTCAGGTGTCATTTGACCTTGACCTTGTTTTCATGGTTCAGTGGTCAAAGTTAAGATTTTGAGTTTTGGTCTTTTTTTCTAATACTATATGCAATAGGTCAACTATATTTGGTGTATGGAAATATTTTATGATATGTCAGTCGCGCAGGTTTTATTTGACCTTGACCTCATTTTCACAGTTCATTGCTCAGTGTTAAGTTTTTGTGTTTTGGTCTGTTTTTATACGACCGCAAAAATTAAAAAATTTTTGGTCGTATATTGGTATGACGTTGGCGTCGTCGTCGTCGTCGTCATCGTTGTCGTCGTCGTCCGGCGTCGTCCGAAGACACATTGGTTTTCGCACTCTAACTTTAGTTTAAGTGAATGGATCTCCATGAAATTTCACCATAAGGTTCAATACCACGAAAGGAAGGTTGGGATTGATTTTGGGGGTTATGGTACCAACAGTTAAGGAATTAGGGGCCAAAAAGGGGCCAAAAATAAGCATTTTTGTAACTTTCAGACAATAACTTGTGTGTAAGTGTATGGATCCCTCTGACATTGTACCACAAGGTTCCATATCACAAAGGGAAGGCTGTAATTGATTTTGGGGGTAATTGCCTCAAAATTTTAGGAATTAGGGGCCAAAAAAGGGGCAAAAAACAAGCATTTTTCTAGTTTCATGACAATAACTTGTGTGTAAGTGTTTGGATATTTCTGAAATTGTACTACAAGGTTCCATATCACAAAGGGAAAGCTGGAATTGAGTTTGGGGGTAATTGCCCGAAACGTTTAGGAATTGGGGGCCAAAAAGGGGCCAAAAATAAGCATTTTTCTAGTTTCCAGACAATAACTTGTGTTCAAGTGTATGGATCTCTCTGAAATTGTACTGCAAGGTACCATACCACAAAGGGAAGGCTGGGATTGAGTTTGGGGGTGATGAATCATAAGGGGGTTCAAAAAATTTGGGGGGGATTTTTTTTTTTTTTTTTTTTCTTTTTTTCCTTTTTTTTTTCTTTTAAAATTTTCCATTTTAAGTTGGTTATTTCTGATTTATATTTAAAAGCAAATAATAATGATATGGTAGGAGATACACACCAAACAGGATGTGTAAATTATTATATAATAAGTATTGTGCAATAGCAAGAAATTTTCAATTGCACAGTATTGCACAATAGCAAGAAATCTTCAATTGCACAGTATTGCGCAATAGCAAGAAATCTTCAATTTAACAGTATTGCGCAATAGCAAGAAATATCTAATAGCACAATATTGCGCAATAGCAAGAAATTGTCAATTGTACAGTATTGCGCAATAGCAAGAAATATTCAATTGCACAGTATAGTGCAAAAGAAGATACTTCGTATAAATTGCTTATTTCTTGATCAGTTTCAATGGGGTTTTATTCTTGAATTCTTGGGGTTCTTTAATATGGTGAATCTAACCGTGTATTAAGTTTTTGGATTTTGGGCCCCGTTTTTAAATTGGTCCACATTGAGGTCCAAAGGGTCCAAAATTTAACTTTGTTTGATTTCATCAAAAATTGAATTAATGGGGTTCTTTGATATGCCGAATCTAACCGTGTATTTAGATTTTTAATTTTGGGTCCCGTTTTTTAAATTGGTCTACATTAAGGTCCAAAGGGTCCAAAATTAAACTTAGTTTGATTTTAACAAAAATTGAATTCTTAGGGTTCTTTGATATGCTGAATCTAAACATGTGTTTAGATTTTTGATTATGGGCCCAGTTTTTAAGTTGGTCCAAGTTGGGGTCCAAAATTAAACTTTGTTTGATTTCAACAAAAATTGAATATATGGGGTTCTTTGATATGCTGAATCTAAACATGTATTTAGATTTTAGATTTTTGGCCCAGTTTTCAAGTTGGTCCAAATTGGGGTCCAAAATTAAACTTTGTTTGATTTCAACAAAAATTGAATATATGGGGTTCTTTGATATGCTGAATCTTACCATGTATTTAGATTTTTTATTTGTGGGCCCGCTATCAAATTGGTTCATATTGAGGTCAAAAGGGTCCAAAATTAAACTTTGTTTGATTTCATCAAAAATTGAATTATTGGGGTTCTTTGATATGCCAAATCTAACCGTGTATTTAGATTTTTAATTTTGGGTCCTGTTTTTTAAATTGGTCTACATTAAGGTCCAAAGGGTCCAAAATTAAACTTAGTTTGATTTTAACAAAAATTGAATTTTTGGGGTTCTTTGATATGCTGAATCTAAACATGTGTTTAGATTTTTGATTATGGGACCAGTTTTCAAGTTGGTCCAAGTTGGGGTCCAAAATTAAACTTTGTTTGATTTCAACAAAAATTGAATATATGGGGTTCTTTGATATGCTGAATCTAAACATGTATTTAGATTTTAGATTTTTGGCCCAGTTTTCAAGTTGGTCCAAATTGGGGTCCAAAATTAAACTTTGTTTGATTTCAACAAAAATTGAATATATGGGGTTCTTTGATATGCTGAATCTTACCATGTATTTAGATTTTTTATTTGTAGGCCCGCTATCAAATTGGTTCATATTGAGGTCAAAAGGGTCCAAAATTAAACTTTGTTTGATTTCATCAAAAATTGAATTATTGGGGTTCTTTGATATGCCAAATCTAACCGTGTTTTTAGATTTTTAATTTTGGGTCCCGTTTTTTAAATTTGTCTACATTAAGGTCCAAAGGGTCCAAAATTAAACTTAGTTTGATTTTAACAAAAATTGAATTCTTCGGGTACTTTGGTATGCTGAATCTAAACATGTGTTTAGATTTTTGATTATGGGACCAGTTTTCAAGTTTGTCCAAGTTGGGGTCCAAAATTAAACTTTGTTTGATTTCAACAAAAATTGAATATATGGGGTTCTTTGATATGCTGAATCTAACCATGTATTTTGATTTTGGACATTGGACCATAATAGGTAAATTAAAAAAATTGAAGTTCTTAGACCACATTCTTTCTGTGTCAGAAACCTATGTTGTGTCAAATATTTAATCACAATCCAAATTCAGAGCTGTATCAAGCTTGAATGTTGTGTCCATACTTGCCCCAACTGTTCAGGGTTCGACCTCTGCGGTCGTATCAAGCTGCGCCCAGCGAAGCATTTTATTCTTAAACTATAAGCAATAGGTCAACTATATTTGTTGTATGGAAGAATTGTTAGCTGTACATGCCTGCCTAGCATGGTTCATCTGACCTTGACCTCATTTTCATGGTTCATTGGTCAATGTTTAGTTTTCTTGGTTAATGTTAAGTTTATGTGACAGTTGTAATAAAGCTTTATATTTAGGACTATCAACATAATATCAGTGATTAGTAAAGAAGGCGAGACATTTCAGCGTGTGCACTCTTTTTATTTAATTCAAAATTCAAAATTCAAACTGCATAAATAAATAGAATGTTTATTATTCAGATACTTTTCCCTTTACAATGTGATTGATTGATTGATTGTTGTTTGCTTTACGCCGCATTAGCACAGAAAGGCTATATCGCGGCGATCTTTACAATGTGATTTTTCCATTTACTATAAAGTGTTTTTCCCCCGTGGAGACCGTAATGAGTAGCCAAGGTCATTAAACACTCCCTAGTAGTAGATTTTCCATTATAAAGTGAGTATCCCAATCCAAAGGGTATGTTTTCCAATCGCAATTGGAATTCCCCATCACAAATGTAATTTCTACATTACAATTTAATTTTCCCATTACAAAGTAATTTCCACATTACAATGTAATTTTCCCATTTACAATGTTTTTGTTCCATTACAGTGTGATTTTTTTTTTTTATTACAATGTGATTTTTTTATCAATGTAATTTTTCCATTACTATGTTATTTTCTCTTTACATAAAATCAATTGTACCAAGATTTGTTTACAAGATGTGCAATATTTTTTTTTTACATTCAAATTTTCTTTCTGGATGTTGAAGGCAAATAAATGGTGCAAATATTTTTCAGGACATATATATTTTTTTATTGATTAGAAAATGCTTTAATTTTAAAAAAAATGACTAGTATAAATATCACCAAATATTGTTTTGTTTTTTTTCTAATTTAAAAAGAAATTTACCGGGAAATATTGGTTCCATGATATAAATATCTTATTATTTAATCTTATGTTGTATTATAGCAAACATGAAATAATTGTAAATTAAATTTAGTAATAGAAGTTTTCAGGAATATTACAAACTTAAAAGCATAAACATTGTGAAGGAAATATGATTGATTGTAGCTATTTAACGCCACTTTCAGCACTCTTTGCTATATCATGGCACCCAGTTTTTATTTGTGGAGAAAGGTGTAGTGCAATTATATAGAACTGCTACTTTCGGCAGGAAAACTGACAATCCTTGTCAATTAAGATCTGAGTTGAATACACTTCCCACGAGGGGTATTCAAACTCACAACCTCAGTTGTTGACATGATAGTGATCACCTTAGATGAACTACTTAGACCAGGTGACCATCAAGACCCCCATGAAAATATTATAGTGCTATATTGATTAAATATAATGATGATAAAAAGAAACCTGTTGAAAGAATGAAAAATGAGAAGTAAAGTGTAAAGAATTTAAACATTATAAAAAAAAAAGAATTTAAATGTTTTTTTGTAAAATTCCAATATGGAACATACTTTACATGATAGAAGTTTAAAAAAAAATAAATTTCAAGATGATTCACCCACCTACCTTCTTCAGTTTTGCTTTTTGTCTCAACGACATATGGTAGATCAGTTGTCTTTCACTTTCGAAAGGTAACAAAATATTTTCTATGTGTTTTGGAGAGAAAACAGAAAGTAAAGAAAACCAGTGAAAATAATGGATGAATATTCTGTTGTATAGCAATCCAATAGTTATTGGGGTTTTGAGTCATTCTAAAGCCAACTTTTGAAATTTCCTGTAATGCAACGATGTAACTGTACAGACAGGTGTGTATTGCAGCATTATTTACTGTTAAATATCTTCACATTTGATATCAATCATTGTATTTATTAGCTTACTTGGTCATAGATCTGACAACTGGTGTTTACACTTTTAAGATTATTGTTTTTATTTTTAGTGCTGACTGATTTTTGTCACTGTTCCTCAGAATGTTGTAATATACTATTAGTGGATTAATTTATTTACACTTAGTATTTTAAATTTTATGTAAAGGATTGTTGATTGTTAATATATTATAGCAGTATTTCAAATCTGTTTATGGTGCTCTTTTTTATTATATTCTTTCAATTTTGCAAATAAAATTTTACTTACAAATAATAGTGTTAAATTTTCTTCTTCAAGTTCCTAAAGTTTATTAAACTATTTGTATTAAACGGTATATTTCAGAGGGTAGTAGTCCTGGAGGCTTCATACCTTGTTTACAGATGCCTTATGTTGCAAAGTTATGTCCATTGTCATTTCCCTCATTTTCATGGTTCAGCAACTGCTTGACAAAAAGTGTAGTTTTTTTTTGTTATGTGAATTTCTAATTTATTATGAGAAATAGGATAACTTTATTTGGTACAAAAATGTATACGAGTTCCTTGCAATGTCTACATGTCTTTCAGACAGGGTTCACCTGACCTCAACCAGTGATCAAGGTTAAAGTTACATGTTAAAGTCCCTTTCTCAGATAATGTAGCAGTAGGTCAGCTGTATTTGGTGTATGGAATTATTGTAACGTGTACATGTCATTCCGGCAGGTTTCATTAGAACATGACCTCATTTTCATGGTTCATTGGTCAATGTTAAGTTTTTGTGTTTTGGTCTGTTTTCCTAATACTGTAAGCAATAGGTCAACTATGTTTGGTGTATGGAATGATTGCAAGGTGTACATGTCTGTCTGGCAGGTATCATATGTCCTTGAACTCATTTTCATGGTTCAGTAAAGTTTCAATAGTAAGGTCCTTTTCTAAGATACTATAAATAAAGGCAACAGTAGTATACCGCTGTTCAATAGTCATAAATCAATTAAGCGAAAACAATTCCGGGTCACAAACCAAAACTGAGGGAAACACATCAACTATAAGAGGAAAACAACGGATCAACAGAAACACTGAACTGCAACAAAAACAAACGCCAACATACATAGAAACGGACTATTTGACAACAACTGCCATATTCCTGACTTGGTACAGGACATTTTAAGAAAAAATGATGGGTTGAACCTGGTTTTGTGGCTAGCCAAACCTCCCACTTATATGGCAATGTTAAAAATACCACTAAAATGACAACATTACATGACAGGAATACAGTACAAATAAACGCAAGAACACTCAGGACAGAGAAACACATAAATAAATAATATAATAGTACATTACAACATGTAAACCACAGAATAACAACAAACACTTCCCATGAATTCACGACAGCACACCAGGACACCACAAACGAATTATAAACTGTGCGTCACACAAATGTATCAACGCCACAAAATGTGACATTCTTGTGACGTTTATATTATCACAGGTAAATTTCTAAAAATAAAATAGATTTGTTTTATTAGAGACACGTAAAAGAATATAAGATTGAGTTTGTAATGGTGTTATTTTATGTATTTTCTAACCATGACAAGAATATCAAAATGGAATTGTGTTTTTAATGGTGTTATTATTTGTATTTTCTAACCTAACTATAAGAGAATTAACTGTTATCACAGAGATATGTCTCGCCTTTTTGTAATTTTCATTATGCAAATGTTGAAATTAAAATAGCAATACTTTAACATGTAATTTATGCAAATATTCAAAGTCAATGAACCATGACGGAGGAACATGGCTAAACAATCTCCATGGAAATGAAATGTGCCAATGCTAATACAACTACATACCAAATACCATTGACTTATTATAAGTCGTTCCCTTTAAACAAACCTAAACACAAACATTAACTTGTACATTATGTAAAAGTTTCAAAGTCAATGAACCATGAAGAGGGGTGGGGCTATATAATCTCCATGGAAACGATACTTGCAAATGCCAAAAAAATTGCATACCAAATATCATTGACTTAACATTAGCAGTTCATCTTAAACATGAACTAATACATGTAAACTAAACAAAAGTTTCAAAGTCAATAGACCATGTCTGAGGAGGCAGGGCCAAATATTCTCCATGGAAATGAGATGTGCCAATACTAATACAACTGCATACCAAATATGATTGACCTACCACTTGTAGTTCACCATAAACTAGACCTAATCACAAACTAATACATGTAAACTAAGCAAAAGTTTCAAAGTCAATAGACCATGACTGAGGGGCAGGGCCAAATAATCTCCATGGAAATGAGATGTGCCAATGCTAATACAACTGCATACCAAATATGATTGACCTTCCACTTGTGGTTCACCATAAACTAGACCTAATCACAAACTAATACATTGTTGATGCCGCCGAAGCGGGAAACAGCATACCTATATCTCGCTTTTTGACTCTGTCAAGGCAAGACAAAAACATAGGATATGGGGTATCCATCCATGACAAAAAATCAGTTCATGCACAGCAAAAACTCGCACAAAAAGCAAAGGAACAGCGCTTTTATTGCTGTTTTTCATCTCAAAGTCACAGTGAGGCCTTCAACACGGAGAAAAAAACTCTCACCTCACTGCAAGTTTAAGACAGCCCCTAGCACCGGCTTGAACTGAATTCTTTGCAAAAATAATTTGGATAGATTTTGTAAGATGTAACACCACCTAATCGGCTAACTATAAGCAACAGATCAACTATAATTTGTGTATGAAATGATTGTAAGGTGTACATGTCTGTCTGGCAGGGTTCGTCTGACCTTGACCTCATTTTCATGTTTCATTGGTCATATTACGTTTTCATGGTTTTGTCTTTTTCTTGAAATTATCATTTATATTTGGTGTAAATGTCTGTCTGGCTTGGTTAATCTGACCTTGACCTCATTTTCATGGATCATTGATTATGTGAAGTTTATGCGATACTTGTAGTAAAAATTTATCTTAGGACTAATAATAAATCATAAATAGTAAAGCCGTCAATATATTTCAGTGTGTACACTCCTTGTTTTTCTTTCAGTATACAAACATGACTAAAAAAAGAACATGGGGTGAAATGCATTAATTGCCTTATATCTTGAAAACCATATTAGATAGAAAAAAATCTTGTGGGACAAAAATGCTGAGGCTTTCAAGATATACCTACTACTTATTTTCACATAAATTATCAGATGACTCTTTAAGGAGCTTTTGCCCTTAAATGTTGAATTTTGGTTAATTTTCATGTTTTTTGCCTATTATTTCCAAAACTACATTAGATAGGCAAAATTTGTTCAAGCAAATATGATGAGCAATACAAGGTCTACAAAAATGCCATTATCACCAAAACCATTGAATGACTCCTTAAGGAGTAATTGCCAGTAAATGATGATTTTTGACTAAATCTAGTGCTCATCATCTTGAAAACTATAATGATAGGTAGAAATGTAAACAGCAAAAATATACAGAAATACAAAATCTACAAAGCTGCCAATTCGATCGAAACAATTGATTGATTGGTGTTTAATGCCACTTTCAACACTATTGTACTATTTCGTGGCGGTCAGTTTTATTGGTGGAGGAAGCCAAAGTGCCTGGGGAGAACCACAACCTTGGTAGGAAAACTGGCAATCCTAGTCTATTAAGATTGGAGTCAAGTGCACCTGCCCTGTGCGGGATTCGAACTCACAACCTCAGTGTTGACTGGCTAGTGATACAGTACCGTAGTTCAACTACTTAGACCACTCGGCCACCGAGGCCCCCCAAAACTATTGGAATACCTCTGAAGGAGTTAAAGGATAAATGATGATTTTTGACTCATTTTCTTGTCAGTCCTTTACTTGAGGTTACTGTTTTAAAAAAGTATGCTAAATTAGGGTTTTGACCCAGATTTTGCAGTTCCCTGAACACCAAAATGTAATATTGCAAGGGAACATAGTGTCACTGAATTCCTCAACTTTAAGATGTCCATTCTACAGGGTTTATCAGTATATTCGCCTCAATTTGTCGCTCACCTGCATCTTCAACAATGGCCACTTTTTTGTAAAAATCATTATTAAAGGGGAATAACTCTATAAAGAGTTAACTAATAATTTCGGTCATGTTTGACATATTTGATTAGATCTTGTCCTACTGATAATTATTCCTTTTTAAAGTTTCTATTTACCTATTATAGTTTTCAAGATAATGGGCAAAAAATGCAAAGAAATTTTAAAAATTATCATTAAAGGGCAATAACTCCAATAACGAGTCGACTGAAAATTTTGGCCATTATAGCTTATTTGTGGATCTTGTCTTGCTGATTTTAAGTGCTATTTAAAGTTTCTATCTATCCATTACTGTTTGCAATATAATAGGCAATAAACAGCTGCGCCATGAGCGCATGATACGCCCGTCGCTTTTTCAAAGAATAAAGTTCAATACCTTCTCAATGTCATATCAGAACTTTATAAATAAATTGCTTCGCCAAGCGCAGCTGGATACGACCGCAGAGGTCTAATCCTGAACATTTGGGGCAAAAATGGACACAATATTCGCGCTTGATACAGGTCTGAATTTGGATTGTAATTAAATATTTGACACATAATAGGTTTCTGACACAGAATTGGTTATATGAATTGAATTTATATTCAATTTTTTGCTTTTGTGCAATACACTTTGCTGTTGCGAATTGACCCCCCCCCCCCCCCCAAAAAAAAAAAAAATAATTTAACACACACACACACACCCCCCCCCCCCCCCCCCCTTTTTTGGCAAAAAAAAAATTCTTTCTCTCAAGATATGGACATAATCTCAATTCATGAGAAAGCCAATCCTAACCATCCCTTTGTGGTATGGAAACTTGTGGTATAATTTCAGAGAGATCCATACACCGTTCCACAAGTTATTGTCTGGAAACTAGAAAAATGCTTATTTGGGCCCCTTTTTGGCCCCTAATTCCTAAACTGTTAGGACTATAACCCCCAAAATCAATCCCAACCTTCCTTTTGTGGTTATAAACCTTGTGTTTAAATTTCATAGATTTCTATTAACATTTACTAAAGTTATTGTCTGAAAACCAAATGTCTTCGGACGATGCTGATGACGACGTGATACCAATATACAACTGCAAAAATTTTTGCGGTCGTATAAAAACTAGAGGGAATTTATTTTAATAGATATAAACCAGTCACCAAAGTTTCATGAAAACTGCTCAAAGCACTTCTGAGTTATTGCCCTAAAACTGGAAAATCATCCCTTTTTTAGCTCACCGGGGCCCGAAGGGCCCCATGTGAGCTTATGCCATCACTCGGCGTCCGTCGTCGTTGTCTTAAACTATTTCAAAAATCTTCTCCTCTGAAACTACTAGTTTATAAATTGTATCTGAAGTTTTGATCCATTGACAAACATGGCCGCCATGGCTAAAAATAGAACATAGGGGTCAAATGCAGTTTTTTGCTTATATCTCAAAAACTAAAGCTTTTAAAGCAAATCTGAGATGGGGTAAAATTGTTCAATTGGTCAAGATCTATCAGCCCTGAAATTTTCAGACGAATCGAACAACTCATTGTTGGGTTGCTGCCACTAAATTGGTAGTTTTAAGGAAATTTTGCAGTTTTTTGTTATTATCTTGAATATTATTATAGATAGATATAAACTGTAAACAGCAATAATGTTCAGCAAAGTAAGATCTACAAAAAAGTTCAATGACCAAAATTGTCAATTGACCCCCTTAAGGAGTTATTGCCCTTTAAAGACAATTTTACACAATTTGTTCATCAAGTTTGCTAACATTTAAAAATCTTCTCCTCTGAAACTACTGGGCCAAATACCTTCAAACTTCATCTTAATGTTCCTTAGGATATCTTGTTTATAAATTGTATCCGAAGGTTTAATCCATCGACAAACATGGCCGCCATGGCTAAAAATAGAACATAGGGGTCAAATGCAGTTTTTTGCTTATATCTCAAAAACTAAAGCTTTTAGAGCAAATCTGAGATGGGGTAAAATTGTTCAATTGGTAAATATCTATCAGCCCTGAAATTTTCAGACGAATCGAACAACTCATTGTTTGGTTGCTGCCACTAAATTGGTAGTTTTGAGGAAATTTTGCAGTTTTTTGTTATTATCTTGAATATTATTATAGATAGATATAAACTGTAAACAGCAATAATGTTCAGCAAAGTAAGATCTACAGAAAAGTTAAATGACCAAATTTGTCAATTGACCCCTTAAGGAGTTATTGCCCTTTAAAGACAATTTTACGCAATGTGTTTATCAAGTTTGCTAACATTTAAAAATCTTCTCTTCTGAAACTATTGTGCCTAATACTTCGTTACTTTGAAAGAATGTTCCTTTAGGAATCTAGTTTATGAATTGTATCCGAAATTTTGATCCATCAACAAACATGGCCGCCATGGCTAAAAATAGAACATAGGGGTGAAATGCAGTTTTTGGCTTATATCTCCAAAACTAAAGCTTTTAGAGCAAATCTGACATGGAGTAAAAATGTTCAAAAGGTCAAGATCTATCAGCCCTGAAATTTTCAGACACACCGAACAACCCATTGTTGGGTTGCTGCCGCTAAATTGGTTGTTTTAAGGAAATTTTGCAGTTTTTGGTTATTATCTTGAATATTATTGAAGATAAAGATAAATTGTAAACGGCAAAAATGTTCAACAAAGTAAGATCTACAAAAAAAGTTTATATGACCAAAATTGTCAATTGACCCCTTAAGGAGTTATTGCCCTTTAAGGACAATTTTACACAAGTTGTTTTGTTTTTTAACTTTAAAAATCTTCTCAAATGAATCTAGTATAAATTTTGTATTTCATTTCCTTGTACGTCAAGAAACATAGACACTATGGCTAAAATGGAACATATGGGTAAAAAGAAAAAATAATCATTGATGAAAGATTTAAGCAAAAAAAATAACAGGTGAGCGATTCAGGCTCTTGAGAGCCTCTTGTTTATAAATAAAATCCCAGAACTGGAAAAAGTAAAATCTAAAAATTATAAAAATCGAAAGGGAGCTATGTCAATAGATATAAACAATTCAACAGTTTTATGAAAACTGCTCATAGAATTTTTGAGTTATTGTCCAAAAACTGGAAAATCCCCCTTTTTTAATGAATAAAACCCCATAACTCAGAAATGTAAAATCTAAAATTCATAAAAATTGAAAGGGAGATCACATCAATACATATAAACAATTCATTAAAGTTTCTTGCAAATTGGTGAAAGAGTTTTTGAGTTATTGTCTGAAAACTGTCAAATCCCCCTTTTTTTAATGAATAAAACCCCATAACTCGGAAACATAAAATCTAAAATTTATAAAATAGAGCTTAACATTTTTGAACATTTAAGCCCCTGTCAGATTTTCATTTTTAATAGCAGTTTATAAAATTATGGGCAAAACTTGCATTTTAACCCTATGTTCTATTTTTAGCCATGTCTGCCATCTTGGTTGGCAGGAGGGGTCATAGGACAAATTAGACAAAAACTAGATACCCCAATGATGATTGTGGCCAAGTTTGATTGAATTTGGCCCAGTAGTTTCAGAGGAGAAGATTTTTGTAAAAGTTAACAGACGATGACGGACGCCAAGTGATGAGAAAAGCTCACTTGGCCTATTAGGCCAGGTGAGCTAAATAAAATATTTTTTTCTTTGACACTGCTTCCCATTTTATGTGCCCTGATTTATTTCCTTGTCCATATTAGCGGTCATTCTGTTGGTAGCTGAATTGTGCAGGTTTTTACCTTGTTATATATGGTCAAGTAGGTAAGGAGGGAAGTTTGCCTGTATTTCAAACTAGTTGAACCACATTACATTTTGTTCCTGTACAAAGTCAGGCTAACTGGGCCATGTGTTACTTGTTATTTTAGTATCTGTTATACCAGTATTATTTTTTGTTATTCCTGTTTTTTTCTGTATTATGGAGTACAAATGTGTGTATGAACCACAATGATATATCCTTTTCCCCCTGCAGGCCAAGAAAGGGCATAAAATTGTGATGGCATAACTAAGTAAAACAAAAAATAACAATTAAACTTTAATCAGTCATAAAGCGACTAGCTTTATTAACACTCGTCATGATGATTTTTTGTAAAATAGAAGATTCCAAAAACAAAAATGAATAAATTTTACACCTAAAAATAAATCACTCTTTTTTATCATGTTATATACAGACTTTGTAACAACGAAAACAAAAATAAATCTAACAAGATAACACATGAAATGTTAACATGTAAACAAAATCATTAACACATGGTATGTTTACATGTAAACAAAATCATTAACACATGAAATGTTAACATGTCAACAAAATCATTAACAGTATTCAGTATCTGACTGAAACTCCTGAATTTTTTCTCAAGTAACTTCATTTCAATTTTCCATAATAAAATAATTGATTATCAGCCAAAAAATAAATAAATAAATAAATAAAATATTCCCTGGAAATTGTGAACATTTCAATTTTGTATCACCATCATCTGAATAGCTGAATGGCAAACTAGTTTCTGAATGGCTGAATGGCAAACTAGTTTTCTGAATAGCTTTTTTTCATGAACATTATTTTTCAGTCCAGACTGTTTTTTTGTAGCAATATTAAATTTCAGGCTTGGTAAATTTGATTTAGAAAAGTGGCAATCAGAGAATAATTCAGAATTTCTTAATTGTTATTAAAATGAATTGTATATTTTAATATCTGATTTTAAATACAAATCGCCCTTTTTGTAAGTCAAGGAAAAATGAGTCAAGATTTTCTATCTCCATTTTCTGTTAAAGTATGAGATTCCACATAATAGTTGTTAATATTTAAAAAAATAATAATAATATAGATTAGAATGATTGATTTTATTTGTTGTAAACAGTAACATTTTGGTTACTTTAGGCCATTAAATAAATGTTTGATTCTCAATCCATGTCTGCATCACAAAACTGCTGCATTTCAGGGATTTTTAATTTCATTTTCTTTAAAGTATCTGAGATATTAGACTAAAGTGTCATTTCAGAATTACTCCTTAAATAATAATAATATAAAAGTATGTTATTCTAGATGTTAAAGTCAATTCTACTGATAAACTTCACAAAAATTAGAGAAATTTCTTGATGAGGACAGAAAGTCCACATTTAAAACTATAGGTTGAAAACAAAATAATATTTCCAAAAGGAAGCATCGCTTGCCATAATTATTTCAAAAATTATGTGTACAACAATGAAAAAGAAAAAGGAGAAATAAAAATAGACCAGCCTGCACCAAATTTACAAAAAAAGGTAACAAGGTACCTAGAATCAAATGACATGAAACACTGTTTTAATCCTCTTGTATTTATACATTATTATTTTTAGTACAGGTAATTCAAAAAATCCTATTCAGTTCAAATTTCCAGGCATTCAAGCTACTGAAGTTTGATTATATTTCTGTATAATTATTCATATATTAACTGTTGTCATGTTGGCACAGTAAACATAACTTGCATGCAATAACAAAAGTCCTGAGCACTATTGGTTGGACGGAATGATACAATAAATGAATAACAAAAGAATCATTTAACAGTAATAACTGTTGATTGGTGGATATAAAAAAAGCAGCTTTAATTACATCATTTCAGCTGCTAGTAATTACATTGTACATGTTTAATCACATTGTACATGTTTAATTATATTAAATCATTTCATAATAAAAAAATAGTTTTGTAGCTCAAATCTTTATCAGGTAAAACTAACCTAGCCAAGTATATATTTCCTGATCATAATTTATATTGAAAAACATGCAAGTAATAACATAACAAAGTGTGAGATTATGATTGCATGCAAAAAAATGATCTTATGCATGCTGCAATAAGATGTTTATACTGTGTCCTGTGACACTTATAACCTTTGAAGAGAAAATGCAAAACAAAAATTTGTGATTTACTATTTGTACATGTTTAAACCTAGAATGTTATGGTCCATTCATCGAAATAATCATAAATATTTATATTTAAAAATCAGAATGTGAATAGGTTTATTTCTTTAGTGGTTTAATATTCAACTACTAAATATCACTAAAATTACACATGTAAAATGATACTTAATGCACTGACAATTTACCCTTCCAAACAAAAAGACAGGACAACTAAATTAAAAGAGATATTTTGATTGGTCAATATTACTACTATTTGTATAAAATTTATAAAAGTTAACGAAATATGATTACAAAAGATTTCCAAAACCCACCGCAAACCTGATTGTCAATGGCAGTATACACTATAGATACATATTTACAAGGGTATAGCACTAGTACAATAAATAGCACATGGGATTATTCTAAAAATAGTAACATAAATAGTCAGCTTTTTAAAAACATACATTTAATACACTAATGCCTCCGTTTTAAGAAGTTTTTGGTAATCTGTACATAAATTGAAGCTTAAAATGCTAAACTGAATTTTCAAGATGATATTCTTTTAACTTTATTTTATAAATAAACAAAATAATGCAAATCAGTTATTCTATAATAAAAATAAAGATATATCAGAAACATGCAAATGATACTCAAAGCACCAGAAAATAACCTTATACTTCAGAATAAAAGGCACTTAGATACCGGTAATTCATTTTTTTCCCCACTTTTAATCATTTAACACTCTAAGACACTTTTTAGAATGTTGTGTATATTTTCTTAAAAGAAGGCAATTTATTCAGCAGTTATAGTAAGGTAAAATACATGAATGCAAATCTATAAAAAGGCAAAATAAATTTCAATAGTAAATAGATCAATGTAAAAACTAAATTCATGTATCAAAGTTATGTGAGCTGGGAAAATAAATTAGTTCATGAAATGGTTCAAACTAAACTACTCTCTTCTATACAAATAATTAAATACTATATTTAAACAACTTGGCACTTTTTGCATAAACTATTCTGCCCTTTCTAAATTGAGGCACAAATGTTTAAATAAGGCATAACAAAACTAAATAACAACAATAGCCTCTATCACAGTTCCAGATATCACAAATAAACAAGTCAATGTCTCCTCTTTTATGTGGAATAATACAAACAAGCACCTAGTTTTAAAAAAATGCTTTTTTCAGTCTGGGATAATTTGGAACTCATTCTTGTTGGGAGGCTTACCCTCAACCTGAGGAATGAGGACCCTATTACACTTCAAGTCTAATAAATGAACACAACATATGTATCGAACACTTTTTGTTATTCATTCCAAGCATCCTTAGAAGGTTTTGCACTCTTAATTAAGTTGTATATGGAAAAACGTTCTCTTGAATTAGTTCTTTTTGGCTGTGATTGAGCTCGTCCACCTTGATCACTCAGTGGCCGACTTCTCACACCTGTAGTCCTTGAATCTGGAGTGCCTAAGCCTCTCTTTGAATTGCCTGCTTCACTTCCTGTTGTTGATGTCCTTCTTGGAATTTTTGAAGCACGAACTGCACTTGGAGCACCTTTTGGTGGCTTATCTGACCAACTCTGAAGTTCTTTTTCATAGTTTTTTATTCTGTTTTGAAATTTCCATTCATCAATATTCTTTTGTGTTGTTTTAACCATCTGTTCCTCTTTCTCATCAAGTCCACAAACCTAAAGTAATCAAATAAGCATCACTAATGCACATGAATTGTGTGCTATCTCTGAAATTTAACTGATACATGTTTACATAATTGAATGATGTGCTAAGAGATGAACATCGTCCTGAACATGCCTGAAATAATTGCCACTGGACATTAGGCAAACAACAATCAATCAATAATAGATGAACATCTTCAAGTGGCTCCAACATAGTCAAATCCAACCATATATATGAAGAAACTTAAACATTAACAAAATGGTCAAGTTTGATTTAAACAATACCCTTCTTAAATAAAGAACTGCTGAAACAACGCCTCTTAAGTGGTATACAGGGTTGTCAAATAAAAAATATATTAAATACCGCTAAATTGACATTAACACTTAAGTGAACGGCAACTTTTATTTGTCGAAATGTTTTGTAGATTAGGTCCTGAATACGCCGATCTAATTGGCGAAACATGTCGACAAATAAAAGTTGCAGTTCACTTAAGTGTTAAGTTAATTTAGCGGTATTTAATACCCTTCTTAAAAAAATGCCTTTCTGTCCATCAGTTTTTCAGTTTCAATTGTCATCAGTCGTAAGTTGTTTGTTTTTTGAATTTTTTTTCTATCTTGTTCATTAGTTATAGTATTGATCAGTTACTGTCAATGAAAAATGTTTGTTTTTACTAATTTTTTTTTCAATCTTGTTCATTATTAATGGACAGTAACTGATCTGATTTGTTAACTTCTGTTGTATCACTTTGTGCTCTTTAATTGTTATAGGTTAAAAACTGCATTGATTTCTATTAATCTTACTCTTTCCAGTGTACACAAAGCATCTTCCCATGTGGCCTCCAAACGATCAGCAGCTTTGATGGTTGTTCTTGGATTGGTTTCAAATGGATCGTAACTCAAGTTAGAATCTCTGCTAGATGGACGACTAGATCTACTAGATGCAGAAAACTGTCTTCTGTCAAAGTGTACTCTTCTTATTCCCTATTAATAATAAAAGGATATGATGTACTGTAAATTAAGAAATTTTGCGAGGTTTATTATTGTGAAAATTGAGATGGGAAAGGTTTCGCAAAAATAAAAATCCTATTTCAAACACGGTTCACTTTTCTATGTGCACTTGTAATCCAAAATTCTTACCAAGATAGTTGATCATGCTGCCATTTATCTACTTTTTGTTTTTTCTTTTATTGAATTTATGAAGGAAAGGGCTAACAGCTTAGCTAGTCTAACCCTGCAACATGTGTATGTGCCTGTTCAAGTCAGTAACCTCATAGATATATATCAATGTTCTTTGTTGATTTAATGGTAGTTCTTTAATTTAGTTTATGTTAAATTTAATAAAAACTTTTCTAAACTCAGAACTTATTTACAGCTTGACATATTCATTTTCATTTCTATAAGTTTTTTCTATGTCCTTGGGCTGCCGTCTCTTTGGCCTTTCCAAAATCCTCACCTATTCATATACACTTATCTAAGAGTTTGAAATTGTTGTATTCCTCTATTGAATTATATATATCTCAATTAAAACATTTCATAAGTTTTGCATGTACTCATCATGATCATTCCAACTTCTTTTTTTAATTGACTACCGGTACATAAACATTTCACACAAAATGGTATTGATCATAATGGTTCACATAACTGGATATTTAATTATGCAACAAGAAGACATACCTGTTTAGGTTTATCTAACCCTGCCCATAGTTTAAATCTCTTCATCATAAACTCTACCATCTCATAATCTTGCATATCCATGGTAGCTTTAAAGTACATCTGACCTTTGGTTGTTTTGTATGTATTGGTCAGGACAGATATTATTAATGCCATGGTAATTCCATAGCAGAAGGCATAATAGAAGTATAAGAAGAAATGAGAGAAGATTGGTTGGTGATCCATTAACTTCCAGAATGAATAATGTCCATGTAACATTCCTGTGAGAGAGGTCAACGTGTGCCAGTATGTCTCAAAACCATCTATAGATCTTCCATACCACTGAAATTCATTAAATTATGTACATAAGTTCCTATAAAAGTTAAGGTTTTTGTATAGAATTCAAAATTTTAAGACTTTTGGAAAATTGTTCTGTAGATGTATGAAGATGACCAAAAGCAAAGACAAGCTCTGTGCTACAGAAGAGTGTACATATTTTACATGAAGAAAGAATGATTGTAGAGTTTTACCCATTTAATGTCCATATAAAGTGTACTGTAATACATTGGACTGACATTCAGATTAAACTTGATTTATATAATAGAATTGTAAATAATGTTCCAATGATAAATTGCTTACTCTTATCTTGCAATTGGAAAAAAACTAATATGATTTACAATAAGTAAACTAATTTAGGGCCAGCTGTTTTGTGTATAGATTGTAAAAGATTATTTGATGACTAATTTTGTTTCCATTTACTGCCAACATTGATACATACACCACTTCTGACCTCTAAATAAATAGGTAGGTTCAAATAATAAATGGTTCAGCCTGTATGATACATACCAGGTATCCTGCCATGGCAAATGTACAGAAAAGGATGATAAAGATGACAGCTATTCCAGCCAGCTTACCACAGGCATCACTCAATGTTCTCTCGTACACATATAGGAATTTGACAAATCTTAACTGTTTCACAACCTGAATAAAGCAAATTGATAAATTTTAAATATTACAGAACTTGAATAAAAACATACATGTGTATTCCAACACCAAATAATTTTTTTGAGGGGTAAATTATTCAACTGTTTTTAATCTTCCACAAATTTCATTAAAAAAATCCCTTCAAATTTTATTATACCGGTAATCAATATGAAAAAATCCATAATATCATAACATTAATTACATAGATTATGTTTTAATCTCTGAGATGATAACAAGCTTTACAGCAAATGAGTATAAAATAAAGATTGCTACATTTGTAATATTTGACTTGCAAAAATTAACTGGGTTCAGTTAAAATAATGTTGTAGTAGACAAAAGTCACAAGAAACTTTATGCATTTTTTTCTCTGTTATATGAGCTTTAGAAGAAACATCAATTAAAGCTTATTTTAAAATATCATACCTTTATCATAAGGCAGAATATAAGAATGCCTTGAATATATCTCATAGCAACATGTGTATCAGAGATAGCCTCGAAATTAGTGAAGCCATTTTTGTTGTTAAAGTAGTCGTTGAAGGTACTGGAAGCCTCTGCCACACAACCAATATATAATCCATTGATAACAATGGCCATAAGTGTAGTCAGCATCTCAAACCAGTTCCAGGGATGGGTGAAATATTCCTTTCTGTGGTCTTTGATTGCATTGAAAATATGGCAAACAAGGTAGATATTCACTAAGAACAGGATACACTGTAAAGATCAAAGTAAAATCTTACTGTCATTACAATATCTCAACGATATTTATACAAATTATCAAATTGGTACAAGTATGAAAAACTGCAGTATTTCTTCATAATAAGAAAATAAAAAAAAAAACATTTGTATTCTTGAGAAGACAACAAAAATATATATCATAAAAAAAAGCTAATAGGAATAATTAGCTATCTAAAATAGTATACTTCAAGCTTACAGAAGAAAAAAATATAATAACGTACCTGGCAGACCATTAATGGATCCACAACCTCTTGTACAAATCTAAGTAATATTTGACTCTGTATATCTGAGGAAGTGTTCAAACCACCTGAAAAGATTCAGAAAAACACATGTACACAAGTTTTAAAGATAATTTTTCTGTCGATGAAACTTCTAAAATAAAACATACCATTTCTATGAAAATCTATTTCAAAAACTACCATATAGCTTTTATATTTTCATCGTACAAGCATGACTAATATCCCTAAATATAAACAGCTTTTTTTCCCTCCTGAATATCCACAAATTACTTGTTTCAACAATACTGATAACATTTATAAAGTACAGACTACCTGTAAAATGGTTTTTGTTTGGCACACTTGTAATTTGTTTTAAGTATGGCATACCTGCATATCAATCTAGTCTGAGCATGACATACCTGTGAATAGTTAGCTATAGGCACGACTGTATTATGGTTTTAGTTTGACATACCTGTAAGTGGGAACTCTATCATTAAGTTGACAACAGTGGTTAGATCATTGGCAGCACTATACATGGTAAAATCTATAAATATTGCTCTTGTTCTGAAAATAAAGTACACATGTATCGTAATAAGGTATATAACTCCTGAAAAAATCTGTACAACTCTTGATCGATAGGCTTATGATTTCTTTTTAAATTAACATACATTTTCTTACAAATTCTGTTTCAGACCTGCATTTTTTATAAATCAAATATTTCAGTTGCAAGTCAGGTTATATATCATAAACTCTTAAACAAGTGTTTCGGAAATTTAAGCTAGATTTATTTACAATGACAATGTGCAAATATACATACTAAATGAACAATAATGATCTAACTGAACTGGACTCCTAACAAGAAAACAGGAACTGTACTTTAAAGTATAATAAAAGTAGGACTTCTTAGATAAAATAAAAGTAGGACATCTTAGATAAGATATCCTAAGTAGATTTTTGGACAAAGAAAGGAAACAAAATGTTTTTCATTAGATTTCTCTAAATCGTTGAAACTTCATGATGCCAATCCTTAATACTGCAATACATTCTATATAAAGCAAATACAACTTACTTTTCATCAATCCAATTTTTAGCCTGTAAGTCTTGTAATTTTGTAAGAGTATCATTGTATGTTGTCCCTAGTTGCTGGACATACCCTCCTCCGCCATACGTATATACATAACCATAGCGAGTTTTACTTCCTGTTTGGGAACCAGTAGAATATCTCCATGACAAATTCTGTGAATAATTCCATCCTTCACTATAGTTAATTTCATCTTCATTGTAACCATAGTTACCCCAACATGTCCTGTTAGTAAGGCTGTCCAGACCAGAGTGTAGTGGGTGTTCTGTTGCAGGACATGGTTCTAGAAAGAAGATAGTTCATTTGAATGTTTATGAGGAACATATTTTCCCTTTTGACAATAACAATAATTTTAAAAACAAAATTTAACATTCATTTATTTTTAAAGTAATTATTTTCTTATTTGAGTTTTTTGTTTAATTTACGACTGTTATGGTAACTAGACAAAAAGATAAAGACTTGGCTTCAACGGCATCTATGTTGTATTTAAAAAAATGTATCTCATTAACCATTTTATTCTAATTATAAGTCATTTCGTATATAAATAACAGTATATTTTTTAAACTGTCCAATCTTAACTTTTGAAAACTGGTGCGAGAAGCTTAAGATTTTGCATAAACAAAAACATCAATGTGCTTATAAAATATTCCTAAACTATCTTAGCTATTCATTAAAAATATAAATTTTTCTAGTTGTGTGTTTTAACATTTATTTTTACCTTCAACACTTCTGACAAGTCTCATACGTGCCACTCCAAGTAGTGTTCCGAATTCTAAATCTGTATACAGCTCTCTATGATGTAAACCAGAAACCAGTACAGACTGGCTCCATGCCCAGAAATCATCAACATTACTCATGTTAACAAATGATTTCTCTGTACCAGGTATTGTTGGCTGAATTATGGAGTTATCAACCGATGTCTTGAAAAGATATGTATCATAACTGAAGTTGACATAGCACAGTGTCATCACCAACCAGAGGTAGAATATGTATGCTGTAAACTGTCTGAGCATCAGTCTCATTCTCAGTATCTTGTGACCTTCTTCTTTGGCATTCAATAGGGCAAACCCTGCTAGTGGTGTAAACTTGTTTTCCTGAAATATTTCATTTAATGAAGAAAGCCACCAAACAAAGACTACAGGATTAAAATTAAAACCAATTTTACACTGTTAACTATAAATTTGTTCAATTTTTATATGAGTTTTCAACACTTTACTTTTCATTCAAAAGTGAATTTCATGACTACATAATGAACTTTAAAAGGAGGACAATGGGGCTTCCCCCTTGTCTTATGGTTAATTTCCAGACTAGATCATTCATATGACAATCTATGCAACATGCAACACCAAAACAAACTTAACCACAAGAGGTCTATTTGTTTTTTGTGTTGTTGGGTTGTTGTTTTATTTACATCTGTCCCACCTCCTTTTTAATTTTAATTTTTTTCCTGTTTAATTTAGATATTTACCTTGACTGTTTCATTAGATGTATCCACTGTTGGTTGTATATCTATAGCATCATCGTCAATTGTATCTTCTTTCTTCAGTACACTTGATGCATAGAATGCTATTACTAATGCCTAAAAAAACATTACAACTCTTTATGAATTTGACAATAATATAGTGGAACCAAATAAGACAGCACATAATGCCTAAAAAAACATTACAATTCTTCATAAAATGATACAAGTATTATGGAATCGAATCAAACATAGCAATTAACAGATAAGTATGTAAAAGAAACCAGGAAGTAGGAATATTAAGATTTGATGTCTGGACTATTCAGAACTTCCATTATAGATATCTTCCAATGATGCAACATCATTTCCAGAAGTCCATTAACATTTAAGTAAAAATTCTATTCATTAAACAACGTTTTTTTAAAAGCTGTCAGAAGATACAATTGGGGAAGTAGATTCAATTTTAAATGGTATATTTTGAAACAACTTGGTGTGCATTAAATCATGTGGATTCAGGAAACAGTATATCAAAAGGCTAGTCATTATGCGGTTTGAAGCATTGAAGTAAAAAATTGACATCTGGCTAACATTACTTATCATGTTCACATACCTTTAATGGTTCTATAATAATGAATGACATAGCAATACAGAACAGTAATGCCAATATCCATTGCAGTGCTATATCTGCTCCAAATGTCTGTCCGTACAAGATAACCATGATGACTGAGGTGACACACAGTACAAAGCAGATCACATAAGCAACATAGACAAACCAGGCAGGTAATGTACAACTCTTAGAATCTTCACGCTTTTCTAGTAATAGAAGATCTTCTCGATCTGAAAATAAATATCAAAACAATGACATAAAACAAATGAAAATGTATTATCTAGAGAATACAAGTGCCAAGGTTTTAAATACTTAAGCATGGAATTGATTAAGGTCCATGAAACATAGATCTAAGAGAAAGTCAAGGTCATACAATAAATATACTCATATAAAGACAATTTTCAAAGCATTTCATAAAAACACAAACATTTACTAATTTGAACACATTTTCAGTGAAGCGATATAAAAAGAACTCTCTGTAACATACCCAATCCTTCACTGGACTGCTGGGCTAGTCCCATGTCTGGTTCTAATGGACCAATTCCTTCTACTGCAGGCATGGAAGTACCTTGGATTGTAGTAGAGTCCATTGAACTAGAGGCTCTCAGTTTATTGGCCCACATGAAAGTACTTCCTGCAGAGGGCAGTTTTCTAAAATATGGAAAGAACAAATTAACAGTGAAGGCCACCTTTTCAACTAGAAATCCACTTAGTGTAAGTAAACTGAAATTTTTTCTCTCAAATCTTTATAACAGACAACTTATTTCATCTTTACTTAAATATCTATAGCATAAATAATCACATGATCACTAAAAATAGCACAAGATGTTAATTATCTACTGCTGGACTATAACCATGAGTTGTTCAATGTTGTGTGAATTTGGTTGTAAATCTATCTTCTTTAAGGAACTGCTTGTTGTTTGGTGTGGTCTGTCAAATATTTTAAGTAATTCCTGTAACTTTTTATGCTTTATTGTATTTCTAAAGTGTTTTTAATTCTAAATTTTGGTACATAATATTTGGGATAAAATTTTCAAAGGCATTCAGACTTCTCGTTTTAAGAACACAGCACATAACGTATTAAACACAAAAAAATCTGCTAGGTACCTGTCTTGTCCATTAATTGTAGGGTCTTCCCTTGGGTTATATCCCTTGCCTGACTGTGATGATCCAGGTTTACCATAAGAACCAATGGTACTGGTAGAATCCTTCTTACGTAATGGACGAGATCTTGATTGTTTTCCTTCATTGTCTGAATTAAGGATATCATCTATTTCTTTCCATTCATTTTTCTTTGTACCCGTTCTTCTACAATACAAAAATTCTTAGACTGTAGATTTTCATTTTATTGTATCATATTTTATCATACCCTTAATAACAGATTTTCATTGTATTGTATCATATTTTTTCTTACCCTTAATACACCTAAAAAAGTATGCAGAAGATAGAATAACATTATGATCATCTACAATTCTTTTCTCCTCACATTTAAGTATGTCACTGAATGATTGTCTTTCCTGTTCATAACTTACTTGAGTGTTGATTTTCCTCCTCCTCCTCCCATACTGTTACGTTTCTGTATAACAGATTGTTCTTTAGTCATACATTCAGACTCAACATCATCTAAATACTGAAGAATTCCATCAGCTACCTCCTTCATCTAAAATGTAGCAAATATATATTTCACTTATTCAACATCTGTTCAAATATGTTTGTTATTTGTTAATATGTCTTTTGTCTTCCTACTACTCTACTTAGTCTTTATTTTTTTTACAATTTATGTTTATTCCTTTACCATAATGTTTCCCTTTCAAAATTTTTTTTTAAAAACTTCTGGAAAATTACAATAATTCCTTTCACATATTTTGCATAATATTGGTGAATATTGCATGCTAACTTTTTAGGTATGTTCCGTGGAAAAAATTATGTTGCTATACAACTATTAAGTTTATTATAGCATACCTCCTCTTTTTTGTCTGTATTGTTTTCAGTCTTGGTAATGTATGTTTCATCTTTATGACCTACTTCTGTTTTAGACCATAAAGTTGGATTGTTGGTTCTCTTTAACTGTAAAATAAATATCAAATGTTTACCACAATTATAAATCGCCATTCATTATGTTGTTAATGTTCCACTATTGTGAATAATTTCTTCTTTTTTTTTTAAGTGTGTTTCTTTTCTTTTTTTATTTCATAAAAACATAAAATATGAACAAAATAATGTACACTTTTTATGGATTTTCAATTATTTTTTACCAAGGTAAATACTGTGAATCAACTTTCACAGAATGAGGAAAAATAGTGGTTTTAACCAAGATTGCTTAAAATACTATACAAAATATTTGTTGAACACTTCATTCTTGGATCCCCTATAATCCAACAAATCAACAAAAATTTGTATATTAAGAATACAAATAAATCCACAGGAATCAACACAGATTATCAAGAAAACAATGGAGATAAAATATTTTTCCTTTACTGTAAGACTACAAGCAATGAGTACCTTGCTTTCTGTACTAGCTCCCATACTTCCGATACCACTGTCAATGGAGTTCACAGCTTTAGTAAGACTATCATCTGTGGCTTGTCTTGTCATCTTCAATGTTCTACTTCTCCTTAGATGGTTGTGGGTCATACTTGATTCCTGCCAACATAAATACACAATTATACACACTGTAACAACACAAAAGTTGCAAAAATCTAATAAATTAATGACACAATATATAACAGATCTTTGCTGGTCTCATTCTTCACAATTTGTTTATGCTCTGAACTATTTAGAATTGTAAATTTGACATATTTTGTTGACATTTGTCTATAAATAAAATCTTACCACTAATGAGTCTGTTGTACTTTCTCTGTCATAGTATGAAATTAATTCATCATTGGTTTTGAAGGAACCAGCCAAGTTAGGATCATAGTCTATCTCAATAGTCTGGGCTGTTCCTACTCTCTGTGCTGGCTCAAATATGTTATTCTGTAATATATAACAATACATGCTCAAATATGTTATTCTGTAATATATAACAATACATGCTCAAATATGTTATTCTGTAATATATAACAATACACGCTCAAATATGTTATTCTGTAATATATAACAATACATATTTCATAAATGAATTGAGATTTGTTTATGTACTGATATATAGTTAGTTTTTACTCATATTGAGATATGTGTGAAAGTTATCATGTGACTTCTGATCGCTTATCTCAATGAAAAATATCTATCTTCAAGTTGATTTGAAACTGGTCGTTGTAGACACATATTTCACATTTACAAACCTTATGTAAATTATATAAGCTAAATCCTCTAAAAAGAAGGTTTATATAAATGGCTTATGAACACATGATACTGCAAATAGAGAACAAGCACCCACTGTCCTGGTAAGAGGGACACATAGAATTCTTTATTCCTTTAGATTTCTTACCTTAGATTTACTTCTCTTAAACATCCAGATGATTATGAGAGTGAATGGGAAGGCTATTACATTGGTAACAAGAGATAGAACTACTTCTTCCCAGCCAAAGGATGATACATTTCCATTATCCTCTTGTTTCAACAGTCCATACCAGATAGCATTGATTGCCATGAATGTGTAAAGAATAGTCACGACACAGGTAGCTCGCTGGACACGTGTAAACCTGCTCATAGCTGGTCGATCAATGACAGAATACCATAAATGACGATCTGCCATGCAGTTAGAAACAGCTCTGCCAAACATTCTGCCAAATTTCTGAATTTCTGAAGATCCTACAAAAAATTAAAAGTAAATCAACCATTTTTTTTTTTTATATCAATCTACTTTTAATTAACCTATGTTCTCTATTTCATAACTTCTTACAGTTTACAACATGTTCTGTGCATTCATTTTTTTCAAGGGTATAAATTTTGTGGATTGAGGGAAAATTGTATTTTTGTCATTACTTGATTTTCTGTTTTAACAAACATTGCATGAAAGCCTATATGATTTTGTATTTTGTTAAACACTTGCAAATCAAATTCTGCTTTTACAAATGAAAATTAGCTAAAAGAAAAAAAACAAATATGCTCAGTGCAACTCATTCAACAAAGTTTTTTTCAATTTCCTGACTAAATTTTGCATATCTTTGAAAAGGTTTAAAAAAAACTAACTAATGGTATGACTTACCTGCAGCTAATAATTCTTTCTGGATAAAACCTTTTTCTATTTCTAGTGACATCCAGAAATTAGCAAAGAAGTAATATTTATGGTCCGTCTGCAAATCTTTGACTATAACTTGAATGAGGTACCAGCTAGGATCCAGTCCAGAGTTGTCATGCCAAATCATCAACTTTTCAATATTTCCAAGGTTTGTGTCATGTGCCATGATAAATGTGTCCTGACAGTTTCTTTGAAATGCCCACTTTTTATCAAGTTGTTTAGAATTTGTTCTCCCATATTCTCCGTACAATCTGAGACCAACATTTGCAGTAGTTCCTGTTTATAAAAAGATAAGGAAATATAACCACAAATATTTTGCACCAATGACTTTACTTTTGGTTCTAAAATGTTTCCAAAAAAAGAAAAAGAAACCTGTTACAAATCTCATACTTCTATTTCATATTTGCTTTTTTGTTGTGTTTGATTACAATCCTACTATGATAATTGAACTCGAAAAATAGTTCAATTTGAATTTTGAGTTATTACTGTAAATTTAGAAACAAATGAAAATATTTTTAACGTTTTCAAACACAGCATTCATTCACTGCTTATGTTATAGATGTTTATTTTCAATTATAATATTCATTGTATTGAAAAATATTTAAACAATTTCATTACTTTATCTTGAACCTTTCTTTTATACCATTTCAAAAGTCTGTTTATTTATTAAATATAGATAGTTTTTCGTAAATCTTATTGTTATAAAAGGCCATTAGTTTTCTTCTTAGAACGGTTTCACTTTTTTCTGGGCCTTTAATAGCTGACTATATAGTATAGGTTTTTTTTTCATTTTTAAAGCCTGTACTGTGACCTATAATTGCTTATATCTTCGTCATTTAAATTCTGGTGGATAGATGTTTCATTGACAATCATACTACTTCTCCACATTTTTATATGTTTACATACCTGCACCAGGTTGTCTACCCGTGACTACAGTCACTTCATATTTAAAGGATCCATCTTTACCACATAAGGGTATAGAAGATATTCTTTCAAGGTTACTGCGATCTAGTCGACGACAGATAATTACTGCTATCACATACACCACAAATATCAAAGAACATGTCACAAACACGACCGGATTGTTCACCAAATCAAGATTCTGCAATAAAGGTATAAAAGTTTCAGTAATTATATATATTTTAAATCATAGGAAATCTGATTTCTAATGACTTGCATATTATAGAAAGACAGATACCTTCATATAGCAATAGGTTTTGGCATTTCAAATTATGTAAAACTTCAAAACATAATCATGATAAGAAATAAATGGTAACATGTTTTTGTATTCCACTTTACTGAAAATAATCTGGTAAAATTGATTACAAATATGAGCTATTAGAAAAATGCCTTACTTTTACCAATTTTCTATAAAATGCTCCGCAGGGCGCAGCTTGATACGACCGCAGAGGTCGAACCCTGAACAGTTGGGGCAAGTATGGACACAACATTCAAGCTTGATACAGCTTTGCATTTGGATTGTGATTAAATATTTGACACAGCATAGGTTTCTGACACAGAATGAATGTGGTCTAAGAACTTAAAAATTTTAAATTGGACATTCACCTATTATGGTCCAATATCCAAAATCTAAATACATGATTAGATTCAGCATATCAAAGAACCCCAAGAATTCAATTTTTGATGAAATCAAACAAAGTTTAATTTTGGACCCTTTTGACCTCAATGTGGACAAAGTTGAAAACGCGGCCCAAAAATAAAAAATCTAAATACATGGTTAGATTCAGCATATCAAAGAACCCCATATATTCAATTTTTGTTGAAATCAAACAAAGTTTAATTTTGGACCCCGATTTGGACCAACTTGAAAACTGGGCCCATAATCAAAAATCTAAATACATGTTTAGATTCAGCATATCAAAGAACCCTAAGAATTCAAATTTTGTTAAAATCAAACTAAGTTTAATTTTGGACCCTTTGGACCTTAATGTAGACCAATTTGAAAACGGAACCAAAAATTAAGAATCTAAATACATGGTTAGATTCGGCATATCAAAGAACCCCAATAATTCAATTTTTGATGAAATCAAACAAAGTTTAATTTTGGACCCTTTGGACCTCAATTTGGACCAATTAAAAAAACGGGGCCCAAAATCCAAAAACTAAATACACGGTTAGATTCAGCATATTAAAGAAACCCAAGAATTCAAGAATAAAACCCCATTGAAATTGGTCAAGAAATAAGCAATTTATACGAAGTATCTTCTTTTGCACAATACTGTGCAATTAAATATTTCTTGCTATTGCGCAATACTGTACAATTGACAATTTCTTGCTATTGCGCAATATTGTGCTATTGGATATTTCTTGCTATTGAGCAATACTGTGCAATTGAAGATTTCTTGCTATTGCGCAATACTGTGCAATTGAAGATTTCTTGCTATTGTGCAATACTGCGCAATTGAAAATTTCTTGCTATTGCACAATACTTATTATATAATAATTTACACATCCTGTTTGGTGTGTATCTCCTACCATATCATTATTATTTGCTTTTAAATATAAATCAGAAATAACCAACTTAAAATGGAAAATTTTAAAAGAAAAAAAAAATGAAAAAAAAAAAAATCCCCCCCCCCACAAATATTTTGAACCCCCTTATGATTCATCACCCCAAAACTCAATCCCAGTCTTCCCTTTGTGGAATGGTACCTTGCAGTACAATTTCAGAGAGATCCATACACTTGAACACAAGTTATTGTCTGGAAACTAGAAAAATGTGTTTTTTGGCCCCTTTTTGGCCCCAAATTCCTAAACGTTTAGGGCAATTACCCCCAAACTCAAACCCAGCTTTCCCTTTGTGATATGGAACCTTGTAGTACAATTTCAGAAAGATCCATACACTTACACACAAGTTATTGTCCTGAAACTAGAAAAATGCTTGTTTTTTGCCCCTTTTTGGCCCCTGATTCCTAAAATATTGAGGCAATTACCCCCATCATCAATCCCAGCCTTCCCTTTGTGGTATGGTACCTCGCAGTACAATTTCAGAGAGATCCATACACTTGAACACAAGTTATTGTCTGGAAACTAGAAAAATGCTTATTTTTGGCCCCTTTTTGGCCCCCAATTCCTAAATGTTTCGGCAATTACCCCCAAACTCAATTCCAGCTTTCCCTTTGTGATATGGAACCTTGTAGTACAATTTCAGAAAGATCCATACACTTACACACAAGTTATTGTTATGAAACTAGAAAAATGCTTGTTTTTTGCCCCTTTTTTGGCCCCTAATTCCTAAAATTTTGAGGCAATTACCCCCAAAATCAATCCCAGCATTCCTTTTGTGATATGGAACCTTGTGGTACAATGTCAGAGAGATCCATACACTAACACACAAGTTATGTCTGGAAGTTACAAAAATGCTTATTTTTGGCCCCTTTTTGGCCCCTAATTCCTTTACTGTTGGTACCATAACCCCCAAAAACAATCCCAACCTTCCTTTTGTGGTATTGAACCTTGTGGTAAAATTTCATAGAGATCCATTAACTTAAACTAAAGTTAGAGTGCGAAAACCAATGTGTCTTCGGACGACGCCGGACGACGCCAGACGACGACGACTACGACGACGACTACGACGACGACGACGACGCCGGACGACGACGACGCCAACGTCATACCAATATACGACCACAAAAATTTTTTTGCAGTCGTATAATAAAAGTTTGAGTTATTTATGTTTGAAAAGGCTAGTAAATAAGACACACTGTACTCAATTTTATACTGGTCTTTATTTTGGCATTACTATAGTTTGATAGTTTTAAGCCAGAAACAAAAACATCAAATGTTTGAACCATAGGAGAGAAAAATGCTCTTAAATTTGAAAAAAGTCTACAAACCAGTTGAAACCTTTATCGTTTAAATGACTACTATCAAATTACATAATTCATTATATGTTCAGAAACCTACCACTAAGTCAGCAAAGCTCAGAGTGTTTGGTGGAGCCAACATTCCTCCTCCAAATGGTGTTAAGTGCTCGCATTCACACACAGCATACTTTTCGATTGACTCATCAGTAGGTGAGCATCCATTTGTATCCCACGAGTTAGCTGATGTATCAAAGAATTGACATGTGGAGTAGTAGATGGCAGCACTGATGTTGACATCATAATTAGGATCGTCATTGTACACAGTCACAGCATAGGATGCATCAGTGTCAAATTCACTATAAAAGAAAATTGGAAAAATTGATATTAAATTTAGAGACAATCTCTCTGGGAGTCAAAACCTTGTTTTCAGTGACTAAATTTTTGTTCATTCGATTTTAATTGCTTATCAAATATTCGGTTTAGAGCATAACTGACAAGATATAAATTTTTTAAAATGAGTACAAGATGCATAAATTAAATTTAGTCCCTTGTTTTTTTTTGTCATGAACATTTTATAAGTTTCATACATGTATAACCTCAAATAATCATAGTATCTAGGCATAATGAGATAATGAATCAAACTACTTCCAAATCAAAACTCAAAATGAAAACATGAAAAAAAAGAACTACTTATTCTATTATCAATTCTTCATTAGTTATAAAACTATGCAAAGGTCATAAGTGATTTTATCTGACTTCCCGTTTTACTACGGTACCAAAAACTTGGTAGAAGTTATAACTTGGCAGATGCAAATTAAATATGAGTAGGTGGCAGATATATATACCGTAGATACTCGCCTAATAGTCGATCCTACTATAAGTCGGGGGCCCTTTTCAGCTCCAAATTCTAAGGATTTAGTCTTGACCCTCGTATAAGTCGGACAAAATTTGGGCATTTTTTTTTCAGCTGACAGTAACTGAACGCCGGTAAAACCAATGCAAATCCAGGAATAATATTCATTTCTGCATTAATGTTTGTTTGGTTTGAATTTAGTTGATGCTCATCATGATAATTTATATTGCTGTTAATAATAAAGATGTATTCATTTCTCTTGGTGTTCACTGTTCAAATGTTAGATTAGCCATGTGTTGTTTACATAATGCATCAATGATTTTGTAGGGTATGACTAATAACCTATTGTTTGAGAAAAGCGAATATAAACCAATATGAACCTGAAAAATTTAAAGTCAATCAACACTTGATGAAAATATTTTTCACAGCATACATAACTTGGTGTTAAATGAGCATGTACACTTCATAATTCTTATTATATTGTGATGATTAAAGGATTAAAAAAATTAAGTGAAGCTAATCACTATATTAAAATAACTAACTCCAACTCATTAGTGTCATCTGTTTACCTATCACTGATAGTTTTCACACCTTTAGTAAATACAACTCTTTGTCTCTTAATTGGGGTTATCAATGGATTATATTGGCTTGTCAATCAATTTTGTAATTTTTGTTTACCTGAGACACTTTAATGAATAATATTTTGATTTTGGGAATGAATCTTAAAATTATTTTTTGATTATTATATGATTTATAAGCATTGAATTGATATCATGATATCACAATAATGACACAATAACTCCGCTGAAAACATCCTTTCACATATTTGGTACATTGTTATCTCCTTTTCATTTTTGGTTCTTGGCTCTTCTTTTGGGTTTATAGGAAAACCATGTGACCATGAAAATCAATACACAAACCGGAAACAGTAGAATTTCAACACGAATTTGCAGAAAATGTTTACCAAAGAACAAATAAAACACAAAGACAGTATTGTAGTCATTTATTTTCAACAAAAACTTTTTATTTATTGATTTATGTAGGTTTGGCAATCAAAAACGTAGTTTTTACCAGGAAATTCACTCCTGACCACTTTTCTCAAGCTTGGATTTTTCCTCTGGTCGCTAGATCTCGTCTATTAGTCGGTCCCCCTCTCTGGATTATGAATTTTACTCCCAATTTTCCGACTAATAAGCGAGTAGGAACGGTAAGACAAAATCTCAGAAAATACCTATAGGTGTATACATACCTATGATCTACAAACAGTGTATACAGTCTATGATCTGCTTGAGTGGCCATATGTTCTACTTTGATCTCTTTCGTGGTCTCATAGCTGGACCTTGTAGCTTCATAGTTTTTTCCTAAAAATGTCTTAATAACTCCTGTGGCATTGGTTGTGGCACTAGGATTAGCAACCACAACAAATCGTATCTGTAAATGTAGAGCAGAACCTCCGTACCCGTCAGATGTATCTATAACAACCTTCTTTGCAGATCCTTTCTCCACAACTACTGATGCAAATGTTAAACCTTCTTGTGGGGCGTAGTCTGTACTATTAATTAGACTATTAGTCATGTTGTAGACTGTTGCCTGATTTTTTAAGATAATAAATTTTGGCTTTTTCCCTGTTGGAATATTTGAGACAGATATTTCATTGCCAGAAGTGTCTGTAAATCCTGCAGCTATCACTTTAGTATTAAGTTCCACATCCCCACTACTTCCCCATGTAAATGGATTCTGGGGTACAACCATCATGATTTGGAAGACTTCACTTTTTGTAGGGTATAAAGAACCTAACATTTCTGAGTTCAGGACTGCAACACAACCTTCTGATGTATACATTTGTTCTATGTCATCTGACCAAGTTCTTTTTCCAAATACTTTTATACTATCTAATGTTATAACTATAGGGTCTTCAGCAGGTAGTTGTGTTTTCAAATTCAATATGACAATATCGTCACCAAATGTAAATGCCCTTGTAATGATACTCTGTTTGTGATCCTCAGTAGATGCTGTTGTTGTTGTTAAATCCAATGAACTAATAACAGGCTTGTAATCTGACACTGCATTACTCTCTAGAGAAGTGACGTTAGATATATTGACCGAGCTGTATACTGCTGCATTGACGGCATCCATGTTGTTAGATACAGCCTCTAGAAGAAGACCTGAGGTGAACTCACTCTTGTCTGCACCCTGGACAGCTTGGGATTCCATATCGTTCTTTAAGATATCAACTTCATTCAAAACCAATGTTTGACATATACTAGTTTGAAATTCTCTAGGATATTTCTGAAATTATAAAAAATATAGCTAATATAATTCTTTAATTTTAATTTTATCTCCCAGAAATTTTTATAAAATTTCTTGTTAAGAGTTCAGTAAGGATTTAATTTCCACAGAAGCAAACTTCTGAGGACTACATTAGTGAACCTTGTCTTGAAACTATCTGATTGGACATTTTTGAAAAGAGCACCCTGTTTTGATTGGTTCTCTTACTAAACAAGATTTCAACAACTGCAACTAGGAAACTCAATCTTCTCATTGGTTAATGTTTACAATGACATACCAAGCTAAGACTAAACTCATTTCCATAAATGACCATATATTCTGATATGAAGTAACTTAATATGCTGTTGATAAGAGGCAATGCAATCACAAGGATAAATTGCATTTCACCATACTGTGTATCAATACTCAATTTTTCTTGATATAAAAGTAGCACAATTTTGTTTGGAATGTAACTATTGACTATTCATATTTACTAAGAACTGAAATACTAACATTACAAGTAAAATAAAGTTTAATTGATTAGAACATACTAATACTTAAGAGTTGACTCAATGGCAATCATACCACATCATCTTATTTTTATATTTAATATGTGTATCAGAACATTTATATATAAATGATTCCTGTTAAAGTGTAAATGATTTGTATGATAATACAACTTACAGTTAGGTGATTGAGTATGAATGCCATTTGCTGCTGTTGGTAGATAGTTTCTAATGGCAGACCGAGGATTGATAGTGTTATCCTATTCCTTACTGTGTTCCTATCATCTACATGGCTATAGGAGGGAGAGGCATATTCTTGTCGTGAGATTTCATTCATTTCGTGGATAAGTGCTATACCATACTGAAGCAGTGCAGTTGGATTGTTGTCATTGACAAGGTTAATTAAGGTCGTAGTTGTGTGGATCTGTACAAATGATAGCTGGTTACCATGGGTTACAGTACTACTCACTGATACATCTCTGCAAAATTTTGAAAACTTAATGATGATTATTATTAAATTTCCATCCCCTTTAAATTCTTGCTTTGAAAAAATGTGTAAATAAATAAAATTGATTATACAAAAATAATTCCATTTTGGATGTTACAAGTCTTCTGATTGGCTGAAAGTTTTTTGTCTTTCAGCTCATAGACATAATTTTGTCATGAGACTACCATCATCAACGTTTTTTCATGATTTACTCCTTAAAAATGGAATTTAGAATTAAATCATAAGGAATGACTGTAATATTTTTTCGATCTATTCGAAATAACCTCAAAAATGTGGGGCAAACTTTAAAATAACTCACTATGCGGGTTATTCAGTGTGCACCACATTTTTTATGTTATTTCTTCATAGAGAACAAATATTACAGTCATTCCTTAAATGGTTCTTGTAAGCATATTTTAAACAATCAATTTTTTTATACATTAATCAGTTTAGACATTTCATTGTTTGTTTGTTTGTTTGTTGGAGTGTAGCACCACTTTCAGCAACCTTTGCTATATCATGGCGGCCAGTTTTTATTGGTGGAGGAAGCCAGAGTAAACAATGAGAACCTCCAACCTTCATTTCAGATATTTTCAGCTTAATGAGTTTGTGAGAGATAAATAACTGTCTCCTCAAACTAAAGTTTATAAGGAAACATATGAACAAATTACATTAAAAAGAAAAAGAATCGTAAAGTTGTTATTTTCGATACCAGGTACATTAAATGTTTCAATACTTACGTGTCCAGAGATAGAGTGTCTGTTCCATCTTCATCAACTACATATACTTTGATGTTGACAGCTGAACGTGTTGTTCCTGGCCATGGTGCCAAGTAAAATGCTGGTGAAGTCAGTGTTCCGTAGTATATAACAACAGATTCATCAGCAGATGCAGAATCTTTACTGTGAGATACAACCTTGTAATTGAGTTCCCCATTAGCATTATCTGGATCACTGTACCCTGTGCACGAGATTTCAACTTGATCAATTAATGGATCAATAGCTGTGCTGGTCAGAAGAGAACAAGTGCCCCCTGTTGCTTTGCTGTTAGCTTTCAGTATTAGTTCAGTTTCACCTTGCAAGGTCACCACTGTATTAGTTTTACTGATTTCAAGCTTGAAAATGTAGTAGGAATTAGTGGCTGGTAGATTTCCGGCAGTTATGACAAAATTTTCACTATTTATACCAGTTGTTGACATGGCTGAAGTCAGTGACAGCTGAACTCTATTTGAACTTGAATCGAGGGTATAAACAGACCATTCATAGTATTTTGTATCAGTTGAATCACAGTTTAGACAGGTTCCAGTGAAAGCCAAGTGTTCCCCTTCATTAACAAGGTAACTACTGGTGGACTGACATGTAATACAGTTAAGGATTGGTACAGGTACATCACTAGAGGATATCTCAATCTGAAATCAAATATCAGTGGTGCAGAAAATTTGATTTTTTTATTTAACTTTCAAAGCATTAACATTTATCATGAAAGAGCAAATTGCTGATAAAAACTATCTATCACTCTGTTAAAGTGTATGCATAACTATAGGTTATATTTTGGTGGTGGAGTTTGTCACTTGAAAAATTTTGCTGCGTAAAAATACCTTCCTAAAGAAAACTTTTCTTTCCATATCTGACTGATTTTTGTACTTCAGTGGTGTTTAAGGTGTTATCCTTACAGTATATATGTGTATGTTAATTTTTCTAGTGCACGTTTCTTTCATTTGTGGTATCGATATATGATATTTAAATGTTTTGTTCTCATCGTATACCAATATTGAAATTATAAAAACAGAACCAGAAACATTTTTATAAAAATATTGTTTTTATATCAATTATAATTTCAAGTATAAATTTACCTCTTGTGTAAAGTTTCCTGAAGTTCTTCCACTGGCAGACACAGTCAATGTTATTGTGTACGTCTCTCCTGAGAGTAGGTTAGCAGTTGTCATGGTAACAGTACTACTTGAACTTGTCCCTACGGTAGCACAAGCATCAGTGTAACCTGTTGGTAATGTCTGTAAAAAAAACCCAGCAAATTTAGTAATGAAAGATGTTGCTTTTAAAAAAAAATATTTTTGCTTTATTCAGTTATATATACATTGAGTAATCTCTGCTTTTATTCATAGAACAATGTAATTTAATGTTTAATGGAACTGGGACTTAATGATCCATTTAAAACATTGCTATGTATAGGTTATTTGATGTGAAATTAGACGAGATTTTTAGGATCAAGACTAAGACTAAAAAATCTTTCGTGGTTGATTATCATAGTTAAATCAATTTTCTTCAACAGACATTTTCTTTATCATTTAATTTCTTACAAAATAATCATTATACAGCTTATACACATAACGGTGCCCTAGGATGCAAAGTATGTCAATCTCATTAAATTACTGCAGCAATTCCTATAGTGTTGTTGTTAAAAGAGTTTAATATGCAGCATCATAAACTTCTTTATATATATAGCATTCCATTACACAATGTAGTTACTAAAACACTCCATACTTTATTTGAATAATAGCAATATCTATTTTAACCTTGCATGCTCTACTTTTAAAATCCCTATATCATGCCTTCTTACTGTCGATTTAATGTGAACATGCTTTAAATGTGCAACCTTTTTAAATCCCAAAAGCATTCTCAATACCATGCTTTACACTGTCACCATGATGCTACTGAAATGTGTTCACTAAAAATCTATCAATCTTTCAATTGCATTATATTATATTCAAAGATAATATGCCTTTTATTTTTTCACTTATGTATCTAAAAGAATACAATCAAAACATAAATTATCATTATGTTTCCCCCCAAAACATATCTTTGCCATATTATCTTTGAATGCTTCCACATCCCAATATGCTTTGCTGAAAAGCTATATGTGTAAACCATAAAACTTGAAGCTAGCTACATGGTTAATAACTATCTTACTGTAAAAAGTCCTGCATCCTGGTAAACAGCAGAGAAATATTATACAACATTAAAAGTAATGACAAACAACCATGATTCACTTGTACTGTGGATTCAGAATTTTTTTGTGTGATACCAATTTTTGTTGATTTTTTTAGTATAGGTAAACCATTATTCAAATGTTCAATGAAATATCAATTTTATATAGGCATGTATGTAGACTTTGGTAAATCCATGAAATCAATTTTAATCCACGAAACAACAATTTTTCTTCAATCCACGAAAATTGGAATCCATGAAAATAAATGAATCCACAGTATTATGTTTAAAGTAATCACTCTATTGATGTTTAGTTTGTATAATACATTTTTCAAGAATTTCTGCCTGATCAAAACTTCATAATGGTATTATATAAGTTAAAACCTATCATATTTTAACTTTTTAAGCTTCTTTTTTAAAGAAAAAAAAATTTGCACACACAAAAATGAAATACAACATTATTTTTCCATGATTTAATAATTACTGTGGAAAAGATGATGAAAACCAGGATTAATCCACATAGCAGTAAACAATGAAGGTCTGGTCGATTTCTGAAAATTTGTTTTTTTCCAATAAAATAAACCAGATCCTATTTTTGATTTGTTTTTAAGATTAATTTGAACATTATAGCAAAAACCATTCATTTGTTCGCCAATTTTCTCACAAATCGTCAATAATTTCTAGATTGTTGTAAGACCATTTAAAACAACTGTTACATGTTAAAATCAAATAAAGTCATACTGGCTTATTTTGATTTCAATATCTAAAACTGTAATGAAATATTTGCAAATGAAAACATGCATTTGCTATCATATAATCTGCAGCTCTTAACATCTATTAAATCAAAAAGGAGGCCTTAGGAGGGATGAACCTTTAAACATATTTGAAGAATCATATTGTTTTGTCATAAAAAGCTAAGAACAAAATCTAATTTAAATACAGTACTACAGAATCTACAAAGACATATGGTTATGAAGAAAACAAGAAAGGGTTAAGTTTTAATAATTAAAGCAATATTAAGGAAACAATAAATGCATATGTTCTTTACATTAGAAGCTTAAGATAAAAATTAACACAATTTTTATTTCTAACTTTGGTATAAATTGCTTTTCTTTCAAATGTCATCTAACAATTACTGAGTTTTCAATTACTGAGTTTTCTTTATCTTACTACTGAAGTAATGGAAATAATAATCAAGTTTTCATTGTTTAGACTGATTCTACACAAGTTATGCATTAGCATTTCATAAGCAAGTAAGAAATTTGTGAAAACTTTACAAAACTATAAAAGTTAAAATGATATATGCAGGTGAGAATAATGTAAAATTCAGATTTATAACAAAAAATTAGTTTCAGAGAAAGGTTAGATTAAAATAAATGCAAGAAGAAGAAAAAGTCAATAATTGAAAGATTTAAATAGAAAAAAAAAGTATATTAACTCACCAGTGGATAAGTGACTGAACATGCCCAGCTGTACTGTAGGACTGTGGAACTACTGTCAGGATCAAATGATCCACTTCCATCAACCGTAATGGGATCAGACTGTGGATACTTCAGTTTACTACCACCAGCAATAATGGCTATAAGGTCAGAATCCATGACAGTCAAGTTGTATCCAATTGTTTGAATTAGTGGCGTGTCATCGTACCAAGTGGTCAGCTGTACACAGTATGAACCTATATCATGGCTGCTGTCTAGCATTAGTTTGGGAGTATTTGTAACTGTGGCCGAGTTTAAAGTGACTTGATTATTGAGTGTTCCAGCACAACCTGTCGAAGAATTGTAAACCTTCCAATCATACTTTAGAGTGTAAGATGTACACCCCTTTTTGTCAACTGTCACTTCGAAAGTAGATGTTGATGATTTCTTTCTTATTTTTTCTGACTGACCTCCCTTTGCCACAGTCATTGTATCACAATGTAAAGGCACTATGAAAAATGATCCTGTTATTGTAGCAGAACTTATTCCATTTGAGACTTCTAATTCATACTGGTATGTTGCAGATGTTGTGAAAATCTTCTGTAGTAAGCTGTCCGATGTAGTGATATTTTCATTTATTGGTGAAAACCTCCAATTATAAGTTACTCCAATAAGGTTATTTCCTGTGACCTGCAAATGTACTGTATAGTTCACAAAAAAATTGGAGTTAGAAGTATCGACAGCCAGACCTGATATAGGTCCTATAATTGTGAACAAGCACTGCAGTGATTCCTGACTGACCTGATTGGTAGCATTCACATACAAATTATACAGTCCTGTCGTTGTAAATGTGTATGATATTGAAGATCCAGAGCCTGTAATGGAGGATGAAGATTCCGTGTCCAGTCTGTAACTATACGTTACATCTGTTCCCTGAGATACGTTGAAACTTGCTGATACAGCATTGTTGATTTCCTGAACTGCATTGCAACCTGTTATACTGAAACCAGAAATACGTACTTCCACAACCACATTAACTACAGCTGTCATCTGGCTAATATGATTGTATACTTTTATATGAGCTGTAAATGTTCCAGCGGTGTTAAATATATGTGACAAGGTATCAGACGTTCCATTAATCAATGTTCCTTCTATTGTCCATTCAAACACCAAATTGTCTGCACCTGTGTTGTAATTAGCAGTAAATTGTACAGACTGTCCAGTCTCAGCCAAACTTGTGTTTGTCACCAAGGTCAGGGATGCAATAGAACCTTGAACATAAACTATGAAGGAATAAGTATCAGTGCTAACAAGATTCTGTACCGTGACTGTAATTGTAAACGTACCAGATGTGGTAAAATTGTGTGTAAAATTGACTCCACTGAATGTTAGTGCTGAAGAAACACCGTCAGCCAATGTCCATGTTGTTGTGTAACTTTCTCCTGTGCCAATAACTGCTGAAAATGTGATATATGAGCCTACAGCAATATATGGATAAGATTCATTGACAACTGAGCTGATGTTTACACCGGTAACAGCTTCCATAACACTGATGGATTTATTTACAGTCTCCATGCCTAAATCATTACTCACTTCTAAGATAAGCACATAGTCTCCTTTACCACTGAAAGTATAGGTAAAAGACTTCGCTGTTTCATTCAGTGTATACTGTCCTGTTGAATTCTGTAGAATCCATTTATATGAAAGTTCTGTTCCAGTTGATGTCACAGCAGCGACTGTTAAAACTTCCCCTGTTGCTATGGGTGATGTCTTATCTAATGTGATGTAAGCACCAGTTATTTCTTCTTCTACCATAACATCAACAGTAGCAGTGTATTCACTAAATAGAGTATTCCAAACTCTGATTTCAACCTCATACTGTAGAGAATTAGTGAATGTGTAGGTTAAATTTTTGGATGTGTGTACAGTTGAGGTGTACATAGTTGTTGACCCTGTCTTGACCTTCCAGGTATAATACATATGAGAGTTATCAGTATTTGCTACAGCAGCAAATGTATAAGCCTGACCTTTTGCAGCATACTGACCTTGAATCAAGTCAGAAGTCACAGTAACATTAGTTATATAATCTATCACTGTGATAAATTTTGAATGAACAGCAAAGTTTATTTGATTGAATGCCTTGACTGATACTATGTAAGTTCCAGACTGATAGTAAATGCCTGTAATGTATACATCTGAGGCCTGATAGTTCTGAAGACATGTTCCACAATCCTGCCATGCATAAGTGATATCACTTCCACCAACAGGGTTGGCTTGTAACGTAAATGTGGAGTTGACAAATTTGATATTATTTGTACAGTTAATTGAAACACTGCTTATCTCCTCCTGAACAGTAATATTGAATGTTGCTATAACAGTCCCAACATCATTGACACCTGACACTGTGATGGTAAATGTTCCTCCTGAGATATATGAATGAGTCTGAGATATTCCTGTTCCTGTACCTCCGTCACCAAACGACCAGTTATATGTTACGTTAGAACCCGATGTCAAGGAGGCAACAAATGATGCTGTTTTTGTTGATTGTAGATAAGTGACACCACTGCTCTCCGTACAATTAAGACATGTAATTTTCAACCCTTCAACAGCATACTGAACTTTATATGTCGTTGTCCCATTTTGTGAACTAACATCATTCCAAACCATCACAACAACAGTTTCGGAAACTTCCGTTGATTTAGTTAACGTAATAAAGTTACTCGTAGTTGTTTGTACTGTTCCTCCCGTATCCCATGTGTATTGTAATTTATCACCACCTGTTGTTGATGCTGTTACTGTGACAACAGCAGAACCAGTCGAAGCCAGTCCCACCGGACCATCATTGGAAACTATTAGTCCTGCCACAGAGTCCTGTATTTCCACAGTAGAATAACCACTGACCACTACAGCTGTATTTGAACTTGACTGCAAAACCACGGTAAAGTTGAAGATTCCTGATGTTGTAAATGTATAGGATGTTGAAAGACCTCCAATGCCCTTGACAAGGTTACCATCAAATGTCCATGTTATGATTAAATCACTGATATCATAATACAGTACATCCACTGTAACAGCAAGCAGAGTATTTGTAGCTTGATAGGCATTGTGTTCGAATCCAATAATTTCTAAAGTTGTCGTATCCACAACATACAGTTCCTTGGTTACTGTTGCACTACTCAGATCATTCCAAGCCGTCAAGGTTATATTGAAGTGACCAGTCTTAGACAACGATGGATTGTAAACATTGTCAGTTATATTTCCAGATGACAAAGCATTGTCAGATATTTCAAAGCTATATGTTAATGCATTTCCTGTTGTAACAGATGCAGTTATAGAAGTTGTGGTGGACACTTGGACTATTCTGTCTGCGGTAATTGTTAAACCTGTTATTGTATCAAATACACCAACAATAACTGTATCTTGCACAATTTCAGCTTGATTTGAAACTTGAACTGTAACGTAATAGGTTCCAGCTGTACCAAAAGTGTGAATTTTTTCTTTTGAGGAACTAACTTCAGTAGTTGTATCGTTAAAATCAAAGGTATATGACAATGTTCCATAATCTTTGGAAGCTATTTCAGGAACTGTTGCAATAAAATCAATGCTTGATCCAGTCCTAATCGATGTGGAACTAGCTGATAAAGAAACAGATGGAAGGTGTTCTACAACACGGATTGTCTGAGTTTGAGTTGCTACAATACCAAAGTCGTCAGTGATTGTTAACCTGAATGTATATGTTCCATTTATTGTATGTGTATGGGATTTGCTAAGAGTAAGTGAAGTTGTTGTAGTTTCCAATGACTCTGAAACTGTACCACTTTCGAATTCCCACTGAACTGTAACATAAGCTTGAGCATTTACAGTGCAAGTAATTTGAAACTGAACTGCAGTGCTTACTGCTGCTGTAGTAGGTACTCCAACTAAGGTTAGACTTTGGACATTTGCTGCATATTTACTTGTTACACTAATGGACTTGTTAGCTGTTTTGAAACCATCTGATATTTCCACAGATACTTCATAGTAATTTTTAGCAGTGAATGTATATGTGAATGTTCCAGAAGATGTTGAAGTATGCACTTTAGTTCCATTTACAAAATACTCAAAGTTTGTTGGATTTCCACTGCCAACAGAAGTTGTAAAATCGATGGCCTTATTGATTTCAACAAGGTATCCATTGCTGAAATCTGTCAGGTTAAAATCGAGAGAAAGAGGCTGAAAGGCCTGGCTAGCAAATGTCTGTGTAGATGATCCAACAGTATTGTTTACTGTGATAATGACTGGTACAGAAGTTCCACTGTTATAAGAAAATGTATATTGTACATAGGCAAATGGTTCAGATATCCAGTAATTACTACTATCACATGCAGTTCCAACTTCTGATGTAACACTGCTGGGACATGAAGACTGAAAGGTAGATGTGTAATCATTCCCGTCAACTGACCATGAAACCTGTAGATTTGTACCTCTCTTAGCTGCAAATACTAAGTATGTTTGAACATCAGCTTCAACATAAAATGTACTGGTTCCTCCACTTGTTGATTGGACGATTGGATATATCCAGTCAAAATCTCCAACTTCTTCTTCTACAGTGAATGTACAGGATTTTGCAATGTTATCATTTGGAAGACTTAACTCATAAGTGTATGACCCAGCTACGGTAGAATACTGTAAAGATGGAGGCAATGTAACAGTCTCTGGAATAGTATAAACTGCCTGGAAGTAACATGCTGTATTGTTACGCCATGGAGAGGCAGATGATGACATGTCTACTTCATCACCAACAGACACCCATGCACCTTGGATTTTTTGCAGTATATTCTGAAGCAGAGTTAAATCAGTATTATCACATAATATAACATCAACGCTGTTGTTTGTCTGGAATGCAATGATGTCTCCCTCGCTAACCTTCAATCCATCAGCATTTACTGAAAAATAACCAGCTGGACCACTGGGGAGATTAACTACAGTCTGTCCAACAAGTCGATACTTTGGTTGATCTCCAACAAACGGTGTACTACAATATGGATATGTTGTGGTGTCTAACTGGTTACAATTACAGGGGTCAGAGACTGGGATACAGTCATTGGTGTGATAACAGCTTTCTTTTCCTTCATTACAATAAGGTGTAGCACTACAGGTGGTTACAGTAGTGGAGCAGGAAGCATATCTGGCACCATTCCCATCACAACCTAAAAAAAAAGTTGTTTACATAAATTCTAAAAGTTTTCACATCAACTAAATTTAAGAATATTTTAGTTTCTTAGTACATATCTAAAATTATAATCAACATCAGCTACTTGTCTTTATTTTTATGACTTTATAAAGTAATTTCACTCAATATTGCAAAAAATACATGAATATTTAAGATTTTAACTAGCTTGGAAACAGTTAAATGTCTTGCCTGTTTAACTGATTACAGATAATTAAATTGTTAAAGATCTTTGTGATCAAGATCATTTTTTAGGTTTCTAAAAAACTGGTCTAGATCGATGAACCACGAATAATATAAGTTTTGGTTTTTGTGTTGTAGGGTTACTGTCTCATTGAAGTATACCTAACATCTTTTATAAATATTTTAAATGTACTCTTTAGAATCAGGCTGGTGTGTAGACTAAATAGATATGCCTGGTTCTGCAAGTGTTTCTGGGGAGCATACTGGTGTTTTAAATTGGAAGATCCTGTGAAACACATTGGAGCATAGACTTATGGGTCCCACAGTAATAATTTTGTATGTTGTCTTTGAAGAAGATATATCTAATTTATAAGTGTTCCATAGTGAGATTTACATGAGGAACATACTAATGTATTGCCTACAAGGAGGCATACATGTACCTGAGGAACACACTGATGTCCTGACTAGAAGGAAAAATACATGAGGAACATACTGATGTAATGACTAGAAGGAGATATACTTGAGGAACATATCAATATATTGATTAGGAGATAAACCTGTTTTTTTAAGTGTTTATGAGGAACATATCAATGTATAGACTAGGAGATATACCTGGTTTTATAAGTGTTCCTGGGGAACATATCAATGTATTGACTAGGAGATATACTTAGTTTAATAAGTGTTCCAGAGGAACATATCAATCTATTGACTAAGAGATATACCTGATTTTATAAGTGTTCCTAGGAACATATCAATATATTCACTAGGAGATATACCTAGTTTAATAAGTGTTCCTGAGGAACATATCAATCTATTGATTAGGAGATATACCTGGTTTTATAAGTGTTCCTGAGGAACATATCAATATATTTAGGAGATATACCTGGTTTTATAAGTGTTCCTGAGGAACATATTGGTGTGTAGACTTGGAAGGAGATAACAGTATCTTTTGTCAAGGCATTGGTTCTGAAATTCCACTGCTGTATTTCTCCTCCATGGGAAAACCATAATCCTGAAAATAGAAAATAGAGAAATAGAATTTCCCATAATAATAGTAACAAGTCAAAACATTTTATGAAAGACCATCACATAAATTCTCATCAAAATTAATAAAACAGAAGTAAAAGCAATGCTATAAAATTATCATATTTACCTATCTTAAATTTTCAATTTATTACTCTAAAAATATACATTTCAAAATAAATTGCTGCTGATCACATAATTGCCATTGAAATACAGCTAAATGGAGAAGGTATGGTTAAGCCATCATCTGACAACTGAAATTGCAGAAATGGTTGAAAGACATAAATGGACAGGCTGTAGTACTTTATGAACATTGGTAGGTAGGTAACATGAAAGGCTATATAAATGGTATTGATGCTAATATTAAATATCCTTAAGGATGTACACCTCTGAGGAGCCAAAAATTTCTAGAATTAAACTTTTTTTCTTAACCTGATTTTTGGGTTTATATGACTGTAAAAAAATAATTGGTGAAGAAAAAAGCATATGGTGGTGCACTTCTTTTTTTGCTACGGCCCTTTGAAAGTACCCAGTTTTGATGATTTTCCCATTTTTCATCAATTTTTACCCATTTTTGTGCTATTATCATGAAAAAAATCACAGATCCACAATTAAACTTTTTTTCATACTTTTTATAAAGATGCATTGCACCAATCTGAATAAATTTAACTTAAAAAAACTATAGGTAGGTGTTAATATAAGAAAGTTTTATCATAGTTTGATGCTTTTTTGTGTCAAATTTACCATGCTGTCAATTTTGTAAATTTGTGATTTTTCTCTATTTTAAGAGCAAAATGCATATGATTTCAACTTCTTTGTTATAAATGATTGAAAAAATACATATCTAAGAAATTTGAAAAGAAAAAAGTGATATGGGTTGTATTGTATATGTTTCTGGTAAAATCATTTCTTGTACCCCTCACCCATTTCTCAAAATTTTGGCTAAAAAGACTGACTTGATTGGTAATAAAATTTGAACAATTTATTACTCAAAAACTACTTATTGTAAATACACAATTTTTTCACTGAGTTAAGTTTGATTATAACATTTTTTGAATTCATTGATATTTTCCACTTGTATCACATGTTTTGGAAATAATTCTAGAACGAGATTTCAACGAGACTGAAACGTCAGCAGTATACATCCTTAAGGAAGCATCTCTTTATATTCTAAGAAGGAAAGATAATATCTACTGGTTTCTACTAATAAGCAAAATTAAGGAAAAATACAGTCACACAGGAGGTACAAGCTAAAACACACAACATTGTAAAACAAGGGGCTCCTATGAACCTGAATCGCTCACCTTCAAAAATATATCTTGTATTGCTAATAATATTTGCTGTTTACAGATTCTACATCTCTATTATAGTTTTTATTATAATAAGCAAAAACTTGAAAATTAGACAAAATCGTCTTTAAAGGGCAGTAACTCCTAAAAGGAGTCACCCAATTGTTTCGGTCATGTAAGCATTTTCCGAGATATTCTATTGCTGATCAATTTTGTAGTTTATAGTTTTTTACTTATCTGTTACAGTTTTTGAGGTAAAAGGCAAAAACTACAAAATTATTAAAAATATCATCATTTAATGGCATACATTCTTGCGGTTTAAAGTTTTTACCTATCTATTAAAGGTAGTTAAGAAAACAGTAAAAAACTTGAATATTCATCAATAATTATCATTTAAAGACAATAGCTCCTATAAGGACTCATCTTAAAGTTCGTTCCTCTGACGATTATTTTAGGTCTTCTTCTATTGCTGATCATTTTAGGTGTTCACAGCTTTTACTCATCTAGATTTTTTCTAATGATAATGGTTTTCAAGATATGACAATTAATGCATTTTACTGTAATGCTTTTTTTAGCCATGGAAGCCATGTTGGTTGACTGGAACTTGGAAGGAAAAAATAACACAAACTTTATACTAGATAACCAAAGGATCAGTCAATTAAATTGGTCCAGTGATTTCACAGGAGATTTTTAAAAAGTTTACAACAACAAAGACAATGATGACTACTATGACAATAGACACCAGGTGATGGCCATAGGGCCAGATGAGCTAAAAAAGATGTTATCATCCATTAAAATTGGGAATATGGTATGCCAATGTTTTCATTAAATGTCACAAAAGGTAGAAATTATTCTTTATACTATATAATTGATTGACTGTTGATGTTTAACACCACTTTCAGCACTATTGGCTATGTTGTGGTGGCCAGTTTTTATTGGTGGAGGAAGCCTGAGTGCCCGGAGAGAATCACCAACATTCAGCAGGTAACTGCCAATCCTAGTCAATTAAGATCTGAGTCTTTATACTGTAAGTAGCTGATTTATAACAGGCAAAAGGACGATTCACTTCAATAAATAAAAAATGCAGCATTTTTCTCAACAGTAAGGTAATAGATTTTGTAATGGAAAAAAATTATAGATATAAAAATAAGGAGATGTGGTATGATTGGCAATGAGACAACTATCCACCAAAGTTCAAATAAAGTGGATGTAGACATTGTATTGTATCTACTTTAATAAAGAAGGTTATAAAATTTATAAACTATAAGTGATATATCAAATGCTAATGACAGACAAATAAATTCATCTGACTTACAAAAGTATTAATCTAATTGTTGTTTTGGGGTTTTATTTGTTTGTTTTTTTTCCTTTACTCGATTTTAAATACTTTCTGGTATGTCTACCATTTGCTACAAAAATGTGGAATTTTCTTGGTTTTAACCTTGTGGAGGAGCAACATTTACTTATATGATTAAAAACTTTATCATTAATTCAATTTTAAGGTAATGAGACTGTCCTCTATGAAATCATATCTAGTATTTTGTGCAAACAGCAAGCAGTAGAATGAGAAATGCAGCTAAAGAAAAAATATGTATTTAAAACATACCAACAAATGCATTTACTACAAAAAATTATCACAAAATTATATTAAAGGATTTCTAAATGCTTTAAACTAACTTACAAAGCTTGTCTCACTTTTGTAATTAATAAATGTATTAGAGAAACGATTGATTATTTATTTCAACCAAACTCATAACGATGTTTTGTCCATTTTCTTGCATGTAATAAACTACTGTCTATTATGAAAAAACATGCAAACAACTACTTAGCAATGTATTTTGTTGAAGAAATATTTATATGAACAACAATTAGTTGTGAATACACACCTGGAAACGTGTTTGTTATGGATACAGTATTGGCTGGCAAGCTGGTGGAAGCTATTGAAGTCAAGCTATATGTTGACCCAGTTGATACCAAACGACCAATCCCTGCTAGGTATGTTGGTATCTTTACAGTTTCTGAAAAAAAGAAGGGATATGAAGACATTCCAACACCATTCTCATCGTAAACAAAGAAAATATTTGAAAGACAAATTTCTAAGATTGTTACATCAAGATTAGCAATAAAATAATTAGATTTAGAAAAAGTTTCATGCAGTACCTTTGGTTGAACTGGGGTGGGACAAAGTAACAGAAATATTTTAGTGACATACAATATATATTACATTTGTACTGATTGGAAGTTAAATATCTCTTATAGAATAACAGTAATCTGAAACCAGATTTGTCTATGGTTAGACAAAGAACCACTTTTGTCAACTGTTTTACTCTAAAATATCTCTTAAACAATACTGGCAAATGTATAAGTAAGACTCTGGCATTCATGAATCATTTTTCACTATTTTTACAATAAAATTAACTACCTCTTAAAGAATATTGGCAAATATAGTATTTAGATTCTTGACAACTGTAGTGAGACCAGGAACCAGTTTTGTCTACTGTTATGCAGTCTGTTTCTGGGGCAGTGCCAACAGGATTGTAGTTCACTACTGATTGGTTGTTTGTCCACATCAGGTAAGATTCTGACACCTTGTCTGTAAGACCAATCCAAGCTGACTGAGTCACACTAAAAGAAATAAATCTATTTTATTCTCAGTTTAGTTCAAATTAAATTCAACAATATTCACAATGTTCTTTGGCAAAGTTTGTTACAGTTGTATCTTTTGTATCAAATATATGTCATATCACGAAAACATTTGTATAAATGCAAAATTGTTACCAAGTAATCCAACAATAAAATTTCATAAAAGTGGATTTCTACGAATTGGTTTTTTTTTACATTTATATTTACAAATTTCACCATGTCATCAACACGGAACAAATCTTAAAATCATATGGAAAACTTTAAATTTCTTCGAGTCTAGAAGAAATGATCAGAGTAAAACATCAACACTGAATTGCCTTCATCATGAATGATCTGTAATAAATATAGTTCTTAAGAATTCTTTGGATAACAAAATGAAAAAAGTTACACATTATTTTCTGGTTTCCACAATATACATGTCCCAGTTGACAAGAAATGAATTTCAAACCCTCAATGGTATACATATGAGCAGTTTTTCAGTTGGAGCAAATTTTAAATTATGAAATCAATTTAAATTGAACCAAATTTGGTTAACTCATAAAAACTGATGTGTCCACAAAAATAAATGAACTTAAAGTCATAAAATGTGTAATTTTGAAATCATCTGTAAACCTCCATTGTATCCAACTTCAAACTTACCTTCCAAACACATAGGTTATGATAAAAGTCTTCAGAGAAAGAGAGTCTATAACAGCTAACTGTGACTGATTGGTCAATAATTGACAGTTACTGGCCGCCACAGACCAATTAACATTGGTCTCATATAACTTGTAACAGTGATTGTTATCCGAGTAATAATGTCCACCATCAAAACATTCTGTATTTGGAACTAAAAAATAAGAACAAAAACTTAATTGCTATGTAAAGTAAGACTTTTCATCTTTATAATAAAATTACAACACAAGTGAACCAACGCCTGGTAAATCTTCTGTCAGTAGATTCCATAAAGTGGATACCTCGGGTATGCAGGGTCGTTACGATAAAAACATAAAATGTAGAAGGTCCAGTAACAACAACACTTTACGGAATGCTCCAGTAATTTATTAAGATCGACATGTTTCGGTGGCTAGGCCACCGTCATCAGGATAGAAAACAATACATAAAATCATGCTGAGGTACAAAATCGGGTTGAGAAAATTAAAACGTCACAATGTTGCTATGGTGAGTAACGTTATAAATAGCAATTGAAAGAGAAAGTGAAAGTAAGTATATATGGAAGTGAACTATTAAAATAAAATAAAATAAAATAAAATAAAAATACAATGTTTTTGTTGTTAAAATGTTTGTTAAAATTGTTCTGCCATCATGTGTTAGCATTCTTGCACAGTAGTAGTAAAACAAACAATTATATCATTGAGGCACCAACAGGAACCGGCCTTCCTAAAATGCTATCAGGCATTCAACAGGCGCAAAGAAAGTAAATTATGATGAAACATCTCAACCAAAAACGAGTGCAAAGGAGGAAAAGAAATGTGATAAGACTATTTTTCTCTTACAGAATTTATTGGCAATTATATGCACCAGACTTCTTATTAAGAAATTGACTTTGAAGTAAGTTCCAGAAAATACGTTAATCATACATACTACCAAGTTTACCAGATTACAAGATTACCAGCCACTTCCGATAGTTTAATGGAGGAACACAACATTTACATTCATCATAGACCAGCGATATCATTTCATTTAATTTTCCCTATACCTTTGGCGGTCAAACACTTTACAGCATTCCCGACGCGATTGGAAGTAGTACCTCTGGCCAAGGGAAGCCATTCGAAATGGTACGGAATTGCCAGTAAAATGTCGTCTATATTTGGAAATAACGACGTTAATTGAACACAAAGTTTACACAGAACACAACTGACAATAATTTATTGTATAATTCGTTCCACTGTGCAAGAATGCTAACACATGATGGCAGAACAATTTTAACAAACATTTTAACAACAAAAACATTGTATTTTTATTTTATTTTATTTTATTTTATTTTAATAGTTCACTTCTATATATACTTACTTTCACTTTCTCTTTCAATTGCTATTTATAACGTTACTCACCATAGCAACATTGTGACGTTTTAATTTTCTCAACCCGATTTTGTACCTCAGCATGATTTTATGTATTGTTTTCTATCCTGATGACGGTGGCCTAACCACTGAAACATGTCGATCTTAATAAATTACTGGAGCATTCCGTAAAGTGTTGTTGTTACTGGACCTTCTACATTTTATAATAAAATGTTGAATAAGTAACCATTAATTTATAGCTAGTTTGTGTTATAAAATTCTTTACTTTATGCAAAACACCAATCTTGAGTTGTTTTTTATGAATGAGTTACATCGTTCGACCCAGGGTCAGTAGGTGTAAATGACGTCATCGAACAATCGGTTCTTACTGTGATGTAATCATATAAGCATTGTGACATGTGGAAATAATGAGAAAGTGCACCAATTCGAAAGTCGTCTATAAGTCACTTCCTGTCAGTCATGTATCCAGAATTCTTTTAACAAATGACTATTGATGCATAACTTTCCACTATTTGGGTTAATATTACTAGGTCAATATGCACATGAATTCAATTTTAACAGCCATAATTTCTTCAATTTTTTTATTTTAATTAACTATCACTATGTTTGTTTGTCAAAAATAACCAGAATAGGTCAAATATGTCAAGGTCATCAGTTGATTTCTACAGATGCAGACCAAGGTTAGAGAACAGGTATACATAGTTAGATGTGTTAATACATAGAGTGTGGCTAATGTGTTATCCTTCTAGTATGTAACCTTTGGAATTCTAAAGCAAGTGCACATTTCATTTGTATACTGATATCATATACTTTTTGAATTCTAAAGCAATTGCACATTTCATTTGAATACTGATAGCATATACCTTTTGAATTCTAAAGCAAGTGCACATTTCATTTGAATACTGATAGCATATACTTTTTGAATTCTAAAGCAAGTGCACATTTCATTTGAATACTGATATCATATACCTTTTGAATTCTAAAGCAAGTGCACATTTCATTTGAATACTGATATCATATACCTTTTGAATTCTAAAGCAATTGCACATTTCATTTGAATACTGATATCATATACCTTTTGAATTATAAAGCAAGTGCATATTTCATTTGAATACTGATATCATATACCTTTTGAATTATAAAGCAAGTGCACATTTCATCTAAATACTGATATCATATACCTTTTGAATTCTAAAGCAAGTGCACATTTCATCTAAATACTGATATCATATATCTTTTGAATTCTAAAGCAAGTGCACATTTCATTTGAATACTGATATCATTTAGGATGAAATATAAAATCAAATGATCCAACTTATTATAATAGTTATCACCAATCATCTGATGCCCACTCACATGTCCCCATGGATGGAGATATGTTGTTGTAGTCAAACTGGTTTATTCTTAACAATAATTATATCAGGGCTACCATTACTCCAGAATTAGGGAGGAGGCTTTTCTTTCTAAGCCTGACAGGAAGAAGTGGTTAACCATGAGCAACAGAAGTGATAATAAGAAAAAATTTAAACATTTTTGCAAAAAGTGAAATATGAACCAATTTTCTTAAATGCTAGTTAAGATTGAAAAACCTCTAAAATATCTATGATCTTCTAATGGAGTTTTAAAGCTAAAAAAGTAAAATGATCTCCTTTACAAAAGAATTAAAATTGATGATTTCAGTGTGAAATTAAGGACACATTTTGTTTGGTTTTTTTTAGACTTGACAATATATATGTTAATGTATGTGGTATTTATATGTCATGCAAGTGAAAATTACATTACATAAATGTAGTATTCAATGCTACAAACTTACTACTGCTATTCTGAATTTCTGTAAATAGTTTTTCCATGTAACAAAGGCTACCTTTTATAACAACTTCAAAATATATTAATTCTTCTTCTACATCTTCTTGAAGTGTCTGTGATAGACCATAGTTTGTTTGATAAGTTTTCAGTGTTGTTCACTTTGTTCAAGTGTTTGTGCAAGTTGTTTTTTAAATAAGTTTTCAGTGTTGTTTACTTAGTTCAAGTGTTTGTGCAAGTTGTTTTTTAAATAAGTTTTCAGTGTTGTTTACTTAGTTCAAGTGTCTGTGCAAGTTGTTTTTTCAATAAGTTTTCAGTTTTGTTGACTTTGTTCAAGTGTTTGTGCAAGTTGTTTTTTAAATAAGTTTTCAGTGTTGTTTACTTTGTTCAAGTGTTTGTGCAAGTTGTTTTTTATTTAAGTTTTCAGTGTTGTTTACTTGTTCAGGTGTTTGTGTGAGTTTGATTGCTAACTTTTTAGTGATGTTAACTTTTTCAAAGCTTGTTATTTTCCTCTGGATTTCTGATTTTATGCCCAGTACTCCTTTCTTTTCTGGCATTATAATATAATACTACTTTGATGGAGAGTTGTCTCATTGGCACTCATACCACATCTTCTTATATCTATTTGCACAGTTATTTGACCTTGAATGCTTCTAAAAATTACAAAGTATAAATATTTACCTTCTTGACAAAGAATACTGTGAGAAGAAGAACAATCAATGCCTTTCAATGCTCCACTGGTCCTGTCAATCACAACACATCCACCAACAGATGAGTCTGTAACATCAGCTGCCATGAAGTAAGCTTTATTCCCATTGGTCCATTTGTATCCATTACCATCTTTAGTTGCACCAAGTAGTATTGTCGAAAAAGCTGAACAATAATGTCAAACTATTAGTAAATATTTTACTCTTTTTTCTTTCAAATTTTTCAATTAGAGTAGTTGCAAATATAATTGTTGGAAGTTTATAGTTTGAAAATAAGACTACCAGGTACAATATTTCTCTTATTGTTACTGCATTTTCCCTAAGGATTGTGTCTTCCTGCACTGTTTACGGCATTACTTTAGGAAATCTTTTCCTAAGTATAGCCATATATTATAAGTGTTGGAAAAAAACAAAGGAGTAGGACCGGTAAGGGCCGATGTTGGCATCAAATTTCAGGTTCATCTGATGAAAGATTTTGGACACTTTTTAAACACTACTTCAGTTGATTCAATTACTTTTCGTGAAAGATTTGAACTGATTTAGTCATTTCAGTCGCTCAAATTCAAGCTTAAATATGAAAAATCTATCAAATATGCCATAATATGTACATTTTCAGATGGTTTTTGTCAAAAATGAAAGTGGCTGCATCCTTGTTCACTCTCAACCTTTATATATGTTATGTATTATCATCAAATACAACTTACATTTAAATATTAAGAATGAACACAAATGCGGCCACTTCCATTTAAGATGGAAACCGTCTAAAATTTAACTCAAATGCTAAAATTGTGTAGAATTCAGTAATTTAGCATGACTAAATGATGCTAGTACCCGATATATGTGCATTATATTGTCAAAAACAGCCCATATTTATGTAGCAGAAGTATTCTACTTTCCAATAAATAACTAAAAAGTTACATTTTAACAATTTTGTAAAACAGCTATATTTTGGAGCCAAAAAGGAGTCTTACTGGACCTACTCCTTTTTCATATCATCAGGATAATTGGACTCTGGTGGATAGTTGTCGCATTGGCCCTAATACCACATATAATTATTTTTTATACGTATACTTGCTGTCTCATTAACATCTATTATTGATAAAGCTGTCTCTGGATTTGCCAGTAAAAAAAACAATACATACATTTGTATGCACCTGTCCTAAGTCAGGAGCCTGTTCAGTGGTTGTCGTTTGTTGATGTGGTTCATACGTGTTTCTCGTTTCTCATTTTTTATATAGATTAGACTGTTGGTTTTCCTGTTTGAATTGTTTTACACTAGTCATTTTGGGGCCCTTTATAGCTTGCTGTGTTGTGTGAGCCAAGGCTCCATGTTGAAGGCCGTACTTTGACCTATAATTGTTTACTTTTTACATATTGTGACTTGGATGGAGAGTTGTCTCATTGGCACTCATACCACGTCTTATTTCTATGTAGTAACCCTTTCTATAATAGCTTCAAGAACAAACCAGTCATCAAGGAATGGTCATAACATAATACATACATGTATATTGGCTGAGGGCATAGGTCATAACATAATACATACATGTATATTGGCTGAGGACATAGGTAATAACATAATACATACATGTATATTGGCTGAGGACATAGGTCATAACATAATACATACATGTATATTGGCTGAGGACATAGGTCATAACATAATACATACATGTATATTGGCTGAGGACATAGGTCATAACATAATACATACATGTATATTGGCTGAGGACATAGGTCATAACATAATACATACATGTATATTGGCTGAGGACATAGGTAATAACATAATACATACATGTATATTGGCTGAGGACATAGGTCATAACATAATACATACATGTATATTGGCTGAGGACATAGGTAATAACATAATACATACATGTATATTGGCTGAGGACATAGGTCATAACATAATACATACATGTATATTGGCTGAGGACATAGGTCATAACATAATACATACATGTATATTGGCTGAGGACATAGGTCATAACATAATACATACATGTATATTGGCTGAGGACATAGGTCATAACATAATACATACATGTTTATTGGCTGAGGACATAGGTCATAACATAATACATACATGTATATTGGCTGAGGACATAGGTCATAACATAATACATACATGAATATTGGCTGAGGACATCAGTTATCTCCTGTGTATAGTGTATAGTCAGTAAATGGCCACCATTACAAGTTGATGTGGCTCCACTGTAGGTGTAAGAAGATAGTAGAGCTTGAAGGCACCGACCTCTAAAGAAGTCCCATGTTGCCTCACACTGGCCTTCTGAAAATAAAAAATTCAGACAATTTTATTTGATTGAAAGCTATTAGCCAATGTTTGTTAAACATTGTCCTTATTAAATCAATAATACCCATTAATTTATTAATATAAAATATAAATACATTTTGACCTTTCTATGGTGAATTAATAAAATACCAGTAATCTGAAAGCAGTAATAAGCATATTAGCAAGTTAATAATATGATATATGTTGTTACATGTACAATCAAATTGCTTACTTAAATACTAAATATTTGTGGCTACTTTAAATAAATTAATGCTTTAGAGCCTGTAATTCAGTGGTTGTCGTTTGTTACATTTGTCATTTCGGGGCCTTTTATAGCTGACTATGCGGTGTGGGCTTTGCTCATTGTTGAAGGCTGTACAATGACCTATAGTTGTTAATGTCTGTGTCATTTGGTCTCTTGTGGAGAGTTGTCTCATTTGCAATCATACCTCATCTTCTTATTTTTATATCAAGACCATGTTTTATTCTCATTTGAAAGGTTTACCGGTATTTATCAATTCAGTAAACTGAAAGTTGTTATTCCAGGAAAGGAATAAAACATCAGAAAAGAATTGTTTTCTCTGCCAAGACAAGTGGTCAAAGCTGCCAGTATTCATCTATCTCTAATATATAATATCAGAACGGTTTTATTATGCATGTTCACATTGTTAAACAAAATTCATCCCATGAATTATTTAAATCTAATTGTGTCTAGTGTCTCGCTCATAACCATATTGAAAATTCTGGCAAGTTGGAAAAACTAGATATCATTGAGATGGGAGCCATCTCTGTGGGCCCCGCTGTGAATAATGTGTGGTAAAAAATTTGTATCTTTATCATTGGACATGGGGTTGTCAAATGAAACTGAAGTTTACGACCTTGACCTTTGACCTAGGAAGTTGTACATAAATTATGACACACCCTCTGGTGTTGGTTTATATACATGTCAAGTATAAACTTTGAAATCATAACGGTTCTCAATATTTAGAGCGGACACAATCTTTAATATAGGACATGGGGTTGTCAACTAAAACCAAAGTTTTTGACCTTGACCTTTGACCTAGGAAGTTGTACATACATTATGACACACCCTCTGGTGTTGGTTAATATACATGTCAAGTATAAACTTTGAAATCATAACAGTTCTCAAGATATAGAGCGGACACGATCTTTACCATAGGACATGGGGTTGTCAACTAAAACCAAAGTTTTTGACCTTGACCTTTGACCTAGGAAGTTGTACATACATTATGACACACCCTCTGGTGTTGGTTAATATACATGTCAAGTATAAACTTTGAAATCATAACGGTTCTCAAGATATAGAGCGGACATGATCTTTACCATAGGACATGGGGTTGTCAACTAAAACCAAAGTTTTTGACATTGACCTTTGACCTAGGAAGTTGTACATTCATTATGACACACCCTCTGGTGTTGGTTAATAAACATGTCAAGTATAAACTTTGAAATCATAACGGTTCTCCAGATTTGTTAAGGACGGACAGACGGACAGACGGACGGACAGACAGACGGACAGACAGACTGATCACTATAGGGTGTCCGCCATTCGGCGGGGCCCTAATTAAAAAATGTTAGAAATCAATACAATATAATTTGACAAGTCAGATGCATACTACCCAAGTATACTAATTATATGTTGTTTCTGAAGTTTGCATAGTTAATTCTTATTTTTTTTCTAATTTTGTAGTATTATCCTGGTATTTTTATTACATTTTTGTACTTTTGTAAATATATAGTTTGTTCACATACAGTTACCTAAAAATGGCAACAACAACCCCAACTTGACTTATATTCATTGACTATGATGTATACCTCAATTCTATTTATATCACATACCTGTAATAGCTGTGACATTATCAGTAGGTAGTTTAGTCCACTTGTATTCTGTATTGTATCCAGCACTGATGGTTCCTGTCACTGTTATTGTTGATGACAGTGATGGCGACGATGACGGACATGTGATATCTATACTGTCTGATGAAAATAATGGCCGTACCTCTACTAACACAGATAGGGAGGCACATGCTGAATTGGTGGTACATGCCATAACTGTCATGGTGTATGTCCCAGCTGTTGCATATGTGTGGCTATTGGTATATGTCATGCTGGATGACGTTCCTGATGTACTCTCACTAGAGTCGCCAAATGACCATATATATTGAACTATGGTCGATAACTGAACTTCAGCTGTAAATGTCTGACTTTGTCCTGCCGTTACTCGATCAAAAGGGACAATTGTTAGTCCTGCAGAAATAGGATACACAGTACTGACATAGACAATATTAGTTGATGTTGAGTCAACACAAGCCATGTTACTCCCATCAACATAAGCCTTTGATGCACACCAGCATTCATTACTGGAATCTATGTGTTTGTATCCACACATACATAAACTGTCTTCAAAAATACCAAATGTTGAATTGTTGTCAAAACACTTCTCAATACAAGTTTGATTGTCTGTTGCAGTTTCTGTGTTTGTAAATAAAACATCATACTTGACCTTGTCCTCTGCATCAAAGTAACAGGAACCAAGTCGCCCAGGACCTACAGACAAGAAATACACAATCTAATATTGAAGCATCTACAGGAGATAATAATTTATTCCTTTACGGTTAACAGTTTTTTTTTCTTAAATTTTTTTCTCCTAGCAAGAATTGAAATTAAAAAACAATTGATGTCCATGCCAAATTTTTGTGTAATTCGGGGGCAACAACTATTCCTGGAGTCTTCAATCAATTTCAACACTAACTGAAATTTTTGTAACCAAGAAGTACAGTTCTTATCATATTTATTCCTTTGATGTCAGATTTTCAAGAGTACTGTAGTCTCAATTACTGTAATGTATTCATTTTCAAAATTAGTCACTAATAGACAATTAATCATGTACATTTAAAATCTTGAAGATGACAAACCTACCATTATACTTAAGTAACCCTTTTTGTTGTTAGCTGAAATTTAAACTTTTTTGCATATTTAAAATCTATTAATTTATCATAACTTAAATCCAGTGAAATCAAATTGAAGAAAAACACACACTGAATCCTACACTGCTCCCATAAGCTATAAACTAGCACTACTTTTAATTATGATAGTCCAAATCTGGACTACGATAAAGTCAACATAATCCTCTCAATAAAACAGAGAACTTATTTCATGTACAGAATGGTAGTCCAAAGTTCAAAAATAATGTATCTCCAATGTAGAGGATTATATTTACTTCTTAAATGCTATTTTTAAATTAACTATAAATATATTGGTAATGGATTGGGAAAATGTGATATACATATATTATGTTAATACACAAATGTGCATCTAATGTGGTAAATAAAAATAAGAGTATTGAAACAACCCTGATTACCTACAAACCTGTCATATCTGATTTGCATATACATTTATCCTTTTTACCCTGAATCCTCATCAAACAGGTCAAGTAATCATAAAATTTACATGATGACAAGGAATATATTCTCATTCTAAAAATTACCACCATGTCTTTCGTATTTGTAACAATTGTAAGAAAATAACGTACCTCTTTATAAAGCCTCTTTGATGTATTTCATACTCAATATAAAACTACCACACAAGGAGAAGAGAAATAGAGTACCCTGGGACACCAAACATATACTGACTTGATTATTCAAATTTAGCCTGAATTAGCCAATCAAACAATTATTATTAAGGGGAAGATCCACATTTTATTAAAAAAGGGGGACCACAAGGGCGTAACAAAAATAAGGGCAGCAGCAGTTAAAATCTGAAATATGTATTAAAAAAACCAAACAAACAAAAAGAAACACTAATATTCTACCGTGAGGGTGATCCTATGCCTCAACCATAACCCGTCCCTTGAATCATTACCTTGTTTAAAAAAAAAGTTGAATTGAAGGGGTGCAAATATTAACTACATTTTTTGCAAAAATTACATATTTCATTTTCATAATTTCTATTCTTCTCTTTATGTAACCAAGTTTCTATCATAGTTAATTACTGGTTTGAGATAAACAAGAATAATCAAGTCATTGTAGGGAATAAGATATTTCCAGAAGGGGGGGTGAAGAACTCTTGAGATACAATTGATATAATAGAACAATAGTGTCAGTTGCAGAAATTATACAATATTTAACAAACTAAGTCATAACATCAATTACAAATATTCTCCAAAATAATGATTGAATCACATACCTATATCACAATATTGAAAATACATGTACTTTTGCATTGTTGTGTATATTTCACTCCAGATCCACCCATAGTAAAATATACACAACAATTGTTTTCTCATAACAAGAAGTTGACAGATAAAAGATGAGAAAAGAGATCATAACTAGCTCTAACAATGGGCAATAGTAAGCTGTGACTCTATATTAAAGATAGAAATAGCTTTCCCACAAAGTCCCATCAACACAGGGGGGAACAAACCACAGTTAAAAGTGCCAACAACTGACTCACCGACACAGAATCTATGTGTGGTTGACAAGGAACTGCAATAACTTTTCCATGCTGGCGTTGAACGTTTTGATTTATGTGATGAACACGCTGTATGTGTTAGGAAATAGTGTTAATAACAAGCATAAAATAAAACAAAACAAAACACAAACTAAAATATAGAAAATGAACAATCAATTAAAAAGGCATAGAGTAAAATAAAATAATAGAAATTAACATCAATACATAATTCATCAAATATTCTGCAAGTTTAAACTTCAATCCAAATGCAAAGCGATTGAGATTTCAATCTAATTTCAATTATAGAGAAAATTCAGAATAATGTGTGCATTTATAAAATGTATTTGTTGAACAATACAAAATGTGAGATCAATTTGGTGAATTGTGGAATGGCTTCATTGCTTAAATGATCTTCTCAAAATATCTTTCATAAATATTTCATTAGCTAAACCATCTTTCATTTCGACTTGCAAAATACTTTATGATCCACCATTACATATAAAATCTTTATTTGTGAACTAATGTGGTGCAATTTGAACTAATTTAATACAAGCTATAAAATGAATAAGTTTCGAAAATGAAAATAATAAAATACTATTAAATTAAAATACATTTAATTGATGTGCACTGACTCACAAGTATCATCATTATTAGCCTTTGAATCATCAGTATTTTTGCCAAATCCTGTGTTTGTTGGAGGACAATAATAGCCTGTAAATTAGGTAAGTAAACTTCTAAAGGCTACTTTTACGGTAAAAGGTGAAAAGAATAAAGTTTATTTCTTCCACAGAGAACTGTTAAAATTATTCACCAGATTCGAATTCGTTAAAAAGTGGAACTTTTATCGTCCCTGAGAACAAGTGATTTCATAGAAGTATGGTTTCAGAGAAAAAATTTATGAACATGTTTAATGATATACAATTGATTGCTACAGCTCACACTGACTCTGAAATGATGCCAAGTATGTAACCCTTAGAGACCACCTAGATAACTGAGTTTAAACTTGGCCTGGATAATTTTTAAGGTGGTTATCTTTAAAATTTGTGAACTATTTCTAGGATCTGTATAAACAATATTATAACTATCTTAAAGCTGTTGCAACATATTTAAGGGTCCATAAATCCCTTGAACCTGTTCCTAATTCTCACCTTGATTAATGTCCAAAAATTAGGGATATGAGCTTCTATCCTTACAAAAATATCAAAAAGTTACACAATTCCTTGATTCTGGTCATTCTCTTTCTGTCCTATGCCTTAACCAGAACTCATATTTCAAGAACAGTTACGCTTTTTTTAAAATCTTGCATATTATTCTTTTTAATTATGCGGTTCTGTCCTATATCCTAACATTACATTTACTAACCCTTATTTTGGCTTAAATCACTGGACATGGTTTGGTTATATGGTTGTAAACTTATACAGAAATTATGTATAACATTTGTTGGTATCCAAAAAAATTGTAATTTGACCTAGGAAAAAAAAAAGAAAATTGAAATAAAGGTTTTTGAGATTGCTATACAGTGTTTAACTTGTTCATTGTTGAAGATCCTCCTCTAGATGTATATTTTTAGTATTGTTTTCTCATAGATGTTTAACCACACATCGCATTAAAACAGACTAATAAGCGACCTTGTAGTTACTTCTTTAGATGAAGAACAGAAATAAAAGCATTGTTCCGTTCATACATAGTTTCCAAACATTCATTTGTGATTGATGTCTTAAGTTCATGTATACTGTGGATTCATTTATTTTCGTGGGTATCAATTTTCGTGGATTTCTGAAAACTTGCATATTCGTGGATATTTGATTTCGTGGTTTTGCCAATATCTGTATACTAAGCCTATTGAAAATATGTTATTCGTTGAACATTTGAATTCGTGGTTTACCTGTACCCACGAAACCCACGAAAATTGGTATTCAACGAATAATAATGAATCCACAGTACCTTATACATTTCTATTAACTGTGAATTGCATACCAAATATGAGACAAAAACTGATTGATTGATTAGTTGTTCATGATTAAGGCCAACTTCAACACTATTGGCTTTATCATGGCTGTCAGTTTTAATTCTTGGAGTAAGCAAGAATGCCTAATGAGAACCACCGACCTTCGGCATTAAAAATCACAATCCTAGACAATAATGATTGGAGTCGACCTACTGACCACTCTGTCACCAAGGCCCCCCAAAATTGAACATGGTAAAATATGATTGTGTTTGGATATGAAAGGAGTTCAGGTTTATCTATAATTTATAAAAGTCCATAGTTGGTCGTTAATTTGTCCAATCTGAAAAGTATCTGTGTTTCTAATTTTCGTGAAACAAATAAGAAGAATATGCTCCCAATTTCATTATGTTTAAACAACTAGACAAACTTTTTTACACTATACAAAAGCTGATTTACATACAATGCCATACATATAAAAGCATCTCGTGATATGCTTTGTGATAATATGTGATACAAATTATACTAATGTGTCAGTTAATAAAAGCATTAACAATTTATGCCATATCTTTATATTGTCAAGCGTGCTCTCCCATAAAAGACAATTTAATCTTATCAATAATGTATCTTTTCTAAAATTTAACCACAAAAACTATTTTGAAGGAGTATAACAATAAAGTAGAAAGAGAATTTACTGTATATAGTAGGGAAACATTTATTTTTAGTAGGATATAAAGTTTCAATTTCAAGATATAAAGGGTGAAAAAAGAATGCAAAATAGAATTAACATTAACACTAACCTTATCGATTGAAAAAAAAATTATTCTTTTCCAAGTACATGTAAATATATTATTATAAAAGAAAACTTTTCTTATTGCGTTTCCTATATTATTTAATATTGAAATTTTTTAATATTATATATATATAGATATTTTATGAACAGGGAGAACACATGTGCACTATATGTGAGATGTTAGACTGATAAAAATAACATCGACAAACAATCACAAAATACTTCACTTAAATATCTAGTTCTTTTCAATAACTTTTTTTAAAATAACTAGTTTTTACTAAATTACTCTAAACAAGACTTGAGAGAAGCTATTAGTTAAATTTCTAAGAACAGTTAATACATATATCAATTCTTTTTATGTAAAATGAATATTTGGGATTGAGGATCACTACTATCTAATACATTGGGTAATCTACTTAAAAGATTTTGATCTTCAAATCAAGAGAACACAATTACCAAATGATTTTCTTAACATTAAAAACATATGCATTACAGTTTAGCTAATAATACATTTTTTCAAGAAATTTACAAATAATGTTTTCATGCACTCACAATAGACCACAAAAGTGTACACATTCAGGTAAATGTGATAATAAAAGTACATAAAAATACATTTAAAAGTACATTCTATTTATTTTACATTACTTTATGCCTTTTTTAAAATTGATCTTTTTCCTACAATGCTGAAATAAAAAAACATTCTTGTTTGTGTTAGTAAACTTGCTTGATGTTGATTGGTCAGTTTTAAGCAGAAGCAGGGTTAATAAAGCAGACAGATTATATATTGTTAGTCAGGAGAAGGGAGTGGGGAAATGGAAAGGATTTTAATTAAATAATATACTATTTCTTATTTGGTTAGGCATCTAATTTTAATCATTATTTGAATCAGAATCTGTGTATAATTTTAGTTTTTAGTGAAAAAAAAAGATTGTATTACTTTAGCTTTTTTTTTTATTCTGAGAAAAAAAATCTACATTTTTAAATATTTAAGTCTAAATTAGTCAAACCTAAGTGAAATCTACAAAAATAAAAAAAAAATCTAATTTGTTATTCAATCAATTCAAGTATTTACTGCAACATTTAAAAAAAGCAGTGGGAGCTGCAGAACATTGCCCAGCAATCCCTAGAAGATTGTTTATTGAGCAAGATGTTTTGTATGTAGCACAATGAAATATTCTGGCTACTGCAAACGTGGAAATTTTCGTGCAGGGATTATTTTTGCTTATTTCACGATATTGTAAAATGTGCTTAAATATCCCTTGTGAAAATATTTCATACAAATCAGCAATTTCAAGGTCAAAGGCACGAAAATTTTGTGCATTGAAAGTGCAAAAATATCCATGTTGGCAGTATTTTTTCACAGGGACTTACTTATATTTGTCTTATTGTACCAGTCAGATAAGAAAGCTAATAAAACAAAAATGTTTTAATTTAAAGTTTAATATTGGGGTTTTATTTTTCGGGTAAGCACATGTAAATGTTTGTAAATCATTTGCATAAATCTGAAACTGTGTTGTACTTATTATCACTAAATATTCAGAAAATGTGAAGGGAAAAATTGTTAAAAATGTGACTGTGAACCAAAAACACCTATGACAATCTACATAAAACTCTGTTCAACCCAGCACCAGTGTTAAAACACATAAAACATAAACAATCAATATATAGATTTCATATAAAAAAATATCATCCACCCAACTAATTCACCAATAAAATTATCAGTATTAACCAAATTAAATTCAACCAAAAGCATGTTAAGATATTCCAATTATATTTGATTTTCTCCAATCCCTTTTGCATGTTATTTGCTTTGTTGCATAAAATAGTTTAGAACAAACTTATGGCCAGCACCACAATTTCAAACCAATAAAAATTATAACCTTGAGATATATAGCTGGCAAGAGCTCTGCGCTGGATGGAATGTTGGCAAGCTACAAATTTATGGATTTTTCATTAAAACTAATGCTATTCAAATTTCTTTAACTTGATGGCTTTAGAAATATAGCTGACAAGCCAAACTCATTCCAAATTTATTTTTATTAAAAATTTTCTTTAACATTTGGAGTTATTCCCCTTTTTACAGGTTAACTTCATATTTATCCTATATGAGTCAATTTTTTCACAGGCTTTTAAATTTCTTCTTCAAAGTTTTATGGGGGAATAAAACAGAATGGCAAACTCCCATTCTTCCTTTGTAATAAAAGTAAAATAAATATATAATATGCTAAAAACTCTGAAATAATGGAATGCACTGACAAAAATTCGTTTTTTCAACATAATTTTTATACAAAGTTAAAAATATGTTAACTTTTAACCTGTTGGAACTACCAACACTCTTGTTATTCTATCATCTTAAATAGATGATTTTCCTAGAGCCAACAAGTTTATAAGCTACTTAAGTCTATCAAATTAAAGAGTGAAAAACCATTAAAAAAAACGATAATAAAACATGTCTTATAATGACCACAATAAGCTTTAAGGAAAAACAGTGATTATTTTTTTTAATGTGGACACTTGTATTTATAGGGAAAGTGATGTCAGTTTATATATTTGATTCATTATTTTGTGCATATTTTACATATCTTATATACAATATAGCAATGAAATAGAGGAGAAAGCAAACTGTATGTACATGTATTAACTATACAACTATATAATTTATGTAATTTATAGAAATCCTTATTTCATTGCTATATCATAAAAAGAAGAACTTGAACAAAAATTCTAAAATAAAAATTCTCTGGCTAATTAATCTACTTTTGTTCAAGATCTTTACTTCAGCATGCTATAATAATAATAGTATATTTGTATGCATAGATTTCAATGCATGCCAATCATTCATAATAGAGATTATATAGTACATGCTTACACCAAAACCTTTCTGATGCCTGATCCAGGAGGTTGACTGAAGGAGCATTGGAACAGTTGACATCATTTCTATCTTCAAACTCCACATTTCTTGATGTTTCAAGCGTGACTAGTTCATTACGGAAAGACAATAAATCACAGGTGCAGTCAAATGGATTGTTTGCTATATTTCTGTAATCATAAGAGTATGTTATTATGTATAAATATGGCTGCCCAATTCAAATTCTGTGATATTTTAAAATGACTTAAAGTTAGCTGGATACAAGGATTTATGCATCAAGGGTCTTAAAAAAGTAATATTTGCAAGTCCTGACTGTATGGGTTTTCTCATTGTTGAAGGCTGTATGGTTGCCTATAATTGCTTACACTTTATTTGAACTTTGGTGGATAGTTGTCTCATTAGCAATCATACCACATCTCCTTATTTTCATATTAAAATTGGACTTAGGCCACCGGATTAAAAATTCTTTATTCCTAAATGCAGAATTCAGAAGAGCACTGATTTTGTTATTTAACAGTCCCCAGCATGTTACTTTATCATAAACAAAATTAGCCAATTATCATTTCAATATCTGTCAGGCAAAAATACAACTTTTTGGGATATCCTGCAATGTATGGATTCTGTGTACCAAACATCTTAAAAGGATAAAAGAAAAAGCAACAATTTACTTTGTGGTTTGTCGAGTCAGAAACAAAATATAAATCATCAACAACTTCTAAGAATTATTGTCTTCATTTATCTACCGGTATATAAATAGTTCACCTCTGATTGGTCCTGTTGTTTATATTCACATCTATTTATGCATGCATGAAAATGAGTAACTTGACCTAAGAATAATTTGACATTTAAATCTGCATAAGATATACAGTGGATTCATCATTATTCATGGAGAATAAAATTTTCATTGATTTTGGGGTTATGCTGATTTATAAAAGACTACAGTATTCTTAAGCCTTTAAAGCAATCTCTTGGATTGTCCATCTATTTTGTTTGTTGTATGACTTACTTATGGAAGATGCCAGGGAGGTGAAGTGCTCTAACTGAAAGTATCATTTGTGACTTTGAATTTTTGTGTGTCAGCATTACTTATGGAAGATGCCAGGGAGGTGAAGTGCTCTAACTGAAAGTATCATTTGTGAATTTGAATTTTTGTGTGTGTCAGCATTACTTTGTATTGAGTTTTCAGTCCATAACAGTAATTGAGCTTTGGGATATTTAACTTACAATTTTTGTAAACTTGACAGTGAACTTAATACATTGGTTTGGAACGTGGTAAACTTGTTATGGCTAATATCTCTACAAAGAAATAGTACATTGTAATTAATTTCAAAGTAATCTAGGTCAGTCTATTCAACTCATTCTGAAATACAGGATTATACAACTGTTTTAATTGGTATCTTAAATTTGTTAATACCCTGAGATTAAAACTTTCACTTTATTTCTTTCCAATTAAAATAACAAAATCTATATGAAATAGTTTTTAAAATAAAAATTATTCCAAAATAATTCCACTTACTATCATTATAAAATCAGAAATATAAAAATTAGGAGTAAAATAAATGTACTATACATTTATGTTAATAGATATTTCTTTAACATGCAGGTGAATAATAGGTGCAATTAGGCCTTCCCAATGGAAACAGTATCCTACTAATACCCCTTTTACCTCAAAAGAACAGATAAACCCCTAAAAAGCAAAATATTTCCTTTGTCCAAAAATGTATTGTTTTCTAAATTCTGTACAAGATAGTCTTCCATTTCCCTGACAACAGTATGGGCTGATATAAATATTTTTCTCTAATTTTTGTGCCATTTTCACATTTCTTGATCGGTGTGAGAAAAATATTTCTCCTCACTAGTGAAATGTCTGTTCTCAGCAAATGATTGGTCGAAATTTAATTATGACGTCAAATTTTCTTGGTTTCTTCTGAATTTTCCTATTGTGGCGTCATGAAAAAAGGTGACCATGCCTGATGACGTCACATATAAAGAACACAACTTTCTGCAAATCTTTGAAAAGTAAGGATAAAAATCATTAGAGAAACAGATTCCACCACTATAACTCGTGTATTACGATATTTCTCCACTCTCAACAGATAAATTTTAATTATTTAAAAAGCTCGGCAAGCCTCGCGCTTTAAATATTAAAATTTAACTTTCTTGAGTGGAGAAATATCGTTACACACTTGTTGCAGTGGTGGAATCTATATATCTATGCGATAATACAATGAAATGTTCTAATTTACTACTGAAAAATGACTGATTATGAACAACAGGTTTGTTTCCTTCTTATAAAAATGAACATAACCAACACCTTATGTATATATATATTATACACCATTTTATAAGAAATATGTTAGTTAATAACTGTTTCACATATAAGTATCCGCTCCAAGGGATTTTTTATAAAATAGAGGCAAAATAAGTGAAAAGATAGAGATGTAAGTCAATCTACTTTCTGTCAACTAAAAACACGAAGCTGAAAGGTATAAGCAAAAATAAAATCAAGTCCTTAATCCAAAACAAAAGCCTACTTGAATCATAACTTTGCCCATAGGTCAAAGGCTTAATTAAAATGAAATAAATTGTGACTGAAAATGTCTTTCTAAAAAGTAATATAAATAAAAATGTCTACTAATATAAAAATTCATGCCATAAAGTTAACAGTAATACTATGTAGATTAATTTTACTGTGCACTTATTGCTCTTAAGAAAATAATGAAATGGCTAAAGAACTTAGACTAAATATAGTAAGAATTAAGATCAAGATTAAGGGAAATTAAAGGAGAGAAGTGAAAAAAATAAAAACTACCACCTGTTTTAGTCAGATAATTTCTACATAGAACAATTTTATCAGTTTACTTACAACTCAACCAAATTTTTCAACTCATTAAAATCTAATTGAATAGATCCAACAGTTGCAAAAGCATTTCCTCTGAGCTTACTGTGAAAACAATATGTATTTGTATAATAAACAGATCCTTATTCAAAAGGCTTTTACATATTATACCATATACCACACAATAATATAGCCTATTGCAATAGTGCAAATAAAACTTCAAATTAGTCACATCATCAGTGACAAAAATTTGTTTAAAACAGTTTTTAAGCTCTACAATAAAAGGGTTATTGCCTGAACATTGTTGAATAGTATCCCTCATAAATATATATTGCACTTGCAAGCTTGTGCAATATTAAAGTCTACTGGGAACAAAATTCACCAATATTCAAGCAATAATTCAACAGTACCAATAAAAATAGAAATTTGAATTAATAAAATGAAAAAACAAATTTAACAATGACACAAAATTTTAGATTGATTCAAAAATATTAATAACAGCATGCTTTGCTACCATTGAATGTAAATTGAAACTTCTTTTTGAAATCATGTTTAAATTCTTATGTTAACTTAAAAAGCTTTAATCCTTTGTTAAAAACATTTTCTACAATTTGTTCTACTTAAAATTAGGCAACATATATTTTCTGTGCTTGCGTGCTCATAATGCCACTAACTTCATACTTAAGATTTGAATGATAATAAAAAGCTCTATGAAATACATTAACAACATACTATGTTGCAAACCAAGTGTATCTACTACAGGTTTCACTGTGAATAAAATTTTCAAATATATTTACTTTTTTCATTTCATGTAAGTTACCTCCCATTTGCAAGAGCTGCTTCATGTATAACAAGTAATTGATCAGTAGCATGATTTTGTGTACTTATAAAAGTTGACATGATTATTAAAAAAAGTATTTGTATTTGCATTTGATGAAACTATCTATTACTTTGAATAAAATGTTATTTAATATGCATCTTACTGTACACTGCTATGAATGGCAGATAACTTGCTAATGGGAGACAACCTCTGTTGATGAAAAAAGGTATATTGTTATATGATAATTATACTTACACTACTTCTAAACATCTTAAAGTTTTGAATACATCTATAACAATACTAAAATTGTTCCAGCTTAAATCCCTGAAAAAGAATTAATTTGTTTTTGACTAGACAATTTGATATAAACCCTTATGTGTTAAATGAAGGAATTAACACATAATTGTTAAAGTGAAGACAGAAGGAATTAACACATAATTGTTAAAGTGAAGACAGAAGGAATTAACACATAATTGTTAAAGTGAAGACAGAAGGAATTAAGATAAATCTACAGGTTCATGTCCTATGAATTTTACCCATAGTTGAAAAAAACCATATCAACAAGGTACATCTGATAAAAATTTGTAATAGCAAACATGAATTCTTGGAAGTGTTGAAGACCATAGTTTTGTAATAGCAAACATGAATTCTTGGAAGTGTTGAAGACCATAGTTTTGTAATAGCAAACATGAGTTCTTGGAAGTGTTGAAGACCATAGTTTTGTAATAGCAAACATGAATTCTTGGAAGTGTTGAAGACCATAGTTTTGTAATAGCAAACATGAATTCTTGGAAGTGTTGAAGACCATAGTTTTGTAATAGCAAAAATGAATTCTTGGAAGTGTTAAAGACCATAGTTTTGTAATAGCAAACATGACTATTTGGAAGTGTTTTAAAAGACCATAGTTTTGTAATAGCAAACATGACTACTTAGAAGTGTTAAAGACCATAGTTTTGTAATAGCAAACATGACTACTTGGAAGTGTTAAAGACCATAGTTTTGTAATAGCAAACATGAATTCTTGGAAGTGTTGAAGACCATAGTTTTGTAATAGCAAAAATGAATTCTTGGAAGTGTTGAAGACCATAGTTTTGTAATAGCAAAAATGAGTTCTTGGAAGTGTTGAAGACCAAAGTTTTGTAATAGCAAACATGAATTCTTGGAAGTGTTGAAGACCATAGTTTTGTAATAGCAAACATGAATTCTTGGAAGTGTTGAAGACCATAGTTTTGTAATAGCAAAAATGAATTCTTGGAAGTGTTAAAGACCATAGTTTTGTAATAGCAAACATGACTATTTGGAAGTGTTTTAAAAGACCATAGTTTTGTAATAGCAAACATGACTACTTAGAAGTGTTAAAGACCATAGTTTTGTAATAGCAAACATGACTACTTGGAAGTGTTTTAAAAGACCATAGTTTTGTAATAGCAAACATGACTACTTGGAAGTGTTTTAAAAGACCATAGTTTTGTAATAGCAAACATGACTACTTGGAAGTGTTTTAAAAGACCATAGTTTTGTAATAGCAAACATGACTACTTGGAAGTGTTAAAGACCATAGTTTTGTAAAAGCAAACATGACTACTTGGAAGTGTTTTAAAAGACCATAGTTTTGTAATATCAAACATAAATACTTGGAAGTGTTGAAGACCATTTTTTTATTAAACTGACATGCTTTCTATGAATGATATTTTCATGATCATTTGACCATTTGGTGACAACTATTAATTGTGGTTGCCATGAGATACTTGGTTGCTGTCTCATCCCCTATATGTCTATTCATTTATATATTAAAGTTAACATTTTCTAAATGCTAGCTCAATAAAGAAATTTACATTTACCAAACGGCATAAATTTTGCTAATCCTGAGACAACTTATTTTAAAATGGATAAAGAAAACTAATCTTCAATAAACTATGCACCAAAGAAAGCTTATATATTTAATCGAAAAAGCAACATACTGACTTGACTTCTCACACAAATGATTCCACTACTGTGGATTCAATATTATTGACAGTATACCAATTTTTGGTGGATTTTGTGGGATCAGGTGAACCACAAATTAAAATGTTCAACAAAGTACAGATTTGTATGCAGAATTTTGCAAAACCAAAAAATCAAATATTCCCGAAAATTGGTATCCACGTAAATAAGTGAATCCACAGTATACAGTTAAGACAGTTGTAATACTTCAATCCACACAAACTACTTACAAATTTTTCAAGCATTTAACATCTTGAAAAAGATCATCTGGAAGTGTTGATAACTGTGTATGGCTAAGGTTTCTGAAAATAAAAAAAAAACATGGAAAATCAATCTTATGATCAAAAATCTATTCCCAACCACATAGGACGGGGAAGGGACCCTTTTTGGGAAATAGTATGAAAGAGAAGACTTCAATTTTACATTGTAAGATTAGTATAAAATACCTATGTAAGTTGTCCAATAATTTACTTCATCAAAATTCCAGTTAGGATTAATACTTTATACCAGTAACACTTAATCAAAATAAAGAACACTATTAGTATATTTACAGTTAACAAATATTAACATCTGCTATGTTAGGTGCAACAATAAAGCCTCTTGAAATGATATAGACTTGAACTAGTCACTTTACAGATTAGTGAAAAAAGCAAAGTAAAATACAACATACAGATTGATATAAATGTTACATTATTTTAATGATTAGCTACAGACTATGAACAACCTTATTTGAAGATGTTTATTAAGTACACATAAGAAACCAATTAAACTTTTTCTATATACCTTATTATGACTACTGATAAAACTTTAATAGTGTGTGAACTTTTCACAAATTAAGCATTAGTTGATCTAAATAAAAACACTAGAAAAAATCTCTATCTACATTAAATAATCAGTGCATGCTACATCCTTTGCCATTAATTTTATGAAATATAAGATGATTTAAGTGGCTTGACTCTGGAACAAAAAATTGTAAATAATCAAAATGAAACAGGATGTTAACCTAATTGGTTGAATTTGAATTTTTGTAATTATAAAACACCTATGATCTATGCATCACATATTGCCTGATAGGACCCCACACTAATTTAGAGTTTCAGCAATTAAATTTGGTTATTATAAAACATCCATTCTGCATCTCATATTGCCTAATAGGACCAGACACTTATCTAGTGTTTCATCAGTTTGGTTTTGTTATTATAAAACACCCATGCAACTATGCATCCAAATTAATTGATAGGACACGACAATAATTTAGTGTTTTGCATTGAAACTGTTTTGAAGGGATAAATAACCATCACTTATTTTATATTTAAATTCATCTATAATTCAAAATGACAATTCAGACAACATTAAAATCAATGCAGAACTTGCTTTTTCCATCAGTCTATACACTGTGTTAAAACTAATCAAAGCAGTTTTGTATATATTGTTAATTTTACAGACAAATGTATATCAATATGAAGCATGTCAATGAAGGGCCATTATCAATCTTTAATTTTTTGTTCATTTTATATAACTGTGACAAACAAAATGAGATATTTTTTGATCTGAAGATGGTTACTTATGCTGTTAAATGATTTACTACTAAGATAAAGAGGGGTAAAAAATATAATTCAGATAAATCTAAAATAAAACAATAATTTGAGTTAAATTTTTCTAATCTCAACTGGTAGCATAATACAATTAATCTTATTAAAATACAGATCCTGTGTCCACGCTTCGCTTACAAGGATCTGACAACATTCCATTCTACTTTCTGTTCTGGTGATTGTTAAATCAGCCAATGAAATTTCAGCCTCCAAATTATGGAAGGTGTGTATCATTACGACAAAACTAGAGGATCCCGAAAAGTTCTTTAAAACAGAAAGAGAAATGGAGTGTTGTTAGATCCTTGTAAACAAAGCTTGAACATAGGATCTGTTTTTTAATCAGATTGAACATAATAGTGAAATAAGGCTATAAAGCTAATATGTTTAATGTCATCTAGTATCCTAGAAAAAACAATTTATGATTCCATGATATCCATGCATTTTTTTATTACTTGATTGATTATTGTTGCTTAATGTCCACTAGAAAATATAAAGGCACATAAAGAAAAAGGTTAAAATTGTATCAATAGGTTAGATCTTAAAAGTGTGTCAACTAAGAGAAGGGTGCATAGTATAGACAGCAAATCAAAAACAAAGGTATACTGGATAGGGTCAGGGGTTTTCCTTTAAAATAGGCCACCTAGAAATCCCTGTCTGAAAAGTTCTGATTCTTCTAGGTGCAAAGAGTGTGGCATGTTCCAAACACATGACCTAGATTTATTATTGATTTTTTGTAACATGGCCCTACTTCTGAAAAAGAAGTTATTTACATGTACATAGAAAGCCAGTTTTAATACAAGATAAAATTGACAAGAAAATAAAATTGTATAAAGTTAATACCAGAAATAAACCAAATGAAGACTTACACTGTTTCGAATTTCTTGGTCTTTTTAAACAAATCATCTTCAAGGGTTGCAATAGGATTATCTGACAAGTTTCTGTGGAAAACAAGTGATTAAAACTCAAATAGTCTACCTGCTTGATCATTTTGTCCTCGTAAAAATCAAGTAGACCTTAAATCCATTTACACAGTAATCATATATTAAATCAAACTTAATCCTAGAAAACTAAAATCTAAAATTCTTCTAAGGATATTTGTCTCATTATTTATCAATAACTACAAGAAAAAGAATGACACAGAGATATGTCTGGTGACCTAGTTGAACATCTTCACAGGCAAGGCAAAAACATAAGTCTATTCACCTGTTACATTTCCAAGAATACATACAAGGATGGATAAAGGAAACTTCATATGCCCCATTCACTTATACCATAATCTTTACATTCTTTAAACCAGTAGAGCATTATTTTAGTTTTTTATATGAGGTGTATGAAGGTTATAAGAAACTGATAAGAGGGTGAAATCTCAACAAACTAGATAAACCCGCCACACTTTCATGTGCCTGTGTCCCTAGTCAGGGACCACTGCAGAAGTTGTTGAATGTCAGATCCTTATGTTTTCCATTACTTGGAGAATTGGGTGTTGATGGCAGACCTTTGATTGTTTCTGTTAAATTCATTCATAACTTGTATAGACTCTGTACGATCTAGATCTTGACATTTTTAGACACCTGTCTATTGATGAAGACTTGTAAATTGCTCTATAGATGTCTTTGTTATCTTTGTCTTTTGGTTGCTGTCTTGTTAATGTTTACCCACATCTTTGTAAACGATTCTTATATTGTTTCATGCTTTGGGTATTTTAGCCATTATGTTTCTAGTTTTATGTATATATTCGTATTTAATTATTTTATTAATCATATATTTGATTCTGGAATAATGCTTAAGGCACTTTATTTATAACTGCCACCGTTGCTAAAACAAAATATTTAAGAAATTGGTACAAAATAAGATGTTCATGAATTATAAAATGTTATTTATGCAATATGTAAGTTAACATGTAACAAATCAGTCATGTGATTTTACCAAATATAGGTAATTATTGTACAAATCTATATGATCTGAGAAAAATGAGAAAATACTATCAACATGCAATTGTTCACCTATAAAATGTGCAGATTTTCTTCTCTGAATTTGTATTTGAATTAGATGAATATTGATTAATACTGAAGTTACCCACAGAGCAACTGAAAACATTTAATTTCTGTGTATGTCATGCATTTGTCACAGCTTCACTACATACAAAATGTGCAACAGCCTAGTAAACTCTTAACCATAACCTAATCAATGATCTAATTTTTTATGTACACCTATTTTACTCACCTGTGTGTTCTACTTATAATGCACCGGTGTTACATGACATGTGCTTGCTTTTATATGTTTCTGACAAAATAGAAGTAAGGTTAAACTGCAGAAACTAATGTGACAATTCAATATATTTTCTACCACAGAATCAAACTCTAAATGTGAATCAGACAAACCAATGACATTGGGAGTGTTTGTTAGGTTTGTAGAATCAAACTCATCAGTAATATTTAGAGGGATCCATCAATGATAAAGCTGTGAATAAAACATAATGAACTATTAAGCCAGTCTGTTATACGTCTATACTTACATAGTTATCAAATCACTAGTATCATGAAAAGCATTTGAATGAATACTGTTTATATTATTCCCCTGTAGGTATCTGAAATACACAAAAATGTTACATGTCATCATAACCTTTTATACTATTATGCTGCTCCTAATATATTTGGGAGTCCAGTGGCTGATATTAGAATGCTTGATTTAATTCACTCATCCATACAGCTGCAAAACAAATATTTTTGTTTGTTTCCATATTTGAATTTTAAGAAAAAAATGACTATGGACTTTTCAAATGATCTGGGTTATTTTTCTACATAGTTTATGAAATATAACATCTATTTAAAAGAACAGCAGATGATATTACAAAAACGAAGGCATAATTTTATCATGCCTTATAAACTGCTTAATACTTGCTTTCAATTACTGCACACAATCTCAGAGATGATATCGTGTAATATAAAAAATTTTAAAAGTATTTGGTATGATTGCCAATGAGATCCACTAGAGACCAGAGTTAACTTCTTGATATACTCATTTTTAGTCTTTAGTGAACAGAACGGTAGATTATTAATGCAAATAAACTGTTGACACAGAGATATGTCAAGTAATCTCCATGGAAATGAGATGTGCCAATGCTAATAAAACTGCATACCAAATATCATTGACCCACCACTAGTGGATCCCCATAAACTGACCTAATCCCAAACTAATACACTGCTGATGCCACTGCCGCCAACTCCTGAAACAGCACCCAAATGAGACAACTCCTCTCCACCAGAGACCAAATGACATAGAAGTTAAAATCTATAAGCTACAAAATTTTTGCTATGCGTTTCTTTTTTATCTATTTACGTTTGACTTAAATGAGGTAATATTATATGAAACAAATCATTTAAAATCACTTTCAATGATAGCTGGTTCATACAATGCAAAATCCAGCAGTCAGTGGGTTTTCTCCTGTTAAATCCAAATATTTTTGGTTATTTGGAGAATTTGGTGTTCATTACAGATCTTTGATCATGTTAACAGCTTGTTTTATTTATTCCTGACTTTTTAGATTTGAGGTGATTGTCATTAATGCAGACGTTGACCTCTAGATGTTTATTGGTTATTAGTGTGATCATTTACCACTTTTTATTCAAATTTGTTTTGTTCTATGAAACATTGAAATAATCCTTAGTTGGATTTTCATGTTGTGTGTGTTAGTGTGTATGCCTGTAAATGACACTGTAGCTCCATATCAGCATTTTCTAACAAGAAAAGTATATGTCAGAGTACTTACAATTCCTCCAGGTTCGTCAAAAATGATAAATCATTGGCACCAATAGAAGTTATATTATTATCACTCAGATCACTGAAAAATAGAATAGAAACATTAAAATATATTATTGGCCCCAATAAAAATTATATACAACATGTAATTATCACTAAGATAAATGAAAAAATACAATATTTAAAACTAAATACAACAAAAAGCTCCAAGAAGACCTAATCCCTCCTCTTTACAATTCTTTATGATGAAGGCATTAGCCTATACTTTACCCTAAATACTTCCCCTTATCTATTGTTGAATACAGTATCTTGACTACCGGTACTAGATGGCTTTAGTTTTGTGTGATGTTTGGTTGTTGTCTCATTGGCATATACTGTAAATTCAGAAATTTTTGCATGCATTAATTATCGCACTTTCACAAAATACTGCATACAAGTGATGATATAAAAATTAAAATGTGAGTTGAATCTTTTGTGACACCTATACCATCGCTTTTCTTTAGCACTCATAAAAACATCAGCAAAATCTGAATTTACAGTACAGTAAACTCATGTAAAAATGTTTGGTTGTTGTCTCATTGGCATATACTGTAAATTCAGAAATTTTTGCATGCATTAATTATCGCACTTTCACAAAATACTGCATACAAGTGATGATATAAAAATTAAAATGTGAGTTGAATCTTTTGTGACACCTATACCATCGCTTTTCTTTAGCACTCATAAAAACATCAGCAAAATCTGAATTTACAGTACAGTAAACTCATGTAAAAATGTTTGGTTGTTGTCTCATTGGCATATACTGTAAATTCAGAAATTTTTGCATGCATTAATTATCGCACTTTCACAAAATACTGCATACAAGTGATGATATAAAAATTAAAATGTGAGTTGAATCTTTTGTGACACCTATACCATCGCTTTTCTTTAGCACTCATAAAAACATCAGCAAAATCTGAATTTACAGTATGCGTAAAGCTCAAAACACTTATACTTTTAAACAAAGTATCAAGAAGTACTTAACACAGTCCTGATAAGATTATGTTTTCTGCAATGTATTTGTATATTCATTATTTATATTTGTATTTGATTTTTTGACTACATGTACATCTTGAACAGCCTTATATCTTATCATGTTAGTAATATTACATTGAACTAATTGACTGTAAATTAACTATGTGTAAATATCTGTTTTTTTATTGTATTGTAATTTGTATGTGAGGGCCTCAGGGAAGATTAGTTTATTGTAACTAACTGAGTTTACCCTCTTTAAATAAAGAATTTATTATTATTATTATTATAAACAAAATTTCCTTTTACTAATATATACCATCAGTAGTTACTTATAAAAAAAAATAATATCATAACAAACAGGAGTAGACATTAAAACAATATTTTGCCTGTTTCCACTTTCTTGATTTTTATTTCATTTCAACATGAAAATATTATTCAGCTAACAATGATCATTAGACAGAAATCTTAGGTAGAACCCCTTAGTATGACTCAAGTCAACTTTAACTTTGGTTCAAATTTCTCCAATAGATTCTGACAATTGGATCTTTGAAAAAGAAACAGGAAGTTACATTTCATGGAACCTACTATTTACAATTAATTAATCATTTTTATAAATGATATTAAAAAAAACAGCCAACACAAGATTATTTCTGACTTATCTAATCTGAATGGATTTAGATGAAAATTTACAATGTACAAGGTATAGACTTACTAAATAAATCTGTCATGGAAAAGTTATCAACATGTTTGTCTTGTAACTAACTAAGATATGCACTAAATTCAGGTCTTTTTAATAATGGGTTGAGACCTAGAAAAAAATAGTTTAACCTCATGTCAGCGACTCATTTGAAAAAATACTACGAAAAAAAAAATCTTGTAAGTCATGAACACTTCAGTATAACTTACAATACATTTGTGTTGTAAGAGGTTTTGTGAAAGAACCTAGAGTTAGTGGTAATGTCTTTAGTTATTTAATATATCTTAATGCTTGTTGTCCGATAGGAAATTATTTATATTCTCTGAAAAACTTATTCACAATTTTTCTAAGACTCGAATTAAGATCTTTGCATACTGTATAGACACTTGTTGAATACTGTGTGAAGACAGCTGAAGCCTGCCTCCAGATGCAGAATTTTCTGGCTGTGTTGAAGACCCATTGGTGACCTTGGGCTGTTTTCTGCTCTTTGGTCGAGTTGTTGTCTCTTCGACACATTCCCCATTTCCATTCTCAATTTTATCTAGATTGTTTTGTTTATTTTGTGTCATTGGATTGCTGTGTAATTGAGCTATATGTAGATTTAGGTAACAGGACAAAAAACCATAATCCAATATCAGAAATATTTGGAGGTGTATAATATATTTGTAAACAATTATATTTTATTTTATTTTATTTTTATTTTATATATTTGTCACATACTTTGAAAACAATTATTTATTTTTATTTTTAAAGGTTAAGGTTTGCATTCTTTCTCATCTATATTCATTGGTATTACTTACAGATTTGTTGTTAAAAGATGGTAAAAAAAGAGAAATATGACCAGATAACTAAAAAAAATAGCTTCAAATTACTTAAATTTGGTTTAATAACATCATTCAAATTGTCTACCTTATAAAGATAGAGTATTCGGTCATTGGAGATAATTATTACAAAACTATATACAACTATATATAACACAAATCTATTTTTATTTATATTAGTCCTACTCCACAGTTGCCTCACAAAATATCTTAATAAATGATTTTTTTTGGCAAGACTATTCATGTAGACATGTGGGTGTTCATACTCTAAACAATCAAAATTTCAGTAAATCCTGCAATCGTCCATTTTACTATACAAATACAAGTGGCTAAAAAAACTTATGGGTTATTTTTATAGTGTATATCGTGGTACTCTGCTACTATTTGGAGCAAAAATGTTAAATTCTTCTTTTCTCTCAATTTACAATATAATCAAACTTTTTTTCTTCAATATATTCAATTTTAACAGAGCGTGCATCAAGAAGTATTCATAATTTTGCATGTCCTCTATTTTTTGGAAACAGATTAAGGTAAACAATGTTGCTTGTTTCTGGATCCTATTTGTTAGTAGTGTATGATCTTGTATTGCATGATTTGATTCACTGAATAAAATATTGTTTAAATTAATATGCCAATACTGAAATATTTTGACAAAAATTGGACAAAATATAGACTTGTTGTCATCCCTGATCCTTACTCATTAATCTAAACTAGTCTCTATTATAAGCCATACAATAAAATAGAATAATTTTGCATCCTTGTTAAAGTCATTATCCCTCAGGTCTGACCGAATTCATTGTAGCAATACTGCTGCTTTCATCACATTCTCAGAAAAGTAGACTAAAGATTTAAAAACAGGAATTCCCTCGACTAAAGGCTGACTGAAACCTTTGAAGCATGACATTCTATTTCACTAGTTATCACAAATCTGGACCAAAGAACATGTAATTAGATTTCCTCAAGAAATCGTTAGCTACCTACAAGGATAAATCAACATTTATCCTTCTAAAACATGTCAAGTATTGGTCAAATACTGCCTAGAGAATGGAAGGTAAAATATGGCAAACAGAATGGCTGACCTTACAAAAAACAGAACTGTAATGCTTAAAATGATATTATACATTCAAATGTCTACAAATATTCTCACAAATCACAGTTTATTGAAGAATTTGAAGGTGAAAATGCAGTGAAATTAAAATAAAATATAATTTTACAAAATAAAATAAAAAGAGCTAGTTGAACTAATGCTTAAATATAAGTTTATGTTCCTTTAAGAATTTCAACATTAAAGCTTTTCAATTTTATTGTATATAATTATAATGAAAAAAAGTTTCAAAATTTCCTTCATCAAACCTACTGATTTATATTAGAACTGGTTTCAAATTTAATATCAAGTTCAAGAATGACATAATTGACAAATTATAACTTTTATTAAAAGGACCTAGAAGAAATGTAAATATAGATTTTGCATAAACTTCGGCCTGATTCAGGTGTTTTCTCAATACCGATGATAAAGTTGTAAACAATATAAGACTGGGTTAAATCTTAAGTCATTAGTAATATCATTGAACTTAGTTTGATTTTATTACCAATAAAGGTTTTGGACTAAGACTTTTAACATTGATTTTAGACATAATTTAAATCCTTCTCATACTATCTTACAATCTGCTATATTGATCTTGCGAAAATCAAATCTTGACATTCATATCATTTTTATCGACCTACATTTTTTTAATTACTCATACCAAATGGTACTTGTCATGAGGGTTTATATGATCTTAGTTGGTATTTATTCAAAATTACATATCAGAAATTATAAATAGATTTGCTCATTTGTGTTTATCTTTATGATGTTATAACTTATCATGCTTATAGGCTTATTGTAGAAATGCAGCATCATGGCTCCATGTAGTCCCGAAATTGCTCTGGCAGCCTATTTTGGGACTGATGTGTGTGTGCCTTACACCCTAGCAAGTCCTAAAAAAGACAGTCAGATGTCAAAACAATCTAGGACTATAGAAATAACAGAGCCATAATTCAATCTTTATTATTTAAAGTAAACAAGCTTTGCTGCCTATATAGATCACCACTCTCTAGTTTTTCAAGGTTGTAATAATCAGCTGTGTAATAAAATGTATAAAAAAATATAAACAGCAAACTGTCCTTTTCGGATATAAAAAAAAAACAGCACTTAATTCTGATCGTCCAACAAGTCTTTTCATTTGATGTTATGTCGACAAAACCAACAGATTTGTAGGATGAATGAATTAACAGACTTTACTGTAGGTAAATGCATTAAATAACACTGTTGGCACAGAACAAAAAGTTTAAGGTTTCAATAATTTAGCATCTATTAGCAAGTCAAAAATAAAAGCCTTTAAAATGGACTTAAAACTTCACCAAAAGGTAACTAGTCGATTAGCCACAACACTCAATCCACTTTTTACATTACATGTCTGTCACTTAAAAAACTAATCAAATACTGTTGAATACAAAGTACAGCATGTATTTGAAGAGATTTTTACTTTTCTGATTAGTAATTTTTCAACA